GGGGGAATTTTCGAGGGCGAAGGCGTGGGGGTTGGGGGCGCGATTGGGAAGGCAGCTATACTGCAAAGGATCGTGTATGGTAAGGGGGTGGGGATATCAAAAACGCAGCACCGATTGGCGCGCAGAAATACAAGGTGTCAAGGGTGCGTGGTATTCCTTGACAGATAGAAGAGAAGTTAATATGACGAGGGGAGTTGAAAACAGCAAAATGTATTCTTGAAACAAATAAATCAACATGGCTCGCGCTCGCAATGCTAGATGGTTAAATCAAGTGCAACTGATGACCCAAGACTAATGGGTATAGGGAGCAAATGGGTATGCAATTTTTGGAACAGGAAGTGAAGGGCTGGTCTCGACTCTGATTCCGCGGAACCAGAGCCGAATGCAAAGCGTAAAGGACGAAAGTGGATGCAGTGGAGTTCGGGGGATATGGCACAGGTCGACAGCTGGTGTGGCGCATTGAGTATTAAGATGAGATATCGAGGTGAATCAATGCGGAATCGGATGCTCCTTGGAGTCATTCTATGAAGATGAGAGAAATGAAATGAAGTGCTGGAAATATACGCAATGACCAAAGATCATTTGGACTGCTGTTCGTTCCGTCGTTTCTTTTACATCCCACCCTGATAGGTCTGGCTGATACCCATGTGGGTAGGTGCCAGAGGGAACTGCTGGAGCGCTGCTTGCTGAGCCATGTACATGGCCTCCTGCTGTTGCTGGTATGCTTCGCTGTTCATGTATTGCATCTCAGTGGATGGTGCGGGGGAAGGGGAACAGCCATGGTGGACAGTGGGCATTCCGCGGGTCATATCGTGATTCGCCATTTGTGCATGGGCATGCACAAGCGCCTCGTTGTCCGGTGTGATGGGAGGGGTGAGGTAGCCATGAGGAATAGCTGTCAACTGCTGAGACTTCTGAGGGGTAGCAAGACCAATCTCCCCATTGTACGGCTTGGACTCAATAGGAGTCTCGACCGGAGGGGTGCAACGGGCGTAGGTTGCCAACGAAGCCTGACGGTTGAGGAAGTGTTCCATGACCTTCGATACCCGAGAGTAGTGAGCGGAAGCGTACTTGCGGGCGACCACGGTGGAGGGCTGGTGCAACTGTTGAGACAAGGCAACAAGGGTCATCGAGTCATATTGCGATGACCAATGCGTGTGACGGGGCTGCGGTCGGTTAAGAATGCAGCGCGACAGTGCAAGAGCGGCACGAGCAAGCTCAGATGACAGCTTGGCGACAAAGTCCCGGTGGAACAAGGCAATCTCCAGGATGTATAGAGCCATGTGTTCCACCTCGGGGTCGTAAGGATCATCTAAAACAGCATGCTGCAAGAAAGCATCCACAGTCGGGTGTCCAATGGACCAGCCAAGAGTTTGAAGGACATGCCATTCCATTTGGGTGAACATATCGTCGTCGTAAAGAGAGCAGCACATCGACTTCAACTCCTTGATAGTGGGAACACGGTCCTTCTTGTCATTGTACTTGGCCGCGATGAGCAGAGCTGCACAGCCAACCAGTTGATAGTGGCGCTTGTAGACCACACGCTTGGAGCAGTATCGGTCCAAAAGGTTGATCGCCAAGAACAAGGTAGATGGCAAAAGCTGGAACGCAGTGTGGGCCTCGATCAAGAAGTCAAGAAGGTATGGTCGCATGAACCACTGGATCTCGGTTTGGATATCAATGGACTCGACGTCGGGTAGGGTTTGGGTCTATGCGATGGTTAGGTTAGCAACGTGGAACTTTGGAAATAAATGTATCCGGTCAAACTCACATCCATTTCCAACATGTGGCTCAGGACATCCTCCCGAAGCTGCTCACTTGTGAGATTAGACAGCTCATCCGCCATAACATATTGACGCTCACGAGCCACCTGCTTGTCATGCTCCTGCTTCGCCTGCCGTTCTTGCCGAATGCGACTTTCCATGCCGTATTCTTCTTCCACAAAAAAGGTGGGGCAAGGACGGTAGTTGCGATGATAATCCATGGTTGCGGAAGTACTTGGATCGACCGAAGTATGAAGCACAAGTTGATGTATGAGCTTGGTTTGCCGAGTTTCAATGAAAGGAAGCCTGAAGAACGGGTCTATCAGGCAACGACGGAATTAAGAGAGTGACAGTCGTGGTATTAGTGTATTGGAAGAATGAACGACGGAAGAGTTGTAACGATTAATGAATGGATCAGCGTGAAGCAATAGTTCGAATGCTGGGAAAAGGAGACCGGGAGATCCGAGGAGGAAGTCTTCGAAAGGTAAGGCTGAAAGGAATTAGTATTAGCGGAGGCCGGTGTAAAAAGAAAGAATTAAAAGATTGTAACGTCCGAGTGACGGGAAAGCAAGAGAGCGTGAGAGAGGAAAAGCATAAAAGCACGACGAGGTAGAATGTAGAGATGTATGGTGATATTCATCCAAGAGACAGGAAGGGTCATCACTCCTTCGGAGAAATACTAACCCAGAAAAGAGCCTTCGGGCAGAGGGCACAATGCAACCCTTACCGTGACGGCAAGACTGGCATCTAGGCAGGAATGATCCGGTGAATAGGATTCTGTTGGATACCAACGAAGAGATGAGTACGAGTCAACGTCTTCACCCCTAGGCTAGTGTTGCGGAATGTGGAGTGAAGGAGAATAACCCTATGAAGGGGGTCACAATCATCAGGGGGATGTCTTGGTAACGGGATGTTTAGAACTCACACTTCACGAATTAACGAGTTGAATGAACAAGGCTCAGTAAAGAGACTGATAAGAGTTTCTTAGATGGAAGAAGTGCTAGTGATTCAAGAATGAAGTCCACGTTGGGAGACAAGTGGGTTTATATCAAAGATCCAAATGAACAAGTTCTAGAATAGGCAACAATGTCAGTCATATTCGTTCACAGTGCATTTGCAGCAGTCAACGATCCCAAGAACATTGTCAATCAACAATTGACGCCAGTTAACAATTAAGTGCAATGAGGTATGTGGTGCCGCAGCCTGATCGTCGCCCCAGCATCCGGCATGTCCAGTAAGAGTATAGGATTTTCATCAACCCCTGAAATATTCCCACGCCGGGAGATATAGAAGCAGTCAGAAGACCTGGTTGGACCCTGGCGAGACATTGCATGTCAAGCAGAAAGATATGCATTCCACAATTGTATTTGAGAATATAATTTCCCGCCTGCATGGACGGCAACCCTCATCGCTCAATAAACCATTATCTCCATATCTGACTCTCGCCGTGTGTTGTTTCGAGTGGGAAATGATGCAAAATCGGAGGTATATGAGGGTGGGGCTGTTGGATGCTTGGACATGGCCTTGAGACCATATCATGATTATGCTTGGTGGGCCAATTTTTCATGCACGATGGAAAGGAATTTTTTTTTCGTGTGGAAATTTATTCAATCTCTTGGCTCATGTTGAGAAATTTCGAGTATCCGTTGCTCGTCTATCCATTGGGGCGTTCCGACCTTGACACCATGCACACCTCAAAGCACAAAAAAAAAGGAATTTCTTACTTACCCAAGTTTTGAAGCTCAATGTCAATCTGATACCGAAAACGAATTCGTATCAACAAAAAGTCAACCTGAATGGGTTTCCTACGCTGTCGCTCGTCTAACCGGCAGGAGCTGGAACAGGAGGGTCCAAATCGTCAAAGTCCGAGGATCAGGGAGGCACCGGGCGGACAAGGACGAGGGATCGCCGTTTGAGTTAACAAACGTCGAATTGGAAGATCAAGTGCGAAGGTAAAATCGACTTGACTTGAGTGCTAGTGCAGCGGGCTGAATGAGATTGCGTCGACTGGAATGTCGTCGAACCGTAACTCAGCCAGTAGACCAGACTCTAGGGTCTCCGCAAGATTGGCAGGGGGGAGGGGGAAAAAAGGGGAAGAGAAAAGGGTATGAAGAAGAGAAGGAGAGAGGTACAAGGAGGAGGGTTTTGACTTTCTCTCTCCAGGCGGGTGTGGGAAGAGAAGGAAGGAAAAGGAAGAGGTTAAGAAGCTGAGAAGACACGGAGATACAGAGCTGGTTGTATGGTAATCCACGAGACACAGAGTGGAGGCTGAAGGTTAACCGTACAGCGTACAGCGTACTCCGTACAGTAAATTTCCAATTTACAGTTTCCATAATTTACAATGTAATCCCCAGGGGATCGGTAATTTTGATAGGTAACTAGGGCTTCTCTGCAAGGACATAAGACAGGAGTTGAAACCTGCAAAAACGGCTTGAAACTGTAGTTACGATTTCGAACTTGGGAGGTTTCAAACCTGGGAACAGGTACAGGCACAGATACAGGTACACGGACAGAGATACCAAATTAGGATATTCAGAGAATATTCAGAGAATATACACTGTTTAACTATTGAATAAACCAAAATTACTTCAATTACTCGAGCATCAATATTCTAGATTCTACATACTCCATAGTTTTTCCAGAAATCCGATGTGTCCTGCATATAACTTTTGAAACTCGAATATTGCGTTTTCAACCGTATGCCGCGACCCAGTCATTTTTCCCGAACTAGTAATTTGAAGGAGTTTCTTCGACGGTGGAGAGATCTCCGTCGCTACCGAGACAATTCAACCTTTTCAACCCATTTCCTACATTTTCATCTCAATACATTTTTGAATAGATTAGACATAGAATTCTCCGAAATTCTATCACTGCATTTTCCTATTCTAAAAGACAAATAAAGAAATAAAATAACAACATAATCGGGGCCCAAAACGACAGTTCCGGCCCCGAAAAAAAAAAGCTCCTGATCGACAAGTATTAAAGGCCTATCCTCAGCCATTGTTGGCTCGTCATCCAGCACCTTGGTTACTAGTGCTGCAATGGGCTGGGGTGGCTCTGCCTCTTACTCCGTACGAAAGCCTCCGATACGGTCGCGCGTCCCAGGGTCTCCTGCAACCTGCACTGACTGGTCCAGAAGCCTGGGATTGCCCTGTTGACTTCATCTCGCGTGTTTCCCCATTCGCGTACTCCGTACTCCGTACCTCAGCTGGGCTTTTCTAAATCGATAACCCGAGCCTCCTTTGTCTTGGATCTCACTTCTGCGAGTCCATGTGGGGATATTTCCAAGGTTCGGTTTCCGGTCGCAAAAGCAGGTTCTCCGTAATTGGGCCTCCACGTTTCCCAAATCTTCTCTTTTCGAATTTAATTAATCCATTCCTGTTTTGATTCACTCGTATGTAATTTAGTTTTCTTGTACAAAGTACAACTCATCCCTACGGCACCTGCCGCCTGTGACACCACTGGAGATGCACTTGATTTGTCCCCAGCTTCTCGACCCGAGATAAGGTTTGTAGACGTCTCGACTCATCAGGATTGACTGGTTTAGCCGTGAGAATGCCACTCTTTACTGGACGCGTAAATTCTCCAGGTTAATCTCTGCGAATCATATGCCTGTTGCTCTCCACAATTGCGACTCGGAGATTTTAACTATCTCCCCTTACTTCATCCCCTTACAATAGACAAGTTCAATGAGAGCGCTCTGTAAGGCCCCTCAGGGATTAACCTCAGTCACTCAATTGATCGCATATCCACAGAGAAATATCGATCATCATGCGACTCGGCCGTTTCTCAATGACATGTACAGGAAGTAAACGGATACAATTGATCGGTCTATACGACCCCGGAAAACGGAGTAATGCAGCTTGATATACGACAGCGCATAAGGGTCTACATCCAGCACTGAGTAGTGGATCCGTACGTTTCACTTGCTTAATTTGTTCAAAGAATGCAGCTCGAATCATTCGTTGGCGCTTTTCATTGAAACCGGGGATGACAGTTGCCGAAGCAATGATCTCCCTATCGACAACGGAGTTTTCCCGCCTCGTGCAAGACTAACAGGGAAAGAAAGGGGGCAATAGATAAGCGATGGCCATTAAAGGGTGCTGTCGGGACTGTACAACGTAGCAAAGCAAGGGACTCTCAAATGAGAAATCTGAATGATAGACACGGCTAATATGCAGAAGCAGATCACAAACACACTTGGTCTGCAAATCTAGATTCTTGTTGGAAATTCGCATCTCATAGCATGCCAGGGACTTTTGTTGTATCATACCAGTTAAATTAATCGCCAAGGCTTTGATCATAATAAAGTGTAATCTAGATGATTGCATGAAGTACCTCTTCATTCTGAATAATATGTCAGCTGCATAAGAGGAACACGCCTAGGCCTCATACCTGTGGACGCCTTTTACCTTGATGGAGTCTGGCACCATGTATCGCGTCAATCAAGTTCAGATACCCCTATTCAAACACTCTCATTTTAGGCAAATGCCTACTTATGTACTTGTGGAAACCGGGATTCTACTCCGTAGTTAATTTGCATATATTATCCATGTCAGTGGATGGCACTATGTACCTCATTTTGTATACTACTGTTGCCTACTTAGGTAGTTCGCCCCAAAATGGCGGGGATGACCTGTACTACCCAGCAAAAAGCAATAATATCAAAGAACATTGGGATTCTGTCTCACCCACCTAGGTACAAAGTACTCCGTACTCCGTCAGGTCTCATAAATTATCTTAGAAAGGCAAACTAGAAGAAACTATTGGACTAAAACGATCATCGTATGTTGTAAAGGAAAAAGGGGCTCCGTCGATAGACTAGGCCCATGCAGCAATTACGTGGTCGCAATGGGGCACATCCCACTGCAGCCGCGCACAGTCTCAGGATCAAACTAGCACTTACTTAGTCAGTAAAAGGTACTCTACATGTGTCCACTGAGCTTGCCCGGATGGCTTGGAAACTAGTACCTGACCGATGTGCTTCCGATGCGCCCAGCCGGCGCAGTACTGTACCTTCTGAAAAGGGGAAGATGAGCCTTGCAAATCGGCATTTCGGTGTTGCCATTTTTGTCTCCTGACTCGTGTCTCGCCCCATGTTTCAAGTACCGACAGCATGAAGCAGTCTAGGGGATAAGGGTAAGGTTAAAGCGCGCGCATATGGCGATGGGCATAATTTGAGTCTGGATCTGGCCTGACACGTCTATTGGCCCCGGACGCTGTAGCTTCCCGTAGCGGATAAGTTGCAATTTGATCTATTTTTGGGTGTGAGCTTGAACCTCTTAGCTATTTTAAACACAGACATTTTGCTTAACATGGTTCTTTAGATAGGGAATTGCATGATAGAAGCGCTTGAGTAAATCTAAGGGGTCTTTGATCCTTGTTTGCCAAGTGATTGGTAAGTAAAGCCTCGTTGGCAAACACCTAGCAATACAAGTCAAGTCTTCAAGGAGGTGTTCACTTGTCTATGCATGCGAAAAACTTAAATAACCTGACATCGGTTGGTTTACCCGGTTGCTGCAAGATCTCGCCCGGATGGGGCGCGGTATATAGATGTGGTTTCCCTTGCTTGTGACCCTGCAAATCAAGAGACAGTAATATAACCCTTCGATTTCCCTCCACGTTGCTTATTTCACTTGCAGCCTTTGATGTGTATATTTCTTTCTGCAAGGGGAGGATCCTTCCGCTATACATATTGTATTTACTACTCCGTACACAGGGAGTTCATTGGCTTAATCAGAAGGCGTCAAGCCATCATCTCAGATTTCCGCTTCCAATGTAGATCAATGCTCTTTCGCAGACATTACTCGTTTGTTAGAGAGCGGTGTGGACTGGATATTAGATATCTCATCAAATCATGTACCAGTTACATGTTCTGCATCAAACATTATCACTGGCAACTGATGTGTACAACATAGGGTGGTTATTTCCAAGTGGATACTATGCGCCTTTTATACACACAATACAAGCACTATCTAATCCATACTTGATATCCCATATCGATACATTCCATACTCCGTACAGAGTATTTAGAGACCAATTCCCGAGACTTGCAGTAGTCTACACAAAACACCCTAGTATTATACAGCCCACAGAAAAACCTAGCAAAGAACCCGATAAAAACGTAAGTGTGGGATCCGATCTTTTTTTTTTCTCGCCTCGCAGATGGATCCGTTCCCAAATTAATGCCCTCCGACATCACACGCCCGCTGAACCATGGAATTCTCGCAAATTCCGAGTACGCAGTACCCGTGGACGTAACCAAAACTCCACCTTTAACAACGGTTATCCCAGGCCCGTGCCGGGATATATCAACCATGGTACTATTAGGAAAAGATCGAAATCTCCACCGTTTTTTTTCTTTCCTGTTCACCGTCCGGCGTCCATTGCAACGTGGTTCCAATATACGTTTACATAGGTTGTATGTGCAAGCTCATGTTCTCTTCCGCCCCGCCATGTTCGATGGTTTCCCGCTCCACCGTCCTTCTAGATGTGAAAAGAAGAAGTGGCGGGGTTGTGGCTGTTGTCGGACAGTGCGGATACCGTACGCACAAAGAGGTTGAACTTTGTGGCTCTGTTCTCGTTTTTAGTGGCTATAATCGTTTATCGCTGTATTTGCTAGGCAACTAAACTTGGATGTTTAAATACTGTTTAGATAGATCTTAAGCTATTATTGTATCGAAACCGGATTTCTGTTCGGACATTGAAATATATTGAATCACGGAGACTCTTCGGGGACGTATGTTGTAGCGAAATCCCACATACATATTTATTTCCGTATGTATCGGGCAAAAAATTGCATTCTTGACCGGTGAAAAATTGATGTTTCGTGGCCCCTCTGCGGGGAGTTATATAAATGTCACAAAGGGTTTTTGAGTGTTTAGTGGAGCCTGCGCAGGTTTTTCTTCTTCTTAATCCTTAAGCTGGAGGAGTTTTCTGGGTAGTTGACGAGGTGCATGAAGTTCATATGAAAGGTTCGTAAATACTGCAACCCTGCAACTAGTACTCCGTATAAAGCAGTGCCTCGGATTTACGTACACCTAATTTCCGAATATTGAAATTACCTCCGTAGGATAGTCATTCGCGTGCTTCCGTGGGATTTTCACTTCTAGACACATTGATACGAACAAGCATTCTCAAGGCAGCCGTGAATCAGTTTGACCTCGCATTTTACATATGTAATCTCGAAGCTCCACCGCGAATAAGGGCGATGCTAATTATTATCAACCACGCGGACCGGATCGGAGATTCGAGACAATCCCTTTTAGGAATGGTTCAGCACACACAGCTTGACTGGGGCAGCGGAGGCTCAATCCATGGTTAGGCTGTTTTTTTCACTCCCCTATTCCCCGCCCCTTTTCTTTAGCTTTCTTTCAATTCAATTTGAAATCGCCACAATGTCTCTTATAATCAGGCCATATTTAGAGACAAGGACCACAGGATAGCATTGAATGCTCTCAGATTGATTCAATTGGCCCAATTAAGTTATTCTATTTCATATCTCTCTAGCAAGAGTTCTTCCAGATAGCAAATGTAATTGGAGCTGCATGGCTGTTCATTACGTCGCTAAACCTGACGGGGCTTAGGGCATAAAACGGAGTGGAGAATACCCGTAGTGTAAGGAAAGAAAAAAGATCCACTTTGAAGCTTTACAATTTCAATGTACCGGTTACTGTACAACATACTCATACAAACGTACCTCTAAGTCTGTCCGAAAGAGGATAAATTGATTTTGCACGCCTTGTACCGAGTACTTTACACGGTAACTGAATGCGAACCTTTTGAACTCAACCCTATGGAACGCTTATGAAACAACTTCCTGCACAAGAATACGAATTACTCTTTTAGTACAACATACCTTAGTGGTACTCGGCATAGTTTAGTCTATGCCGTCATTTCTAGGCTCGCGTCCCACACTTCCTACTTTCTGTATTGCGCGTTCGCTTTAGAGTGCAATCTACTCCGTACCAAAGTTTGTGCAACAAAGAGTACAATCAATTGCAGTTCTCCGTCAATATATCTCAAAACGAGGGAATGGTTTGATTTTCCTTCTACAGTGGGCCTGGAAGAGGCACATGCAGTCGGCCGCTCGGTCACCTTTTAACGAGACAATTTGCTTTCCATCTTGGCGCGAATCCCAGCAAACTCTCGTGCTCATCACTTTGGACTTCGGATTGTCATTATTGTTTATGTTGCCGATCCGGTACCTTTTTTTATCCGAGGCAAATCCAAGCACTGGGCTCCAGGCTAGATGCGCTCGGTCTTACTAAGTAGGGTCCAATGGGGAAGGTGCGATGGAAGCTAAATTAGGACCAATCGTGAACTACGACATAAGTTCACTAGCCCTGTCTATGACCTCGCCATCTCCGGTGCAGCAGCACGCGATTTCACGAGGCGCAATTAGGGGCTACCGGCTTGACAAATAATATCATTCATGTCGCCTAGGTGCAATGTACAACACACAACGGAGTAACTATCGGCTCTGCCGAAGAGTTCCACCGTAGACGGGATGTCCTCAAAGATCGCGGTCCATCTCAGCTGGATACAATACGCATATGTGGATCTAGCTTGCACCAGCCTCTTATGAAAATAGAGCAAGCACAAACACACGGGATACAATCTAATTGAGTTCGATGAGCCGGGGTTGCGGCAATTCCCTCCAAGCCAACCAAAAGTCCGGAGGATAACCGGATCAAAGGTTACTTTGTACCAAAAAAACAACACGAACGTGATCAACCAAATCAATGAAATGACAGGACAAGTGTATGTTCCCTGATATCAGCAAACCTAAGTAAACTATCGATCCAATGCGCCCGAAGCTGGGTCCGAGCCCATGCTGACAGGGGTGTCGCCAATAGCCACCCCCGCAGCTGTTGCCTGTAACCAAGTGGAATCCCGCCATGCAACCCGCACAATGAAGGCTATTTTTCCTTGAAATCGAATATTTCGTGACGGCATGGAAATAAAACACACTCGAGATTGCGCAAGACTCAGGGTTCATTTGAACTGCTTCATCAGGCCCCCCGCAGCAGATGTCATACACCGGCCTGACCGAGTTTGCCTTATCCGTATTTTGATTCGAGATCGTCCAATGACGATGTGCCAATCCATCTCAGCCTCCCCTGTCTTTTAGCTCGTTCATACTCATCCAGTGATATGTTGTCATAGCGATTAGATGTGGGGTTTCTATTGCAGAGCCAAGTATCACCATGGCCTATCAGAGTGTTTATGTGCAAGTATCCCAGGAGTCCGATACATAAGCAAGCATAACGGGTTGCTCTCAAATCAGCCACAACGGACTATGACAAGCTAAAAGATGATGGTTGCTTCTGACGTGGCAGCCTGTCGATGGAACCGTCTCTCTCTACGGAGTACTCTTTGTCGAGAGAGATACTGATAGGGGTCTGTCGCACCCATTCGCAATTGCATGTTACTATTGGTTGCAGTCTGCCTTGCTCGTGGCTCAATTTGTCTACTTGCGCTGACATATTCAGCTGAGCCTGCATTTTTGGTGCAGATTTCCCGCTGGCTCCCTTACATCTGGCATGGTAATGTCCATATACAATGGTCTCGAAGAGCACAATGCAGTTCATGCCACGCCACTGAAATTTAAAACTGGGCTACAGCCCGAATGTTTACTTTACACTGAGGAAACTTGCTCGGGTATCCAATGGTGCCGCTGCACACCCCTGATCTAGACTGCAACACGACCAAGTCAGTTTCTTGATCAGTAATTGCTTCCTCATCAATATGTGGGTGGATCATGGATGGTAGAGTCATTGACCGCTTGTTATCGGTTGGTCAATTTGCGATTCACTCATTTCTTTCTGTGACGGTGAGCTGCAATAGGGAATTTGAAGATATCCCACAACGTTCGTGGTGTTGCACAAATATTACGTTCGAAAACTCCTTTATTTTGCTGGGCAAGTAAGGCGCATTGGATATATAGTGGCTGTTATCTATGTACCATTTAAATTAACGACCACACTGTGTCAATATGGTCCTGTGCAAGCGTATACTTCAACATGAATCAGAGGCCTTGACATGTACCTAGGTGCTCATCGGCGTCAGGAGACACTCGCATTTCAACTGAGACATCGAAGCAACTAAGGCCACATCCAACTGACGGAAAAATCCATGGCCACAGAGATATACCATCGTTATTGTTTGCTCTTCTCATGGATGTTCTTGTGTCTATTGTGGCCTGATTCGTAAGGCACTATGATATTCGATGCTCCACACGTGATTTCGGGGAAACATACCCGACTAGTCAAGATATTCCGGCCGCTAAAAATTATCTACAGAAAAAAAAAGCGGCAGCGCAACAGTCGCAAGGAAAGCTTTGGCACCACGTTATAATCACCCCTTTGTGTTTAAGAGATGACTGTCTAAAGGCTGGTTTTACAGCCTGAGCTGAATTATTTCTGAATTGATCTTCAGCACCCCCATTTCTGATTTGCACACCCTTCAAAACCATCCGAAACGAGCTCTCTGGCTTCGAAGCCCACATCTTCAATCATGGATATCCACCGTTGCCGTTTCGTTTCTTACAACCCACAGGCGATCAATGCACTTGCATTCTCGCATCCCCCGTCAGCAGACCTAGCTGGACGTGGCGTACCCACCCTCCGACTCGCGATCGGTCGAGCGAACGGTGATATTGAAATATGGAACCCGATGCGCGGCGCCTGGTTCCAGGAGACTGTTATGCGTGGAGGCAAGGATAGAAGCATCGAAGGACTTGCATGGACCCTGGATCCCCAGGAGGATGGGCCCGATGGCACCAAATTACCGGGAAAGTTGCGTCTGTTTAGCATTGGATACTCCACGGCCGTCACCGAATGGGATCTTGAGAATGGCCGTCCGCTGCGCCACTCTAGTGGAAACTATGGAGAGATCTGGTGTCTTGCTGCGCAGCCTCGCTGGCAGGCGACCAAGGGCAAAGATGGAAAGGTGCTTCCTCCCGCCGAGGGCGAGTACACGGGTCAGCACCTCGCCGCAGGATGTGCGGATGGGTCAATTGTCATCTTGTCCACTGCCGATAATGAGCTTAAATTTTTGCGTCTGATGCGTCCCTCAACGAAAAGAGCGCGCGTCCTGAGCGTTACCTTCCAGAACCGCAACACCATCGTCGCAGGTTATGCTGATAGTTCTATCCGTCTCTTTGATATTCGCACCGGTCAGATGCTGCGCACAATCTCTCTGGGCAAAGGACCCACTGGTGGCCCGAAAGAATTGTTGGTTTGGTCGGTAAAATGTCTGCCAGATGGCACGATCGTTTCCGGTGACTCGGCTGGTGAAATTCGGTTCTGGGATGCAAAGAACTATTCCCTTGTTCAACGGATACAGGGCCATCTTGCCGATACTCTTGATATCGCAGTGAGTGCCAACGGAGACACTGTTGTCAGTGGTGGTGCCGACCAGAGGACGGTAGTCTACCGCAAGAAGGAGGGAGAGAAGGGCGACAAGAAGGGTCGCTGGGCTGAGATCATGCATCGCCGCTACCACACCCACGACGTCAAGACATTCGCTGTCTACGAGACAAAGGATATCAGTATCGCTGTGTCTGGAGGTATGTTAACCTTGGCCCACCATGGATTTGAGGTGTTCTAGCCATGCTAACTGTTTCGTTCAAAGGTCCCGACGCAACACCGATCGTTCTTCCCCTTCGTGAATTCGGAAAGGAACACCACCGCAAGCTTTCGAGTCTCCCGCAGATTCCTCAGCTCACCTCCTCGCCATCGTCTCGTTTGGTTATGAGTTTCTGGGACAGAGAAGTGAGCTTGTGGCGTGTGTCTCGAGGCCCTGCTTCTTTGCACGAGAACATTGATGGTCAACGGCACAGACTTGTTGGTAAGGTTCTTATCCAGGGTGAGGAAAACATCTCATCGGCGATGCTGTCCTCGGATGGCAAGACGCTCGCTGTTGCGACTATTTCCGAGGTCAAGCTCTTTTCTCTCCGCCGGAGAAAGGGTGATGAGAAGGGCGCTCTGCGCATCCAGAAGATTGACGTACCCAAGGCGCTTTCCGATGAAGGTGCTCGCCTTGTGACCATTTCCTCCGACGGCCGATGGCTTTCAATTGTTCGCCCCAACAGCGACATTTACATGGCAAGAATCCAGCCAGCCTCCGCATCTAATGAGAAGCCTCAGGTGGTGCCACAGTTCGCAAAGCTCAAGAGAGCCACACGTCATGTCCGACACGAAAAGGCATCTCACGGAACATTGGGTGACTACGAGCGAACGATACGATCTGTGGTATTTTCAGATGACAGCAAGGTTCTGGCGAGCGGTGATATCTCTGGTTGTGTTGACACCTGGGTGCTGGGCACAGCGACAGGATCCGCAAACAGTGCGATCAAACGTAGCGGAGCCTCGGAGTCTGACGATGATTCATCGGATGATGAGGATGAGGATGTTGTGATTGAGGGCGAGCGCTGGACTACCGCTGCGACCGAATCACCAATCCCTCGCATGAAGTCCGGAATCACTTTGTTGTCCTTCCGTCCCAAGTCTGCCCCCACACAAAAGCTTCTCGCCAATGCCACGCCTCAGTCTGGCGAAGACCGGCTGATGGTTCTCACAAGTGAGCACCAGCTCATCGAATTTGATGCTCGAGATGGTAAACTGTCCGACTGGTCCCGACGCAATCCCAAGGCATACCTCCCCGCAGAGTTCCGAGGCGTGAAGGACCGAGCTATGGGCTGCATGTGGGACCTCTTTGAGGGCCGCGAGCGCCTCTGGCTCTACGGAGCTTCTTGGTTGTGGATGTTCGATCTGCTCCAAGACTTCCCCTCCCCCGAGGAGGCTGAAGCTGGGACCGAAGAGGGCAAGACCGCGGGTCAGCTTGCCAAGGCATCGAAGCGCAAGCGCGAAGCCCTCGACGACGATGAAGACGAGCGGAGGAAACACAACACTGGTGCCGGTGACCGAATTCCCCAGTCACAGATGGATGTCCACTTTGGCACCAAGGTCCGCAAGATCGTTGGCAGTGATGAATCCCAGGGAGAATGGATCTCGTTGGACAAGGAACGTCCCCGTGTCGCAGGCGAAGATGACGAGGCCTACGAGTTCGACGAGACCTTTGCAGCCACCAATGAGACAACCCTCGCCCGTCTACGACGTGGAGATGGAGCTGCGGTCGAAATTGAAATCACACACAAGGGATCAAAGAAGAACGCTGGCGATACCCCGAAGAAGCAGCTGGTGGAGGTTAATGGTGCCTCAGCTCAGCCTACACGTCGGTGGTGGCACACCTATAAATACCGTGATATCCTCGGCATCGTACCTCTCAACACCTTGTCGGATGACGGTTCCGACGACCAGAGCCCGAGTGGGATGCTGGAAGTTGCCGTGGTGGAGCGACCCATGTGGGACGTTGAATTGCCAGGTCGTTACGTGAAGGACTACGAGTGAAGCAGAGAGATGTGAAGGGACTTTCTGTAAAAAAATAGAATGCAGCTGATCCAGACATGTAATTTGGTCATTTGAGCACATTTGGAGGAGCGCATGTTACCGGCGCCTTATGTACAGGGATTCTGAATTGATGATTACCCCAAAAACAATTTGCCTCTAATTAATCCGTAGTGGAGTAGTGGACTCTCGTATATTCCCTGTAATGGATCTACTTTGTAGACATGTCAAGTGAAGTACAAACTCGTGACAAAGGAAGCTCGGGATGTCCTCCAAGGTTTGAGACGATCCAGGACCAGTGCGGGGCCTTAAGAGAGAGTGACTTAAAGCCTCCGAGCTCAGGCTCCCTTGAACTTTGAAACCTCTGTACACCCTGAGATCTTTCTGAAGAGGCCTTCAACCCGCTGCCCTACTGTCTCTGTGAATCCCGAATCTCCTTCCGATCCGCTTATCGGCTTATCGTCTACACGTCAGCTCCAGGGCTGTGAAGTCCGACGACACTTCCTCTCCTCTTTCCATAGACCCTCTACAAGGGCCAGGGATATTTTGCCATAAATCGAGAAACCCTGCATTTGCCAGAACATAAAGTCTCAAAGAAACCCGTTAAGGAGGTCAACAGCAGGACTGCAGCATAGGTCCTCCCAAGTCGAAGCGAGGGCGGGGCCATTCACTCCATATCGAAGAAAGCAGACAAACACTCTGCCCCTTGTCAATAAACGGACCGCATATCCCCCCTCTAGATCCAAGTGTCAGCTCTCAGCTGCTTCGAACTCACCTCTCAGGACCTCGACTGCCATCTCAGATATCCACAGAACCGCATCCTCCGCTTGTCCGGGAATAACCGCATAACTACAGCCACCATGGGCCTCTCATACAACGTCTACTTGACTGCCAATAAGATCTTTGGTTGTAAGGGATGCAAGACTCATTTGGCAGACTTTAATGATATCATGAGTCGGGTACGAGACCTCTCCAAATCCTATTCCTCTTGCACACTTCCTGCTATAAGTATCATGTTGCTGACCCATGACTTTCGACTCCATAGAACTTCCGAGGCCAGCACGGGAAAGCATACCTCTTCAATAAAGTCGTCAACGTCACACAAGGGGAAGCTGTAGAGCGCAGCATGACGACAGGTCGACATATCGTGCGTGACATCGCCTGCAGGCAGTGCAAGGAAACGGTAGGATGGAAGTACGACAAGGCATATGAGAACAGTGAGAAATACAAGGAGGGAAAGTTCATTCTTGAGGAGGAACTATTCTGCGTCGTTTGTTAGTGGGAGGGAGAATACCTTCCACTCGTGCGATGGCCCTCATGTGTGTTGACCTTGATCTTCGATTCATGCACATGACAGGCCGGTTCTCGATTTTATGATAAGGGTTGGATTGCATTTTCTGAGCATTCTTGTATTTTTGTGCTTTTCAAGACTGATTCTTGCTTGTTTTGTTTTCCCTTTCTCAGCTTTGGTGTTTGCGAAAGGCGTCATAAGGAGTATATGCTTTTCTTTGTTCGGGTTCTGTGGGCCCAATGGAACTGGAACTAGCTACGCATTTGCAGAGCAGGACTTGGGTGCCACTCAGCCTTTGCGGTGCGTCTTTGGAATACATTTTGACAGTTCATCTCTCTCCCACATAGCATCCACCATCTATAAGAGTTGATGGCCTGCTTGGAGTATCTGGAATCCCCCTCCCGGAGCTATTCTCTCTATATCTGCAAACACATACATCGTATAGAACTGAACCTTACTGGAAAAGCAGCCATCTCCATCTATATCCTATTTTCGGCGCTTCCAGTGGAGACTAACCAGCCGTAGGTGGGCATCGTGTACCAGCCCCACTAAGTGATTCGCACAGAAGCCCGAGACTGGAGAAATTAGTCAATAGATTTCTTTTTAACCCATTCGGATCCGTCTGGAATCTGATCGTTCGACATTGAGGAAATTCTGCTTGAAATATCCACTATCCTTGTACGGAGTAGGCAATACCAACTCCGACTTCCCCCACCAAACCCCCAAAGTAGGTGTCATACTTCAACTGCCGGATTTCTCCGTAAAAAGATTGAAAATTGACCATCGTCAGGATGACTCCCACTCCCTCAGATTCTGGTATGATGCAGGCGGTCGTGTTTCACGGCCCCTATAAGGTCGCTGTGGAGCAGAGGCCTATTCCCAAGGTGCAGAACCCGGAGGATATTGTAGTCAAGGTGGGATATACTGCGCTTTGTGGAAGGTGAGATCGATCTATGTTGTATACTTATTTTGCGATAAGGATAGTAGTGCTAATTTTCGTAATATTCTATAGTGAGTTGCACATGTTCCGTGGCGTGGAGCCTGCAGGAACAGGATTCGTCATGGGTCATGAGTTTGTGGGCGAGGTCGTTGAGATGGGCAGCGCCGTCAAGACTCTCCAGAAGGGTGACCGGGTTGTCACTGCATTTACTACTTCCTGGTAAGTTGCATGCTCACTGGAAGCTCTTTTTGCATTGAAACTGTACGAACGTTGCGCTGACATCATGATAGCGGCGAATGCTTCTACTGCAAGCAAGGGTGGTCTTCTCGCTGTGATAAGAACAGTCTTTTTGGATGCGACAGCTTGGACGGTGGACAGGCTGAATACGTGGGTTCTCTAAACATACTATGGCTTTTGCTCTGCATGCTGATATTACGACTACACAGGCTCGAATCCCAAATGCTGACGGTTCCGTCATGAAAGCCCCCGAGGGCGTTGACGAGAAGTATCTGGTGCTCATGGGAGATATCTTCCCCACCGGCTGGTTTGCGGCCAACAATGCATTCAAGAACTCAACCCCGGAGCAGATTGCTGAACAGACAGTCGTCCTGATTGGATGTGGACCTGTTGGTCTCTGTGCGCTCATCAATGCTCTAGAGTACAAGCCCAAGCATATCCTGGCAGTTGACTCAGTCCCGTCGAGACTGGAGCTTGCCAAGTCTCTCGGTGCTGAGCCGTGGAATTTCCAGCTCGATCGGGCTGGTCTGGACAAGCGTGTTCAGGAGCTGACAAATGGACGTGGTGCCGATGCTGTCATCGAAGTCGTCGGGTTGAGTCCTGCTTTGCGCACTGGCTTCGAACTTCTGCGGCCTTGGGGAACTCTTAGCAGTGTTGGTGTCCACAATGGAGAGGTAAGTAGATCTGAATTTTGGTTTTAGTATTGTTGCTAATAAGATACTCAGATTCCTTGGGACGGCAATGATGCCTATTCCAAGAACCTCACTGTCCAGATGGGGCGATGCCCTGTTCGGTCTGTTGCTCCTCGAGCTCTTGAGGTGCTCAAGAAGAACCAACATAAGCTTGGGTGAGTGTGGTCATGGCTATATATGACTGATATATTAGTGCTAACCAGTAAATAGCTTCATGACTGATAAGATCATGCCGCTCTCGCAGGCAGTGGAGGGCTATGACCTATTCAACAAGATGCAGGTCCAAAAGGTGATATTCCAGGCTGATCAGTAATGACCAGGTAATATTAAATAGGGGAAAAAGAACAATATAAGAGTAGAAATAAAAAAAAAATATATAGATTAAAGAAAGAATGAGGTCTAAAGAAAAAAGGAAAAAAGAGGCAGATTTTCATACTCGGGTTCTCCGCTTAAAGCAAAACACCCTCATCCACCACTTGGACTTCACTCTTTCACCATTCCCCCCATCTCTCTTCTCCTCACCTTCTTCCCTTTCTTTCTCCCCCTCTCTTCTCCTCGTCCCTTTCTCTCATCAGGTGCTTGTCCTATTCATCTTTCTTCTCCCTCTCTTGATCCGAGATTCTGCCGTTTTCCCCTCCCATCCATTTCTCCACTTCCTATCTCCCTCTTCTGTGAGTCCTCTCTCTTTCTAGCTTGATCTTATTCGGGTTGCCTTATTTGAGAATTCGCGCATAGTTGCGTATCTCATGCGCACCTCTTTCTGCCTCTATTACAAAACTGACCTTTGCCACATTTGAGTGTGAAGTCTCTACCGTCCGCATCTCGCGACCGTACGGTCTTAAAGAAACCCTCTCCCCCGCCATTCACTTGTCCCTTTCAAACCGCTCAACCGCTTCTCCCACTTTCATCGATTACCGACAAAAATGGATTCCACCGAGATTCACCAAACCACTGTCGTGGACGAGCCCATGACCGACAACTTCAACGACAACCTTGCCGATCAGGGTGACCTTGAGGCCCCTCTCAAGACCGAGGAGGAGTATGCTATCGCTGAGTTGACTCTGCGTGCTATTGTTTCCTCTAAGGAAGCTGGTGTCATCATCGGCAAGGCTGGCAAGAACGTTGCCGATCTCCGCGACGAGACCGGTGTCAAGGCCGGTGTGAGCAAGGTAGTTCCTGGTGTTCACGACCGTGTCCTGACGGTTACTGGTCAATTGCGCTCGCTTGCTCGCGCCTATGCGATCGTGGCAAAGGGTCTTTTGGAAGGTGCCCCGCAGATGGGCATGGGTGGCATTGTCTCTAACAATGGGACCCACCGTAAGTGATATCTTTTTTCTTTTCTATCGCCCTCGATATCTTGATTTGGACTCGTTATTCTGTATGGGGAGTTTAAGGAAACCATACAGAGAGTCCGCAAATTCTCATTCAGATCCGAGCTTGTTCTAACTTTCTCCAGCCGTTCGCCTTCTGATCTCCCACAACCAGATGGGTACCATCATTGGACGACAGGGTCTGAAGATCAAGCACATCCAGGATGCATCGGGTGTTCGGATGGTTGCGCAGAAGGAAATGCTCCCCCAGTCCACAGAGCGCATTGTCGAGGTCCAGGGTACCCCCGAGGGCATCGAGAAGGCCATCTGGGAAATCGGCAAGTGTCTTCTTGACGACTGGCAGCGTGGCACCGGTACTGTTCTGTACAACCCCGCCGTGCGCGCTTCTCTCAGCGGCTCGCAGCCCCTCAACAACAACCCCCCGGCTGGAAATGGCTACCAAAGCAACACCAACAGCCGTCAGTATAACCGTACCGGCAACGGCGCCGACTTTAGCGACGGTAGCTACAACCGCCGATCCAACTCCGATGCTGGAAACCGCGGCTACCCCCTGGTTACCGAAGATGGCGAAGAGATCCAGACCCAGAACATCAGCATTCCTGCGGACATGGTTGGATGCATCATCGGCCGGGGCGGAACCAAGATCACAGAGATTCGCCGAAGCTCTGGCGCTCGGATTTCCATCGCCAAGGCTCCTCATGACGAGACCGGCGAGCGCATGTTCACTATCATGGGAAGTGCTCAGGCCAACGAAAAGGCCCTGTACCTTCTCTATGAGAACCTGGAAGCCGAGAAGACTCGCCGCAGCCAGCTTCCCCAGGAGTAAATTCCCCGGGATCACTCCTGGTATGTGTATGTGTGTGCGGATGAGACGGTCCTAGCAGGACTCCTTTGTGTTCTCTGACCTTACGACTTCCTTGGAGACTTGTCGGTCACGATCAGCGGCGGTCATGTGCTAGCGCTTCTTTTATTTCCTTTTTATTCCTCTATTTCATTCCAATTGCTTCAGGTCTTCTTTCTCTCTTGATCTTCTTCGGCTCTTTTTTGAGGTTCTAGCCTCACCACATGTCGCTCTTATTCACAAAAAAGGCAAAAGTTCACTGCGATGCATGGAGGGTACACATGCGTATTAGATACCAAGTCTGTGTGGTCTTCATTGACCAATTGTGCGTTGAATTGAATCGCAACCCGAATGTCTCTCGATCCTAACCCTCAACTTTGTCAATCACAACAGCCTCACACCTCCATCGCCTCCCTCGCTTCCCCACATCCAGCTGAACTGTCACCGTGATGTCCCTAATCCGTCTTTATCCCGATTCCTGAACCACAGACCTCTCCGCCCACCATCCCAGTCTCTACCTCCTCCTTGTCCTCGTTCCACCTTGTATGCCGCCAGCTTGTAGCTGGCGGCGTATATTGATCCTTGTCTTTCCTCTACTCTTATCTCCTCGACTTATGTATCCTGTTCTTGTTCCCTTCCTATCCCTGACTTCCTGCAATGCTACCACCTTTTACCAACCCTACCCTCTCCTTACTGTGGTGTATCTTGACACTTGAAAACGAAATCTCTAAATAATAAAAAAACGCTTCTTGTCTCCTAATAGCCCTTCTTTCATGTGTCTCCTCTTTGCGTAATGCTTTGCCTGTTCTCAAATATGAATATCTGGTGTTGAATATCAATAGGACATTACCATTGTCTGAATCCATGAAATACTCCAGAAAGAAAGTGGTTTCTTATATATCCTCTGCAGATGGACCGTTCGATTTATTGACTACGATATCTTTACGGATGGTTGGTCTGTCCAACTGCTCCATGATAAGACCACTTTAGCTGGTAAGATGCCAGAAATTTATACTCTACTACAATATGTAATCTAAGTGACGGCCCGAGTGGCTCACTGGGCAACTTGATCGCTCTCCCCAATATTTAGGCTGATCGACCCATTCAATTCTATCTCACCTCGCCATTCTTTCAAGTGCTCCGGCGGTAACCGTACTATTGCCTACTAGTTCCTATGAGCGAAGGCTAGGAAATAGCGTATTCTTATATTGCTATAGTAATTTCGTCTAAATTTTTGAACTTCTAGTTCGTCGACGTGACCCTGTCTAAAACCAGCTTCCAAAATCGAAAAAATCATCTATGTCTCCAAGATCCAACCCCCCAGTATTGAACATACCCGCCAACGGCTCCTCGTTAATTTCCGAGTGCTCGGTGTTGCTTATATCAAAACCATTGTCCACGCTCACATAACCATCTTGGCGAAGGCTAAAGGGTTGAGCTTGCCAATGTTGGTCAGCGGACTCCGGAGCAGTCACATTGGGTATATGTGAGGACCGACTACCTTCTGTAGCAGGCTGGGCCGGTAAATCGGGAGTTTGATGGTGCGACTGGTGACTTTGGCTTTCAGGATCATTGAATTCTGTGGTTTGTATCTTGGGTTCGATTGTAGCCCACTCAGTCGTTTCATTCATTGGGGAAGACAATGTCTGACCCGACTGAAGATTCTGATCATTCTCTCCCGCGAGGTCCGATTTATGAAAGCCCCCGTCGGATTGCTTCATAAAGCCAGCAGTCAACGGAAGGAGACTGGGCCTTCTTAAGCGAGAATCGGGCCTCGCTGAAAATACAATCCCTGCGAGCGATGCAGTGTATGAGTCATTAGAAAGGTTGCGATTGTGTTCAGGTCTTTCATTTGAAAGCACATTTGGGGCCTCGGAATCAAAGTTCAGCAACCTGTCGCGAACCTTTTGTAGATCTTCCGGGAGGGTCGAGACCATGGTCTTCGATAAGCGTCAGAAAAGGCGTAGATATACATGGCACGGAAGTAGGCGCTTGACTCACCACGAGTATGACTTTGAACCGACTAGCAGGGTAGCTTTGCTTCGCCAGCTGGTCCAATAGCTTCATCCCAATTGCCAAGCTTTTGAACAAGAAATCTGGTTGGTATGAGCCTCGGGAAGCAATTATAATGTAGAAGAGCGTCACGATGGCACTGCACAGCATGCGTATAGCTGGCCAGTTGCCTCCCCTTAAAAGGCCTCGCTTATACATGTCTTCACATAGTAGTACGATATTTTGGCTAGCCTGGACGCATGCGATGGCATAACAAGACGAGTCTTCACAGGCAAAAGGACTTTGCTCTGGATTCCTGAGCGTGTATTGTAGAGAGGGCCGATAGAGATAGAGATGAACGTAAGCATAAGAAATACAGAGCATATACTGAGCCCTAGAACAGAAAAGATCAGTGACGAGCGGAAAGGTAGCGCTAAGTACTTTTACCTTAGTAGTCTCGGTTCTCTGTAACATGTGCCTAGCAGGTACCCTCGGGGTATGCTATTGGCCCATTTCTTGAGATCATCTTCAGTTTCGCGTACTTTTTCGAGATTTGCAGCGTGTGCTGTCGAATCATGTAGCTGGTCATGGCCCAGGGGCTTAACAGGATACATTTGCCTTGTCACCTTATCTCGAATCATGTGAAGTCGATAGGAGGCATTTGCACCGGAAATATAGCAGATTTCACTTTGTGGCTGCATCGATATATTTCTGCTTGTGATGTAAACATCGTTGGCCTCTCTTGGGAATTCCTGGTCTATATCGCTATCACTCAAAAGCCTTGGCATGCCGCAGCAGGAGCTGACATCATTGACAAGCAGCCATAAAGCCCAAAATAACCTCTTGCTGATTTCTTGAGAGATCAGGTCCTGGTCTGTCTTGAGGGACCGATGAAGGCCCATTCGAACCGCAATTGACAGTGAAGTACAGAGATAGGTGTAACAGGTCGAGCTTCGGTTCGTGGTGAGAAGGAACAGATTCATGAAGACGATGGCTTGAAGAGAGACAAGATCTCGACAATTCGCGATATCCTGCAGTTGCCTGCTTTTGGAAAAATATTCTGAACTGTCGGAATGTAAGTCACCGGTCGAAGGTATCGTGGCACACTTGATAGAACATACCCCTTTGAGATCATTTCGTGGCTCTCTTGATTTTCCGAGTCTGATTCAATGAGCAAACAGCCATAGGCGAGTACTGCGTACAGCAGTGGCAAGAACAGCACCTCCCTTTTGCCATATTCTGATCTGTCAAGGGAATAGACCAAGTTGAAGGAAACATCAAAGCTTGGTCGATGTATGATAGGCAGCAGTATCTGCGCATCCAAGGCTGCATCCACCAGTTTCCTTGCTAATTCTTTCGTGGGCAAAGTGACTTGATCTGATATTCGTCTGTTGGGCTCAAAGAATCCTGACAAGGACATGTCTGGAAGAAGTTGACTGCATGTTTCACCGCCATCCCAATCACTCAGCTTTGTCTTGAGGTCTTGAAAAAATGTCCGATCTCCAGATTGACCTTGGAACTCAATTTCTCCTTGTTTAATGGTGTGGTAAGCTGCCCCGTATTTTCTTATTTCTGGCTGGGTGACGTTGCTATTGTTATCTGGGCTAGGGGTAGCGGGATATTGATATGAGCTGATGGGCGCTGTTACTGTCGGGACTGCAACCGTTGAAGACATTGCCGGTGCTAGCGGTAGAAATGACTCCATGGCCCTCAACCTGTTTTCGAGGAAGACTATCCGATCGGAAGAAACCCGTGGCTTCTTTTGCCTTCGAGGAGGCTTGAGGTAGATGCAATCTTAGGCAAATCAGTCTCATCGAATGCACTCAACTTTTAAACTTCCTAGCTTACCTTGGAATGATCTTACGCATTTGCTGCATGGATTTCCTCTGTCACATTTGATCTTCCGCTGGCGACATGATTCGCATGACCTCTTCTTTCGGTCGATATCGCCTCTTGCAGTCTGGGCTGCAGAGGTGATGGTTTGACCGCTGGCCATCGAAAACTGGGAACAATGATATTGATTATTTGAATCATTGGAAATTGTGGTCTTTGGAGGCCCTTTAAACGCCATAATCGAGGTCTATTCCTCGACTTGAAGTCTTGTACGAGAAAAAGGGAGAGTAGACAGTTTATTCCCGTTAAATCCGAGATGCCACAGTGGATCATCAAGTTTTCATACCCCAGTGATTACTCTGTCCGCACATGTCTAAATTTTACAAATGGCTGCATCTTGCTGGGATCTAAATATATTCTAACTTCCAAACGCAGCTCTCTTTTCCCAAATCAATTTAAGCTGTGCGTGTGTGTTGAAGACAAAGTGCCTTATAGCCATCGCTTGAAAAAGGCGGCCACCTGCTTATATCTGCACATTGTGAGAAAAGGAAACCAAATATGCCATGCGAAATTACTTACCCTCTAGTAAACTCTAGGAGATTCTTCTCGTCCTCAAGGTTTGCTCGTGCTCCCATCCACCCATGGAACATCGTACCGTATAGCTCAAACTCGGAGTGGTCCGGCAATGCTTCCTTATACGGGTTGAGGATGTCTGCAGGTTCATCGGGGGAAACTAGACAGATGTGCGGTATGGCCATGCGTCTAGCATCTGCTATGTCGAGAAGCCTAAGCAAGCTGTCAGCGATCGGTGGACCTCCAAGTCAGGACAAAACTATGCGACTCACGCAGGGTGGGTTTGACCAGAGGCCACAAACGGCGTCTGATCAGTAGAAGCCAATGCAGCGAGCTAGGTAGTAAGTATCTTTTAGTAAATTTATATTCTCCGAGGCCTTCCTCTGTTGGCGCAAATGAAGATTCTTACCTTTCCACCCCAGCATAATCCTAAAACAGCCCATTTTTCAACGGTGGCATAGAGACTCTTGGTCTCATTCGTGACGGAGTAGAGGGTTGCTAGATTCTTTTCAGGGCTTGCTTTGTTCGCAAAGAACCCCATCATATTGTCTCTTTTTTCGGCAGTATCCATCCCCACCCATTCAATATTCGCTGCTTCTCCATTGAAGAAGTCTGGAATGATAACCAGACAGTCTAATTCCTTCGCAAGGAGCGCTGCTCCTTGCTTGGTCTGTGGGTAGAGTCCGAAGATATCGTACACAAGCACCACACCTCGCTTGGCTTTCCGATCACCGAACACGTCTGCGTGTAGAAACGTTAGTTAACACTAAGACATATATAATCGAAAAGCTGTACGCACACAGGTTAACTCCTGCCGCTTGATCGATTTGATCCTCCGATACAACGGCTGGCTCTCCTTTGGGGGGAGTGTTACAGCATGCTTGGCTTGCCATCGTGTCAAGAAAAGATAAGAACTAATGGATTTGAAGGGCACAGAATATATGAATTTAGAAACTTCATTTCGTATTTCTAGGCCATACTAAAGGTATATATGTACTCGAGTCTATAAGGATATCTGTTTTCGGATGTTCGACCATACTGGAGATAAGGGTAAACTCCGTCTGGTCGTTGATTGGTTGTTATTCTCCGTGATTCAGGTTAGACTCGGATTTTGTCGAGTATCTTGACTGTTTCGATATGGCGCTAACCCCCAGAGCGGGATTTCCTGGCCCCGAAGTACTTACTATGTATGTGGTTCTGTTATATCTACTACCACGAGAGAGAAGAAAAAAAAGCCATTATGGCAGACACCATAAAGGTTGTTGATCACCATTCGCTTCGTTCAAACAGTTGATTCTTGCCTTTTTCCTTTGTTTTTTCCCCATCTCATCGTCCTTCCTTCTCGAGTGATTGCTTAGACCGCGGTACCATCAATCCTGCATTCTCATAATGATAGAACAGGACGAAGAAAAGGCAGAAGCTGTGAGTAGAACCACCATATTTTAGAGATAGATGTATGCTAAGACAATGCCCAGGAGCTGCCCATCAAAAACAGTGATAGATATCCTGTCACAGACCTTGACCAAGGCATTGTGGGATGGGAGGATCAAGATGATCCGTTAAATCCAAAGTGAGTTGGATGTGCATGTCTGGGCCATGAAATTGCTGATCTGATCGTTACATCAGAAATTACCCTGTAGCTAGGAAATGGTTTCTTCTTGTGCTCGTCAGCATGATCACTTTCATCAGGTAGGTGCACGCCTATTCTTCTGGCACAAAAGAGGCAGAAATCTGACTAGCTCATCTTCTTCTATCAGTCCCTTCGCATCTTCATTATTTGCACCTGGTGTGGCAGATGCGGATCGCGAGTTCGACAACACATCGTCTATTCTGGGATCCCTTGGTGTGACATCCTATCTGTTTGGCTACGGTGTGAGTAAAATCCCATATCAATATACAATAACCGATTCCCTGACAAAGTTTCCAAGGTCGGTCCATTGTTTCTGTCGCCATTGAGCGAGATATATGGGCGGAGAATCATTCTCAATATTTCCACCTCTTTTTTCGTCCTCTTCCATGTTGGCTGTGCACTTGCACCGAACCTCTCCGCATTGATATGCTTCAGGGTTCTTACAGGAATTGGAGGTTCTGCATGCTTGACTATTGGGGGTGGGGTTGTGTCAGACTTGTTCGAACCCGAACAGCGCGGTATGGCCATGTCAATATTCGGCGCTGGGCCTCTCTTGGGGCCTGTCCTTGGGCCTCTTTGCGGTGGCTTCATTGCACAAAGAGCAGGGTGGAGATGGGTTAGCAATAATCCACTTTCTTTGTTTCATGCTTCGATCACAACTAACTGATGTGAATTAGATTTTCTGGGTTCTTGTCATTGCAGGCGGCTCGTTTACACTCTTCGTTATGTTGTTCAACCGAGAGACAAACCCTGTTACTCTATTACGTCGCAAAACAGTATCCCTGCAGAAAGAGCTGGGCCGTTCTGATCTCCGCAGCTACTACGACAAAGCAAAAGATCCGAAAGCCGAGAGCCGCAAACGCAAAGGAATATTTTCGCTACGCGGTCTAGCCACTCCATTCCAGCTTTTGTTCCGCTCGCCCATCGTGTCGATCATCGCTGTATATATCGCCACAGTCTACGGCTGCCTCTATCTCCTTCTCACAACCGTCACAAACGCCTTCAGAGAGACCTATCACTGGAGCCTCGAGACCAGTGGGCTAGCCTACATTGGGCTTGGTTCAGGGTTCCTGTTTGGACAGCTTGTCTTCGCAATATTGAGTGACAGAGCCATCATTCGTCTCAAAGCCCGCAATGGAGGTGTCTTCGAGCCAGAGATGCGCCTGCCACTCTGTGTAGTCTTTGCCTTGTCTGTTCCAGTCTCATTCTTCTGGTATGGCTGGTCACTACAGGCTAAAACACACTGGATCGTGCCCATCATCGGTCTTTTCCCCTTCGCTGTCGGCCTGGTTGGCATTTTTGGCACATTGCATACGTACATCATTGACTCGTATCCGCGATATGCAGCGTCAGGAATAGCAGCGCTAACAGTCTCTCGATCTCTTGTTGGCGCGCTTTTGCCGCTTGCTGGACCTGATATGTACCGGACACTTGGTTATGGCTGGGGGAACTCGTTGCTTGGGTTTATAACCCTTGCAATGGTTGGAATGCCTATTATCTTCAATCGCGTTGGGGCAAGACTGAGGAATAGCTATGCAACTAAGTTCAACTAGCATATCAGTCTTAGTGGCTGAATACATTGTTGCTAATGTGATGAGAGCTCAGTCAACATTTATATGTACGCAATGCGACATATCAATATAGGTAAAATCATTAAGATTCGGCCGAAATGTTGATTTGGATCTTTGACTGTGTTTGAAATCCATGACACTGAGGAGTATGGTGGCTACTCACTCAACCCAAAGCTCAACGTACTTCCGGTGAATGGCTCTGACCTTGGCAGTACGCTTATGCCATCATGAATGGTACCTCCTTGTATAGAGTATGTATTACTATAAAACAATAAAATTATCAAGAAAGCTCTTGAATATCTCATTTCATTCCATTCAATCATTAAATACTCATCTGTGACTCACGGACAAAGGAGATAAGAGAAAAGACCAGCCTGCGGGCAACAGACCTAAATACAAACACGTGCCCGCAAGAAATAAGATGCAGACAAAAGAATAAACATGAAAAAAGGAAAAACAAGGAAAGATAAAGTGACATGAAACCCCTAGGGCGGAATACACAAATGAAAAAGTGCCACCCGGTAGAGTATTATGGACAAGAGACGCCGCCAATGGTAGGTTTTGTACATGAATTTGACACAACCACCAGTAGACATGTTGATAGTCTATGGTGGGGAGATGGTGTGTCTTTGCTGTGAGAGATATTCCCCGCAGAGAAATATCACACAAAAAATGTAAACATAGAATAGGATGGGTGATGTGCTGGCAGCGTGATGGGTGTGGTTTCTTCTCAAATCAAATACACAGAGGAGATTCGTTAGAATGCATAGCGCAATGGTGTGTGGGACCGTGGACAGAAGGTAAAACTTCCAACTGCCGTGCTGACTGGTGAGACATGCATATAACAAGCAATGTTCTTTCAAAAGATAGAACGAGAACGCCGATGTCAAAGCAGATGTCCGAAAGAAACAGGATCAGATGCGGGGTCGCTGCGTAAAAGGGTTGAGGGTGACGTAATCGGACATGTCGACGGCTGGCATGCATGGATGATATAAGAGGTGTGGACGTTAATCGATGCTGTCGTCGAGGTTTACATTGTTGGGGGTGGCCGGGACACGGTTTCGAAGACCGAATCTCCGCGCCCCCAAGCTGTTCGTTCGCAGTCGTGGGGTTTGGATTGGCGTGTAGCTGGTTGCTACTTTGCTCGATGGGGTCGAAATTCTGGTCTGGGAGGGTTCCATTTGGGGCGAGCGCAGGCTTTCTTCGACAGGAGATACCTGTATATTGTTGGAAGAGAAGCTAGGCGTTAGGCCGTAACGGCGAGACCCAGCCTGGATGTTGGAGCGGGATGTCGCGGGGGTGTACGTAGCAGGGTTCATGTAGCTTCGGCGGAATGAGAGGCTAGATGAGAGAGTCGGTGTCCGAGGCACTGAAGACTGCACCTGCGGCTGGGGGAGTTGTGACGGTTGGTATTGTGATTGGTATTGCGGGGAGCGGGGGGAGTATGCAATGCCGCTCTGGTCCTGCTGCACACCGGAAATGGAGCGGGACAGGGTGTGACCTTGGGAGAATCGTTGCCTAGGAGGGGGTATGGCTTGCGCAGGAAGCGGTGTACCAATCTCTGTATTGGCTCTGGAGACCGAACGACTAAGTGGGTTTTCAGTCTCTCCGCTCTCCTCGCCAATGGTCAGCCTGCGGCTGCGGAGGGAACTTGACATGCGATTGAGACGGCTGGCTGGGTTGGACATGCCGGGAGATTGGGTTGGACTCTGCTTCACATCTGTCGTGTTTCCAGGGCTGGCATTGACCATGGATGCTCGGCGTGCGTCAAGGCGACTGGAGATGCGATTCGTGCTATGGCGCCGTTCAACTCCTTCGGGCTCCAGGTTCCCATTTCGCTGATACGTTGGTATGGACATACGAGCATCGACCCCCATACTATTCGATAATTGGGGCTGCACGCCTGTCTCGCGGCTCGACGACGGTTGGGCACTCTTTAGCTGCTCATCCGTCAAGGCTAGACAAAGCTCGGTCAGGCTGCGGCATACACTGTCCGCTTTGCGGCGAGCATGTCGTTCAGGTGAGGTGTATCCTCCATTCACGGCAGAGAAGGTGCCCGACGGAGCGGCATTGACGCCCAACGCGGTGGAAAGATTTAAAGCATCGGTTATAGTCGCTTCGAGGGAGGTGTACACGTCACCGCTCAAGACATCTTTGGCCTTGGCCAATGCGGATTGCAGAATCGGATGCACCGGGCTCTGTTCGGTATCTGCAGCTGAGACGCTGGTATTGCGGCGTCGCTTGGGGGAGGAGGATAGGGTGGTAATGGCGGTGTTTGCAGTCCGCGGTCTCTCATTGGTAGGGGTGTACATCGCCGCAGAAGACGAGGGAGGCAGCTTCCCAGTCACTTCCAGCTTCTTGATCCGATCTTTGAGATCATCCAATTCGTCCCAGACAGTGGATGGGGCCGTGGTGGACAATGTCGACTCGGTTCCATCAGGGCGCGATCGTTCTGTATCGGCGCGCGGTCGCCCGGTCACTTCAGAGCCAGACGGTTGCCGACTACTTCTGATTGTAGAGAGTCCCGAATGGCGATTGATGCGCGGATCGTTGAGAGAGGCCCGGCGCTCCTTCTCCTCAGCAGCAGAAGGTGCGCGCGGTGAAGTCTCCGGGCTTGTGCGGCTAAAGCGGCTTCGTGGAACGCCGACAACGGATCGCGCGCCGGATCCCAAGCTACTGTAGCGGAAGCGATTTGAGTCGTCTAGAGGATGGGCGGATGACGCCGGAGTGTGGATGGAGCTGTAGGGGGCAGTGGGGGAATCGTTTTGGAAATGCAAGGGGCTGTCGATATTGCTATACCGCTGATCGGGTGAGGGGGTTTGTTCTGTTGCTGGCGACCGTAGACTTTGGCTGGAATAACCAAGCCGTGACTATTCCATATGTTCTCGTTAGCTATCGGGGAAGTCGCAAAAAGGAGTTAAAGCGGATGCCACGGTCGATGAACGCCAGAGCGATCCGGAATGCGATCGGCTCAAGACCTGTGTTATTCTCACTTACCCGTCTAAAATCTGAGCGACCTATCGAGTCGCGACGGCCGGAATCAGCTCTCGCGATATTTAGGAACACATCCTCGTTCTTTGGGCGGCTCTCGTCCATCGAGGACTTGTCCTCGATCCCCCGGGGCGTACCGTTTAGAGAGCCGTTAAGAGAGCGAACATTGTCATTTAGGGTTCTGGTCGCTCCAGAATAAGCCAGACTTGATGGCATGGTTCTCTTCACATCAGGGCGATCTTGGTGTATTTCGTCCTGTCTGGGCCTCTTCGAAGCATGGGGGGATTCAGAAGCTTGGGGGCTGGGTGAGCTGAAGCTTAGGACGGATCGCCGGGCGCGGTGCAATAAGGAGCGTTTGGTGGTTAGATTGGGTGTTTCATCGGTGGGGCCATCGAAGCGAGTGTGCAACGACAAAGAACGCGAGTGAGGAAAATGTCGGGATTGTTGGAAATGCTGGTCACGGTCATAGTCACGACGCTGATTGACCTGGTTGGGCTGCAAATGGTCACGGGAACCTGCAGCCATCGTGTACTTCGGTACTCTGTACGGTGTACAGAGTACACAGAGTACGGTGAAGTACTATATAGTAGTACCTTTTGTGTGAAATGTTCCTAAGACAATTCTGGGGAAACTTAGAATTGTATAGTTCCGACGGATTGGAAATATGCACAGTTCATAGTCATTGCAGGATGTCAGTAAGGACTTGTGGACTTGACCTGTCAGAAAGAATATTGGTGGGTATACACTGTGGGAAAATTTCAATATTGACGAGCCCTTTTCTATTTAAAACTTGATTTTGTTTTCTTCGTATAAGATAACTTGGGGAAGGCCTAAGTAGACCCGACGTGCTAGATGATACTATGTACTAGTTATGTACTCTGTAGGTGCTAATCTCCATTACTATCTTCTAAATAAAATCCGAAACATAAGTATATACTAATGTAGTAACATGGCAACTTAGTATGTAAGAAGTAAGAAAGTGACCTCGGAGAAGGGAAAAGAAGGGAAAAAAGAAAGAAAAAAGACAAAAAAAAACAAAGCATTGAACCATGGTTCATCCAGCAAAGACCATGGTTACTTCGAAACAAATTAAATTCCACAGACCCGTTTCAAAACAAACTGCTCTATTCGGGTTGTTCTTCATGTAGTATACTTGGTCTACAACATATAACATCTACATATAGTTACGGAGTACTCCGTATGTCTTGATCAAATGCACATCTAGTTGGACATCTCGCAGACCACACTAGTCACTTTGGCATACAACCATTCCATTGCTCCATTTCCCAATGCCAGTCAACCTGGGAATGGAAGAAAGCCTACAATAGCGACAAGGTTTGAATTGTGTGGAGACACTTGATAGGTATGTCAAGTTGAATGTGGTGGCAAACGTTCTATTCTGGTGCGCTGCTTTCGATCCCCACCAAAATGCACAATGAGATACAAAGCGGGCAGCTTGAGCTAGGGGGGGGGGAAACCCCCTCTGGGTGCATGTTAGTCTTGCTATTAAATATCCTACCTCCCAGGGTCAATTAAGTGGTGAAGTATGGAGTAGTGCAGCCTGGCCTCAACCTTGGAGCATCTATGGACTGTGACTAGTGACTAGTTAGGTACTTTTTATTACTTTTGGTTAATCATTAGAACATGGGCTATACTTAGGGAGGAGACAAGCAAGGCCATGCCAATAAAGGGGCTTATTTAGTGATATCTATCCTTGTGCGGAGTATTGAGTACTTTTGTATATTTTGGCGTCTCGTCAATATCACTCAATGTGGAATCCCACAGAACGCCTCGTCTCGATCCATGTATAGTGCAGTGATCAGGTCGAATCCTTCAACCTGGCACTGCCACTTAGCCATTGGACAAATGCATTGTTACGGGCATATTGTTGCAATCCACTACGTAGGCATATATTTAGTACAGAATAGGTGGACCAACTCGGTACTTTGTTTAGATTGATCATTAAACACATATCTATTTGGGGAATACTCTGCAGAGCTTAATATTGCCACGGCTGGTCAGTAAACTGTGCCATTTGCCATCTAGATATCTGTACGGAGCACATGTATCAATAATAAAAGATGAGATTAGGGATTGACCGGTGCAGAGTAGTTTAATTGAACAAGCTGTCCTTGTACGCCACAAACCAATGGAAAGCGTCCTTCAAGTTTGAAACACAAGAATGCAAAACAAGTTTCCTATGTTGTAAGCTGCTCATGTCGCAATTCGGGACATTTATATTTAGCAGCAAGTTCATGTGAAACATCTGGAGTTTCCTTACGTTGTAGGATCGTTTATGAATGTGAGAAGAAGGGGACCATCTATCTGGAACTTTTCTGCCTCAAAACCAGATTTTTACAGGAGGAAACATACTGTGGGAATATCCTCTCCAGACTCGGTACATCGCAAGCTGAAGATCCAGTTTCAGGATCATTACGACAACCCACGTGGAAAAGGCCGATCACTCGTCATTCCCCGAAACCAAACGGAGTACGGAGTAGTGGACCTCAAGCTTCAATAATTCTCCTCAGCCTCCATGGGTATAACCCCAGCTGATGTAATATACTATCTACGAGTACGGAGTACATCTGGGCATCTTTTACGGAGTACTCCGTATATGAGATTGAATACTCCGCAGATTAAAGCCCTCATGTTTGGATATTGCCACAAACACGATCTAGAGGGCAATGCCAAGACCTACTAGTTTCCCACTAGTGCCAATTTGGTGTGTTTCATACAGCGCCAAACCCAGATCCATGGGGTTTCAGGTTGTGCCTTCTCCTCTTGACATCATCCAATCAGATATCTCCTTATTTCTATTTGGGGGTTGCCCCCAAAATGTTGAATGGTCCAATGGCATCATGTCCACACCATCCATGGATCAGCCAGCCCACCGTTCGAATTGATTTTAAAGCTTGATAAACTATCTTCAAGTAGGAGTACGGAGTATACGGAGTATACAACATATATGTAGAAAAAAAAAACAGTGGAGCTATACGTTGTACCAAGAGACGGGAAAGCGAATTTGGAATTGGAATTGATCAAATCAACACCATTTCGGGTTACTACGCACAGCACATCTCCACCATATCCCGTCTCCATGTCTTCCCCCCTTGTCATCTCGGTCCTGAGCCGTTTGTGCATTACTGTGTGTAACAGAGTAACAGATAGTTGCACGGGGATTGTCAATCTTATCCAACTTTAAGGAACATAACTCAGCTGTGGGACTATGTGGGACCTGAGCAAGTATTATTCCTCTACTCTATACGAAGTACTCCGTACTCCGCATGGAGTAGAGAATCAGAAAGAATTAGAATCAGTTTCGATTCAAGATGAAAATACCTGTAATCATGTATAACATAGAGAATAATATACAACTAAGGTGGGAAGAGGCACACTCTCGAGCCTCTCATTTACCTTGGTTTGACGCCGACTAAACATTCCAGGGCGGCTAAATTTAGAGCATAAGGCAGTGATTGGTTTTATCCCCCCAACACCAACTCTGGATCCCCTCTTTTTCTTTTTTTTTTCTTTTATAATATTTTTTTTTAGTTACGAAGTATTGTATGTTACAAAATGTACATACTAATGTACTCCGTACACTTGAAATCCAATCTCTAAATAAAAACACAAAGGGTCCAAAAACCCGTATACTCTTCCTTTTTCTTTTCCTTTTTCCCTTTCTACATCTATTCGACTTTTATCTTTTTTTTTATCCTTTTCCCTGGAGGAACCGCTTTGATTCTATACGCTTTCAACAACTCTATCCCTATACACTTTACACTTCTGAAACTTTTTATTATTTGATTTCTTTGATCTTAGACTTTGGAACATTTACCCTTGGAATCTTTCATCTTTGCTCTTTGCTCTTTGATCTTTGAATATCTAGTCATTCCTTCATATTCCTTCTCTCATACTGGAAAGAAATACACATACCCTTGTGATCTGGTATGTGGACACCCTTCTCATATCCAACCTCTTTATTACAGTTTCCACTTGTTCCCACTCCTTCATGACATCGTACATCGTGTGGATGCCTTTCCCCTTGTGATATGCATGATCGCCCGGATCATTAGTCTCAAGCCCTTGCATTTCAGCTGCCCTAGATTCAAAGCTAACACCCTTCCCCATGGAGACTCCATTTGCGCAGGCAGCAAGTGTATCTTCAATCTCGAGTTCCATTCTAGTCCTCTCTCAAGAGCCGAATTGAAAGGAACTTCCTTTTCCCACAGTGTCGATTCGGACAATGCCAGTGCAAACTAGCCAGGCGTCCTTTCCGGACTCATTTCCGTCTTTCATGTCGGTATTTGGTGGTCCCCTTCCGCGATACAAAGAAGAAGCAAACACCATCCACCCTCTTCAATACCCAACCCATGTCCCGGTCAATACACGCCTACTTCCTTCCCCCCACCGCGAAAGTGTTTCATCCGTGAACTCGGTATCAACCGAGTCCTCTCCGACCACCACCATCTCGCCCTTTGATTCGCCCGGCGGGGGTGACATCTCTCCGAGCTCGTCCCCAGAATCTCCCTCTGCCATGCCCGTCTCATACCCAAAGTTCATGCCTTCCACACGGCCCGCGGAGCTTCCTCCACGCCTTGCGCCTGTCGCCGAACCGCGCCTGTCCGAGCCGACCCCTCCTAACACGCGCCCAGACTCCCCAAATCGGCGGGCGCGCAACCTTAAGAATTTGTCATTGCGAATGCCGCCCCCATCGCAGTCTCGCCCACCTATCGCTACAGCATCGGTAGTGGAGACAACGTCAAAACACCACTTCGATGCCCCGCCATCTCCCATCCCGATCCCTTCCAAGAGCAAGAGCACGAGGCGACGCGCCGCCAATCTTACCATCCAGACCCCCACATTCAATAAACCGTTCTCCGCCATCGCCACTGATGCCGTGCCACCAACTCCATCCCTGCGCCACGCAGAATCCTCGCCTTCGCTTGCGTCAATTGCATCGCCTTCGTTTGCCCCGCGGGGGGGTATGCAGCTTCCCCGGCTAATGCCACATGCCCCGCGCCGTTTTTCTAGCGCGTCTGCCGAGGATCCTGCGTCCCCTGTCACCTTGAAGCCGGTTGATGGATCTGGCTTCTCTCGGCGTGTTCTCGATGGCCTAGAAGAAGAGGATGACCATCTCGACTCGCGCGAGTCGACTCGCAAGAAGGATCGTGGCTATCCCGATGGGCCCATCCGGATTCACGACTCTGGTGTCTACCTGTATCTAGAACCAACAGCAGAAGAAGCGTCCAAATTTGACGTGGTGATCAACGTCGCCAAGGAAGTGGTGAACCCGTTCAGTACTAGCAAGGACGAGCGGAATGATACAGTGATGAGCACATGGCGGAACGCCTCCATGGCCTCGAAACGCTTCTCCCGCGGCGAGCCCCAGACCGCGATTTCAGAAATATCCTTCAAGTCTGCATGGGAATTCCAGCCCTCGGATTCCGAGTCGCCAACTCCTACAACCGAAAGTCCCATATCACTAGGACCGGAGTACCTCCATGTCGGTTGGGACCATAACTCCGAAATTCTTGAAGACCTACTCCCGCTTTGTGAGCTGATTGACGATCGGATCGCTGAAGGAAAGAAAGTCCTCGTGCATTGTCAACTGGGCGCCAGTCGCTCAGCGTCGCTGGTGATTGCCTACGGATTATATAAAAACCGACACCTGGATTTCAACTCGATGTACGAAGCAGTCAAGGGACGCAGCCAGTGGGTTGGCCCGAACATGAGTCTCATCTACCAGCTCACAGACTTCCGCTCTAAATTGTTGCGGGGATCTACCTCAAAGCCCCCACCTCAGGAGTGGTTCGTCCAAACCGGTCGACGAAGCTCAGAACCTCAGGTTGCACGAGCTGAGCGCCCAGCGTCTAACGAATCAAGCCGACCATCGTTCCGCGGACTGTCACAGGCACCTTCGGTTAGCTGCCTCTCAATCCCAGAAACGAGCTCGATGCGTCCCACTACGAGCGACGACGGTACATACACGAAATTCAAGTCCTACTCGCCCAAGCGGAGTCTATCCCCCCGGCCCCTCCCATTCCGGCAGAAGTTCCAGTCCGTGGGACCTGCCGCGGGCCGGCTACGAGGGTTGCCGCGTAGCGTTAGCAGCTATGACCCGCTTGTTCAGTCCCGTGTATTTGTACGTGATGCGCCAGACTCCAGCGGTGATTTGTTCTCGCCGAGGACAAACGAATTCTTCTCACCAGCTCCTGTGGCACCGCGATCATTCCACCGTATTGATCGCTCCGCAGCCCTATTCTCACCCCCCATTCCCCACGCCATGGGGTTCGCCGCCGAACCGGCAGACCCCCGCTCGCCCCCATCCGGCGGCGAGCCTCTGATCATGAGATCCATTGATGAATTCTTGTGATTTCTCTGCCTTGTGTCTTTCGAGACCGGGCTTGAAACGATTCCACGACCCGACCTATTTTCCCATGTCTCTTTTCTGATTTGAAGACCATCTGCTCACCCCCGGGGCACGAGATACGAGGCCCCGGAGTCAATGCAACCCTTCTATTCTCATTTATTAATTTCTTCCACTCATCTCAATCAGATGACTGCCTTGATGATACTCATGACCAAAGCAGGCTTTGCTGTCGCTCATCGCTATTTTTTTTCCAACTTGCATACTTACTGCATATCTCTTTTTGTCATTTGAACCTACGGGTCTTGCCAATGCCATTACTGGTCACCATCGTTTGAACTTCTTTCTCTCTTTTCTTTACCACCGGCGTCTCGGGTGTCCAAAACGGACGAATTTTGATACCAAGGCCAGGCCTTGAAAGATCGAAACAGACCCGTCTGATTCATTTCGGCCTGGTACCTGTACTATTATCGGAGGGTCCTATCTCTTTTGGGTTTCTCTTGTTTCCCTTGGCTTTTGTCTCACTTCCGCTTGGTTATTTCGTGTCACTCTCCTATCTTTCCATCTTGCCACTCATACAAGGCCCTTCCTTTTGCGCCTTTCTTTTTGTGTTCAGCATTCGTGTGGTGAAGGTGCTTGGTTCCTCTCGGAATTCACGACATGCTTGGATTATGGTTGACGGGTGGCGTGATAAATAATAGCCCATTTGCGCATTCTCACAATAGAGATGGGTGTTAAGCTTCAATTGTTTCTCGTAAAGCTGTAAACACACATGGCATTAAGTCTAGTTCTAATAGTCCTAGTGGATCCAACCGTCGTGGCTTCAGGCTGTTTGTTGATTAGAACGGAGATAGCGATAAGCCCCGAGAACACCTCCAACCCAAATTTTCCCTCGCGCATCCTCTCCACGCTCGCGACAATGGCTGAAGAATCTCACCCGGCATACCTCTCGCCCAGCGAGCTGGGCACAAAAGATTAGTATGTGTCCTTCTCAGCTACACCCTCGTCCTTTGCTGGACGCAAGGATGGGGAATCCATGAACCCCGCTCTGCCCCTCCATAAGTGTTGTATACAGTGAATCAGCCACAACGAATGCAGCAATGGATCAATTGGTAGTCCAATTGATTTATAAAACTGCGTTTAATATTTAAGCCAATTCTTCAAATGCAAACTAACAATCCAAACCTAGCTGGGAATCCTACTACGCGCGCACGCTAGCCCACATCTCCCACGAAGCTCCCAATAATGACCCCAATGCCAATAACAACTCAGACCAAAATGACGACGATGCCGCATCCACCACTTCCGACCTAAATGAAGAAGACGACCCCGGCACATCCTGGTTCTCCGAACACAATGCCCCGCAAAAAGTCCTCCACTTCCTCACGCGCAAGTCCTTCCCCTTGTCGCCGCGCAATACAGTGCACAAGAAAGGCTCCCGCCAGCCAAGTGTTCTAGATCTTGGTACTGGAAATGGGAGTATGCTTGCGCTGCTTAGGAAGAGGGGCGGTTATAAAGGACGTCTTGTTGGCGTCGATTACTCGCGCCAGAGTGTTGAGCTTGCGAGAGAGTTACAGCGTGTGAAAGGGCATTCGGCTTATCGCAGTGATTCTGAAGATGAGGATGAATCTGATGACGAAGAGGAAGCAGAGGCCGAGGCTGAAACCGAGGTAGAGGCTGGATCCAATGACATGCCGGAACAAGAAACTTCCATCCAGTTCGAGGAGTGGGATATCCTCGGCTCTAAGGCTCTTCTCTCTGAGACGGGTCTCGAGGTATCACCCTCCTCTTCCTCTGAGGAAAAACTCCCCTGGTTCCCTTACCAAGAAGGAGGCTTTGATATCGTGCTTGACAAGGGCACGTTCGATGCTGTCTCGCTATCTGATGATGCGAAGACCACCCGTGTCTGTGAGAGGTACCCTGATATCGCGCGGCGCTTAGTGCGGCGTGGTGGGTTCTTGATTGTTACTACCTGTAATTGGACTGAGGAAGAGCTGGTGCATTGGTTCACTGGTGATCGCACGAGCGGGGATCGGTTGGCGGTTTGGGGCCGTGTTGAGTATCCTCGGTTCCGTTTTGGAGGACATGAGGGGCAAGGAGTTTGTACAGTGTGTTTCCAGAGACTTGGGGATGCTTGATACTTGAGTGGACACGGAACACTATGCGAACTATACCCCCAAGCAAAAAAAAGACGGTGGAAGTGCAGATATACTGAATATACTGAGATATTTCAATCATTCCAAGCCAAACTCATATATCATTCCCATATAATCTGTACCCATCTATTTTATGCTCATAATCTCATCATGCAAGGGAAATGAGATATCGCTCGAAAATGCATTATCATAACCACAACTCACAACCCTACTCCCCCTTCCTCTTCAAAACAGCAATAACACACCACCTCTTCTGATTCTCCGTACCCTCCCCTTCCCTAACCGGAGTCCACTCCCTGCGAATCTCACCCCCATCCTCCAACCTCGCAACCAAATCCCTCTCATAAATGCTCTCAACCACAAACCCATTCTCAAGAACCGTCTCAAAGAACCCGGCAACAATCGCCCGCCCCGTATGGAACCCAGCAACGACCCACACCTTTCCACCCGGCGCAAGGAACCACTGCATCGTGCGCGCAAGGTTCTCATGCTGCGAGCGCATCCAGAAACAATCCGCCGCGACAATGCGCGTGAAGACCCCCTTATTCGCCGTCGCGAAGGAGTCATTTAACACGCCCCATTCGTGTGGGTGCATTGACACTTCTCCCGCGACCTCAGGCGTGCGTTTGGATAGGTTGTGGTCTATATTGAAAGCGATTGCGCCGCTGAATGCAGGCGAGGAGGGGTGGTCGGTTGCCACGACCTTTGAGGCGCCGGCTAGGGCACAGATTACTGAGGGAAGGGCGGCGCCTATACATATCAATGCGTCAGTTTGGGTTGGTTGGGGGGTTGGTGGAGTACAGTGTAAGCTGTAACGAATGCAAATGAGATATGAACTGCCACTTACCAGCGCCCAACTCGAGCATACTCTCGCCCTTGATACTCCACAGCTCCCGGTTTTCGATCTGGGTTTCTGTCTCTGTTTCGCCTGGGGCGGTGGGTGTGTCCGCTTGCTCGACACCCTCTGCAACGACCATCGCTGCGCTCCAGAGGAAATGCGCAAAGAGCTTGCGTCCCTCGTCAACCTCGTTCACGGATCCATCTGGCTTGGCTAGACCTGCGGCGATCTCCTCAGAGCGTTTGCTGCTTGAGCTCGGGTAGCTGGGGACCATAATATTGAGGTCGCCATAGCGCGGGGAGCTGTAGAGGAGGTGTTGGCCTGGGTCACCGTGGAAGGAAGGTGCGTCATCTGGGAAGAGGTGGGGGAGGAATGAACCGAAGAGGTCTTCGGCTGATTCGTCGACCTCATTGTCGACGTCTCCGTTTTGAAATTCTGGTGCTGGGGCGCTGGGTGTGTTGGTGGGGTGGTGACGGCGGGGGAGAGGCCGTAGACGGGAATGGAGCATTGCTGCGGCTTGCGAGGGATTTTTGAGTAAGTTTATGGGATATTGGATCTGGTATGCAGGAAGTACAAAGTAGACGTCGAAAGTTTATATGATTGAAAAGTCAATTGACCTATTATGCCACTTTATTGCGATGGATCCATCCGAGATCTGCCCAATCTTTATTTCTTATCGGGTATTTTGATGATAAGGGTTTCTTCACAGTTCCCAAAATATGTTTGCATTGTTTGACAGTTTGGTAGATTAGGTGAGATTCCGGCTTACTATGGATGTTGTACAGCCCTGGAGGTCCGACCACGTCATGTAATAATGGAGCATGGAACATATGTTGTATGAGATTCTCTGGGCAGATTAAAATGTCTTATCTTTATAAAACGATTGAGAAATAATTTCAGCAGCTATGATAGCTCTTGATAGCTCTAATAATTGGATCGACAACAATGCAACTTTCTAACCCAATAATGCCGACAAGAAGAATGTCCCGAGTGTCTCAGCCGCAGGTCAATCAATAGTTAAAGACGGGCCAGGAACCTAGGAATGTGCCAGAAACAAGAAATATCAGGGGGTTCCTACTCTGAAGGGCGCCAAAAATAATTCCCAAGTGCTCGTGCGCGAGAGGATAGTGTGACGGTCGGAGTGATGATCCTCTCCTGCAGGCGTTAGCGTACGAGATGGCGCGACCTGATCGTAAGAATATGGTGACCTGAGCGATTACCTAACATCTGGCCCCCGGGAGGCTCGGGCCCTCCAGTGTTGCCGCCTTGGACCGTCCTGGGTTAGGTGATAAGCCACAATTCCTCTTTGCCACAGGAAAAGAGATTCTTAGTTATTTATACTCGTGGACGGAGTACGGAGTACGGAGTACTGCACATGTATATAAGGGAAATTATATAAGATTATATCCGTATTAGTTAGGAGTGTATCAGGTGATATCTTTGACTAAGCCCTCCAAATGACATCATTGGCCCCACCTCATCCACCCTCTTCCAAGCACTAGACCGGTCGATGCTATGCAGGTGATCTGGTCGATACATGGCCAAGCGGTACTTTCCAAGTCACTAGTTCAAGTACTTATGGGCATCTCCTATCAACACACATTCGTCATTACCCGGGTCCGAACCAAGTGACCTGATTGGTACTTGAATCCGGAGTCCAGCTGTGCCATCTTGTGACCCTAGTTGATCGTCAGGCAACTGTAGGTTTTTTTTTTTTTTTTAATCTTAAGCAAATGTGTTTACTTATATTCCGAGACTATGTGCATCCATATAAAGACCATATTGTCAAAGAATTGGGTTATAATTATTTTATAGGCAGTTGAGCCTGGACCCATGGGACTATCCTTCAGAACCAGGGAGCCGACCCTTCCCCTGTACGGAACGCCATCCGAGCAAGGCGAGATATTAAGACATATTACCAAATATGATATTTAAGCCCTGATTATGCCCAACATTCGCCATCCAAATTCACCAGAATTCAATTGATTGTTACAATTAACAACATGTTTTATTCGGATAAGTGGATCCACTCTGCTATCGCATCAGAGGCATTGCGACACACACACACACACATACTGATATAACACACAATATAGGGCATGCTCAGGGAACATAGAATATAACATTATCCAGTATAGACAATAATACAATCCAAAGGGCATAGATATCTTCAAATATATTAGCAATAAAATACTAAACTCGTATGTGTGACCGGTGATCGCTCCCCCCCGCATGCTCAAAGGGAAAGGCCCCCGCAAACCTGAGCGATTTTGGCTCATACCGGCCCTGACTCTTTCTCTCCTTCTTTCTCCTCTTTTTTTTTCCCCTTCCACCTTTCTTTTTTCTGGATTCCCTCACCTTTTTTTCTTTATTCGCTCTCATTCTCTATCTTCATTTCCTCTTCTTCTCGCATTCATTGCTCTCCTCTGCCTATACATCTCGGACCCGCAACTCCGCCTTATTTCACCTTCATTGAATTGGGGGCAACTCGTGTCCTAGAGGGTTGTCAATTCCATTGGAAGCTTCCCCTCAATTTTTACCATGGCCTCATTCAAGGTAGGTGGCTAGCATTTCCGCCTCATTTTTTTTTTTTTTTTTTTTGNAGCGCCCCCTTTGGCCATTCACAGGAATTGTCCATGTCGCGTCCTCTCCCCAATACTAGCCAGCGGCATCACGCGCATTCGATCTCGCTAGGTGCCCTCAATCCAAACCACCGTGTAACTCGCCGAAAGAGTGTGACCACCGCCGCTGCCAATGCTGCCGCCGCAGTCGCCGCCTCCATGGAGGGCGGAGAGGCTACCTCGCTCCCTATGGGTGCGCACCGCCGGAGCCTAGCAGGCCGCAAGGGACTGGAATCTGGCTCCATCGGAAATGTATCTGGCTTCAGCTCCTACCTCTCCCGCAGCATCAACAGCCCTAGCCAGGAGTCACCGGTCGCCCGCAAAGACTCTCCGGGATCGGACCACTCCGATAGCAAGCCCAAAAACCGGAACCGCCGAGCCAGCGAGGGTGCCCAACTCAAGACCGAAGGGAAGCGTGCTTCGACGGCCATACGTTGCGATCGCTGCGGGAAAGGGTATAAGCATGGCAGCTGCTTGTCTAAGCATATGTGTGTATCCCCCCTACCGCTCGGCCGTCTTCTTCTAGCTCGATCGGGGATATGCACCATGTCGGCTCTGTGCAGGTCGCCCTCGTGGTTATTCAACTCCCCCTTCATCGCTGCTCCCCTTTCTTCTACCCCTTTCCGCAACAATTAATTGACGTGTTTTTTTCGTGGTATCTTAGGTGGGAACACGACCCAGCATGGTCCGTTACTTCGAAGCTTCTCATCTCCAAGCATCAGCAGGTTCAACTGCTGGAGGCCGCCTCCGTTTTGGTTACCATGAACCACGATGATCCACCCGATGAGTCCGCCGAGTTGGAGTTGGAGTCGGAATTGTCGTCTGGATCACCGGACGCCCTGTCAGAAATGAGGGATGGCATCAGTTCCGTTGAGACCACGCCACCCCCGATGGACTCGGAGGAAGACGACGATTTCGAGATGTCGGGTGTGCCGGCACAGTGGACCAAACGCCCCAGCGTCAGCAACGCCTCCGGTTTCTCTCGTTCCTACCAGTCCATTCCCTCCAGCTCGTACAACGATAGTGCTCCACTGCACTCCCCAAGCTTCTCTCACTTCCGCCACTCGAGCATCGATACCCGTCCCTCAACTGCAGATACACGGTTACACGAGGATGATGAGGCCGATCTTGCCGCGGCCATCGGCCTGTGCAATTTCGGGACTCCTCGCACAGGGCCTGTTTCCATGACTCCGGACGTGCCACCAGTGCCTCCACTGCCGGCGCGCTACTTGGACTCAAGCAGCCACCCGAGCAACCAGGGTCTCCACTCCCCTCAATCGCGCCCCACAGAGGAGGCCGCTCGCCGAGACTCCGAGGCCAATATCTTCTTGTCCCGGTCGCTCAACCCGTCGCTGTCGTACAAGGTGTCGGATGAGCGCGAAGTCCGGACAGGTGGCGACGAGGCGCAGAAATCCCGTCAACGTCGTAACGCCGATGTGGACTTTGGTAACCGCTCTGCGCCAGCCGATGACGACGATGGGGGTGTCTTTGGTCACATGGAAGAATAAATCTCCCAGCCTCCGCGCTTGCGCGCCTGCGAGCCAGTCCTTGGGTCAAATCGGCGCATGCCGAACCACGACCCCTTCACGATCTCATGTACGAGCTTGAGCGAATTTTTTGAACCTTCTTGTTTACATGTTTACAACCACTCCAGATGGAGAATAGAGCCAATGTCCAACAATTGTTCAAAGGTCTTTTCTCAACGGAGTGTTTCACAATTCTCGGGACCTTTTTTCACTACCTTTTGAGATCCCATGTATCAATCATGTCCTCCTTGGCCCGCTTTGTGCTTTTTTCTTTGTGTTTTGTTTTTGCCACAGCTTATTCTGGAAACCCCCATAAATGGCCTACTCCGTTTGGCCCGCGCATATTTATCCCCATCAAATACTTATATCCATAGGGACATGACATACCACTTTCATGTCCTCTATGCTTCTCGTTTGTCTTTTTTTGTTCTGTTTTGGCCTCTCACCTCGCACATATATACCAAACCCACAAATTCTACGATCCGCTTCCCTACTTTTCCCACCTGTGTATCTCGTCCATTCTTTTCTCTCCGTCTCCTTGCCCACACTCTTCTGTATCTCCTCACCTATGGTCTCTCACTTTCCCTCTTGTGTACTCAAATCCTCGGACGGGACATACAATGAATATATCTCATGAACGTACTATTTAATTGTTTCAAAATGTAGATCTATAAGTCATTTCCATATCTGTCTATGTACCTGTACATCATAAGCGGGGAATTCAAGACCCACTATGGGGTAAAGGTCCATATTTTTTTCGAATGTTTCGTCATAGGTTGAAATGTAGGATGTAGGATATCCAAGTAAAAGGGAATCTGATCAAAATAAAGTATGTAGTATAAGTTAAACTTCTTATAGGTATTCTTCTGTTGCCTCTTTTAGATAAATCATTACAGAATCCGGCATATTAATTCTTGCCAACGATTGAAGTATGTTCCAATGCCTTATTCTAGGTGCTAGGATGTGCCAAGCCAACCATCCATGTGACATTCACCGATCCCAGGTCAAAATCGATCTCTCTTGCCCAAGATGGGTGGTGGTATAATGTTTGCCATGTATCAATCAGAAAGGCTTCCTCCCAGGTAGCGTATGGGTCCGACGCATCGGGTATTGCTCCTCATTAAGAGACATCAAAGATGTAAGAGATATAGTAGCGAGGTAATAACTTTGAAAGCGCTCAACACCAAGTATAGTTAGCAACTGAAAGGCTAGTCCAAGAAGTCCCATGTTGGTCATCTAGTCACAGGGCGTGCATATCAGCATTGCAGGTCATAATGGAGAGCTGAGATCAGAAGCATCGGAGAAGAGATAATATGTTTGGACATTACAATCGAGAGGGTATAACAGGAGACGGTTGCAAAGGCGTTGGTATGAGGCCTCAACCAAGAAGGTTATATATGTACTATGGATGGACTGTTGAGCAATAAGCATGACTCTATCAGCCAATTCACTAAGCAGTCAAAAAAACAATCAAACAATAAGTAAAAAAGAGCAAAAACAACAAAAACGAAGGGGGGTATTCGCAATCGTTCTCTGAATCAACAGCCACCTCCACCACAGCCTCCTCCTCCCCCTCCTCCTCCGCAACCACCGCCGCCACCGCCGCCGCCATCTAAATAACTGAGTCAGTATGTAATGCGGTCTAGAATGCAATAAAGAAAACCTACCACCACCACCGCCACCGCTGGATCCTCCGCAGGCGCCACTTGATCCGCCTGTATAGAGAACACATCAGCATCCATTGCAGTCGAGGTTCATGAAGAGACTTACCACATCCTCCACTACCACTGCCTCCCGCACAGCCACCTGAGGCTACGGTACCACCTTTTGACAAGTTAGTTTCACTCAATGCTTCTAAAATGGCGTAGGAATAACTTACCACACGTGCCAGCACAACAGTTCCCAGCAGCACCTGCAGTAACATTCATGCAGCCAGGGTTACACGCGTATGAATCGCAGTTGATGGACGGGTCCATCATATACGGTCCATAGTATGGCACCACAATGGGGTAACCATATGCATAAGGCAGGTAGTATGGATAAGCGTCGCCCTGAGAAGCAGAAGATTTGGAGCCGGATCGTTGGCGGCGCTTCTCTGCACGCCGGGCAGCCTTTTGGTAGTTGCTCTGTAGACGCGCACGTTGCAGAGATTTACGCCACTCAGACCGGTGGTACTCGTTTGTTGGCCGGACGGCGTTATGTGAAGAGATGTGTGGATTCTTGTTTGGGTCAGACGAGATATCGGGACGGTCGTGCAAAAGGTCTGCAGCGGTTCGAGCGCGAGAGGCTGAGCCAACAGTGATCAACCGGCTATACAGGTCTGGTGTTCGTGTTGCTTCGCAGTACCAGCAGGTGCATTCGCTGTATATTCCGCCGTCGGTGATACGGCGGTACATCTTGCTGGTCCAGGCAAAGCCGTCGGAGAGTTTTCCCTCGTCGACTTTGTCGTCGTGGTCAATGAACATACGGGTACTACCAAGTTTTACCTGTGACGTGCTGTATTTGTAGTATCGCGATGGACTGAGTTGGTGTGTGTGCCAGGCCAGGTCGACGTCCAGTGTGGGAACGGCCATCTTGTCTGGGTTTTCGATCATAATCTGGAAGAACACCTCGTACTTTTTGATCAACCGGTCCATGGTGTTGAAGACTGTCGGCGAGTGTAGCCAGTCGATTTTGTCCATTTTATCCACGAAGGTGCCTTGTCTAATAACAGCGCCTACAAGATCTAGCGCGAAGGGACCGAGGTTATCCCAGTATCGAGACATCATTCTTCGGAATTGGATCTTCTCGGAGTACTGGAGACTTTTAAGATAGACACCATGTGCTTTCCACAAAAGATTTGTGTCGCGTAGCTTCGTCTCGAGTTGGTCTCTCAGCTGGGTGACATTCTGACACATATCCACTCGACCATCAGTGAGATGCAACAAGCCCTTTCTAGCAGCCTGGACGACTCGTGTGGGGAATAGCATGTCGCGGAAGGCCCTAGGATCGGCAGTAGCAGTTGAGCCCCCCTCGGGGATTCCATAAAGATTGGTAAACGACCCGGGCATAGGTAGGTCTTTGTCAAGAGCTGCTTCAAGGTCTTTTCGAAACTTTGCCACCTTGAGCCGGCCATGATCGATTATGTGTTCACAGCTGAAGCATTTCACTTCAAATGAATAATCGGCATAGCCACTGCTAAATTTGTAGGCGTAGGCAACGAGTCCCCCAAACCGAGCTTCTGTCCACGGGACAGCGTTCGCCCATCCACAGCAGTGACATTTGACATTCTTGGTCGGCGGATCGTGTAAATTGTTCCACTTGAAGTTCAGTTTCTGCTCGAACAGCTGCTGGGCTTGTTCGGAAACTGTATACTCCATCGTGTGGTTGTCGATACCGCGATCTATCGCTTCCCACGGAAATCCTGTCACCCAGGTGCTCATCTTGCCGTATCGAATGCAATCCTCAAGGAAGTTCCGGGGATTCAACGAATGAGCATGCCAGACCATCAAGATATCTATAGAGGAATTAGTCAACCGCGTTTTTGCCTCAGAATCAATATACTTACCCAGCGGGGGTAAATTTTCCGTGCTCCATGCAACTATAGTACCACACTTAAGGATGCTTTCGTAGTCGATAGACTCCAAGTCATTAATAGTTGCCATCGGTCTTGACCGGGGGAGCCCAGTAGACCACCACTTGGTATATCGCTCGACCGCACGCGCTGTATATACCGCCCAGCGCTTTTCGCGAATACGAGCCCGTGCTTCATTTAGTTCATTCGGAAATTGTTCAGCTTCGGCGTCAAGGATACCAAAGAGCCCGTCATCACTCGAGATAGCATCTCGCAGATCTGCGAGCACAGCCAGAAACTTGAGATGTACAACACACTGGTCGCGAGTGACGGTAGTTGAAGCAGGTGGTTGGGAACTCAGATCCAGTGGTGGCAGTTCTAGTGGCGGCTGCTCAACCTGATTGGCCGAATAGGAAGGTGGTCGTTCATCAGAAGATTTGCCGATAGCTTCAGATTGATGGGGTGCCTCTTTGGAACTTTTATCCGTTGACACACCCATGTTGGTGTTTTATAGAGGAAGTATGCAAGGTGTAAGTGTTGTTGAGTCAAGTCTGAGACGTGTCCACGGGTGGCCCGGTGGTCCTTTATATTGGTTTTTGATGATAAACACCAGGTATCTCATTGGTATCTGAGTACAGACAAATGAAAGTCAGCACGAGGTTTTTATCCGACTTCTTGACCTTTCATAGCCCCCCAGAATGGGATCGACGAAATGCAATAATCAACAGTAATTGCCCTGAAGGATTGAAATCTAAACCACATTTGCCCAAGCCTCCACAAAATACTCCGTAGATACGGGAATATACAAAGATCTTCGTAAATTAATGGAACGTTCGTATTCATTTACCTTCTAAGCCAATAGTCTGAGAACGTTTTTTTCTTAATCGCATACTGGATTGGACACGGGGTAAAACCGGGCGCGAATGCACTGCCTTACTGCCTTAGTGGCTCCAGTCCGCGCCCAAGGCTGTGCGGAGATGCGCAGTGCATTGGATGTTGTGCACAAAGTTTCTAGTGTCTTTCTAGTGCCTTTTTCAAATGCTTGTACTCTGTACAGTTCTCCGTATAACTATGAAAAAGCGATAAAATGTACAGCTCATCACCGGTCACGTGCTAGAAAGCCGATTCAAGATCACGTGTGGAATAAAAGTATATCCGGTCAGGTGATATGCCCCTCTGTGCTGACTCATCGAGGCTCCCGGAAGAAGTGCGCTCACCGAGTGAGAACAAGAAAGTTGAGAAGGTTTTATTGGAAAAAGACAAGAAGGAAAAAGAAATAACCATACCATACCAAACCGCCCGGATCAAGACCTAAACTGTGTGTCTGCGAACCTGTCCGGATCTCTCCCACTGTCTAAAACCGATTACGATCAGCAAAAACGTCATTCAGCCTGGCTTCTCTCGGGCGATCGAGCGGCATCAGAGAGGGCCAGGCCCAAACTCTTGAACCGATTGCGACCATTGATAATGCTTCTATTGGCACCAGTCCCGTAATGGCGGGTGTAAATCAGTTGCCTGTCTCAGTTGCCGCCGATGGCGTGCATGGTCGCAAACGCAATATGACCATTGCGGGGATCGACAGTTCTCCGGGGAGTATCGAGGATATGGATGACAATGATGCGCGCGAGGAGAAGAGACGTCAGCCAGTGAAGCGCGCTTGCAATGAATGTCGACAACAGAAGGTAGGTTTAGCATATTACCGTAAAGTCCTTGGGATTGTCCAGTTTGACTAACTTCTTCGGATTGCGACAGCTCCGATGCGATGTCATTCAAGACCCATGGACCGATTGTTCGCGATGCCGTCGACTGAGGCTCGATTGTAAAATTGAGTCAAACTTCAAGCGTGTTGGGAAGCGCAGCCGCAATGCGGAAATGGAGAGGGAAATAATGGAGCTTAGGAAGCAGATTGCTACTGGCCAACCAGTCCCTGGAATGTCACAGCAACAAGCGTTGACCGCAGGACAATTGACACCCAAGCAAGAATCGAGTCAAGTCAGTCCTGCAGTCTATCAAACCCCATCAGCCATGTCCGCAGATCAGTACATGGGGTCTCAAGAAGCTGTTGCGTCCCTCCTGGACCTTCGTTCGGGCTTTGATGGTACTAACTTCATGAGGAACGGTGGACAAATCAGACGAATTGAGGATGTTATGGTTGTTCCCGAGAAAGTGGCAGAGCTGTTTAATATGTGAGTCCTCATCCCCGTCGCCCAAATCTCTTCGATTGATCTAACTTGTTCCTGTCAGATTCTTCACATACTACCACCCATTCCTTCCATTTTTGGACCGAAATCAGACTCCTGATGATTATCATAATTCCTCTTCATTGCTTTTCTGGACAATCCTCAGTGTCGGTGCACGACGATATCAAGGCGATTCGAATTTGCTGAATTCTCTCGCTGGTCCTGTCACCCGGCTGGTCTGGAGCACTCTAGCAGACATCCCTCAAAGCTACCATGTTGTGAAGGCTCTCGCTCTACTATGCTCATGGCCGTTCCCCACAAGCAGCACCTCGACAGATCCGACCTTTATGCTATGTGGAATGATGGTGCAGGTTGCTATGCAGCTTGGTCTCCATCGGCCTTCTCACACTCAGGACTTTAGTAAATTCCGAGTGGAACTGATCGAGGATGAATTGAGAGACAAGGTGCGAACTTGGGCGATTTGCAATGTTGTTGCTCAAAGGTATGTACAAAACCATGGTCAATTACTGCTCGCCTTTGTCTCACGTTCTACTTCGCAGAGTTTCTACCGGCTATGGACAGCCATCATCTACTCTTTACGACTGGACATTATCCTCAAGTGATTCGCTAGACCCGAACTTCAAGCTTCCTGAAGATATAAGGCCCAGATTGGAGATCGAGAAATTTTGTGACAGGGTCACCCGAGCGCTTTACACAAATCGACGCGATCCTGTTGGTTTAACTAGCGACCATGAACGCTCAACAATGATTGCGTTTCTGTCGCGAGACTTTGAGGAGCTGGAAGAACAGCTTAAACCGCAGAATGACTGTAAGTTTCTGAAGTTCAAGTGGGGATATTTGAATGTCTGGCTAACGATTTTTAGGTATTACTGACTTGTTCCTCCGTGCGGCTAACCTTCATTTGCACCTTTCGGCATTCTTCGATGAGCCAACCACTAAAAATTACCGCGAACGCGTCTTATCTCTATATGTCGCAACAACATCATTCCTCGAGGTTGTCCTGAACCTCGAGACCGAGGTTGGCCCGGTCCTCTCTTACACCCCATACTATGTCTATCAGATGATGGTTGCTGCCGGCTGCACTCTTCTGAAGCTTTGCAAGAGCTTCTTCGCCTCTCACATAGACATGGAATACACCAAGAACCTTTTCAACCGTACAATCTGGGCCATCCGTGGGGTATCCGCGTCCAGCAACGACCTGCCCGAACGGCTTGCTGAAGTGTTGGCCCAGATGTGGAGATTGGGAGGAGCGACTCAGCGGGCTAATAATAGTACCGACGTTGACGACTCTCTGCGACTTAAAGTACGTTGCCGAATGAGCATGTCTCTGCTTTTCGACTCTGTGTGGCGCTGGCGGGAGGATGCTAGGACTAAGGGCAGAAATATTGAAGGTCAGTATCCCTTCGAACTCTCAGGTATAAATAAAAAGTCACTAACCTTTGATTTTAGCCTATCTGAAAAATCCAACCAATCCCGACTCGGCGGCCGATTCTTCGGCCACTTCATCTGTCGGCCCTGTACACGCATCTACAATGACACCTGGAATGTCTGGGAATGACCCAAGCCTTGCCCCGGCCCCCCTGCTATCCCAAGCTAGTCTTGGGATCCAACCATCCACCACCCAATCTAACGGACTTCCAAGTGGCTTCATTGAACCCAATTATGAAGTCTTCGATCCGTTGAACTGGCTGCTTGACGGCCTGGTAGACTTGCCTTATTCATACTCTACAATGGGTGGAATTGAATCCCAGGGTATCGCATAGACTGGCCTAATATTTTCTTGGCATTATTGCCGCCCTTTTTCTTTTCTTTTCTTTTCTTTTCTTTTCTTTTCTTTTTTTATGCGGGCGTGGCTTGCGTTGTCTGCTTGTATCATTATACCACACATTCGATCGCTGATACTTGCCAGGGAGTTTGTTCATCTTTACATGTTCTTTCTATGTCCGTCTATATTTATTATGGGTTCCTTGTACGATGTCCTTGATTCATTTCCAATACAGTGCTATACTCCTTTCCAATATGATGCTATTTGGCCCAAAATCCTGTCTGAAAACAGATGCGTCAGAGAGTGGCCTCATGCAATTATAAAGTCCGGTACATTATGTGCGTATATCACACCGAGTTATTTTTGTCTCTTCTTTTTGCGAGCACAGATTCGCTCCGTAGAAGCAATTTCAACCTAATACTGTAATGTGATATTATTGCTTTTCTCTCATCTGATCCTTTTTCCTGGACGAAGCCTATATAATCTCGGTCATCCTGACCCCTTCTTGTCTATTTCTTTTCTTTCCCATTGCTTCTTTAGAATAAAATGGGTTTCCTTTACATCCTCAGTTGGACCGAGGTGGAACCTCGTGTTTCGGCTGTAGTGCTATGCCTACTTGTTTCCTTTCTCTTTTGCTCAGTGGTTGCGGCCGCTTTAGTTTTTACTTCCTGTCTCATAGCTAATGTTGGTGACCCCCCCCCCCCCCCCCCCCCCCCCCNTTAAAAGCTGACCAAAGTACAAACTCACAAGATGCTGATACAATTTGGTGAACCGCCAGAGCCACGTTCCTTTCCCTGCATGCAAAGACTATTTCTCGATCTTATATCAGCAGTACAAGTTTGTCGTGGACGGGCCCAGTTTGATAAAGAAGGGCTATGAACAATTCGCAAATGGCTTGTTCGAAATACCACGGACATTCCGCTTTGGTCAGGTCATATTATGCCAGCCGGAGTTGATTGAAGAACTGAGGAATAAACGGAGTACTCTTGTATCCCCCGAGCCATGGATTGATCAGGTAGGGCTTTCGGGAGGATTCTCTAAGTTTGGGCTAACAAATATTATATAGCTTCTCCAAGTCTCCCATGTTATGCCTGGCTATTTCCCTAAAGGGATGGGATGGCCGAAAATTGCTAAGACTACGCCTGGTTTGATTCGTGCCACGGTTTACAAGCACCTGCATCGGTATATGCCTGCTATGAATCAGGCAATTATCTCGCATTTGCAGACCCTAGACTTCAAAGATGGGGGTAAGTTTTGGCGACCTCATAGCCCGGTTAGTCTCTCATGCCTTCAACCAGAATGCAACGTCGGCTGCTTTGATTTGGCATACTCGATCGTAGCCCGCAGTGGCAGCTTTGCTCTTGTCGGCTCGCGGCTTTCTCAGAATGAGGAATACCTTAAAGCTGTCAAGGACCACATTCTTGGGATGATAGTGACCACTCGTGTACAATTCCTTGTTCCAGAGTTCCTGAAACCGTGAGTGAAATGCTTCATTGATTTCATGTTCCGTGAACTAAGACACACATAGCTACATTGGGGGGCTCATCGGCCGCCTCGCCACTCTTGGGACTAGTTGGGATATGCACACCTCGCGTAAGATTATGCTCAAGCACTTCGATGCACGTGCAGCAGAATATCACGCCGAGATATTCCGTGGCAACGAGCCCAGCGAGACCAATCTCGATGACTCGGACAATCCGGTATCCCCGCCTCCCCGCCTCCCCTCCCTCAAATGACACTGTGACTGAACAATCTACAGGTTGAAATTTTCCAATGGTTGTATGAGAGCAGTGTTCTTCGGGAGCGATGGACATATGCAGAGGTAATAGGCGAAATGTTGCTTCTCCAATTTGCCTTTATCTACACCACGTCCTATGCAAGTGCTCCGTACGCATGTCATAGTCCTGCAGTCTACTAAACTAACCACCAATAGGGACTCTACGGTGCCCTTGTGGAGTTAGCTCGACGGCCCGAGTATATTGCACCCCTGCGGGAGGAAATTGATCGGATTTTCTCTGGAATGGGACCAACTGTTCCAGCCTGTGATGGCATGGTTTTGATGGATAGCTTCTTGAAGGAGTGCCAGCGACTACACCCCCCTTCAGCACGTGCGTCTATATGCTATTATCCATGAGAATTTTGCATGGCTAATGCAATAACATGGATATTAGTCTCTGCCCATCGGGTCTGTATTAGTGACCTCAAACTTTCCAACGGTTTGTTCTCGCACACACACTACCAAGCTACCAAGGAAACATTGAGCTGATCAAGTATGGAATAAAACAGGTGTCACACTCAAGCAGGGCTCTCATGTTGCGGTTCCAAGCGGAATCATACAACGACGCAGTGAGCACTATGCGAACCCCGACGCGTTCGACGGGTTCCGGTTCGTAAAGCGTGCAGCAGCTGGAGCCAAGAACTCCCGGCTAGTCGACCTGGGCCCTGACTATATGGTTTTTGGAATGGGCGCACATGCCTGGTAAGTCTTGTTTCTGCCTGGCCCTTTTTATTTTCATACTCTAGTTTCAAATCCAACCGCCCGGATCCTATCGGCTGACTGTTGCTCGTGTTTGTAGCCCTGGACGATGGATGGCTAGCGCACTCATGAAGCTCGCTTTAGCGCATATCCTGAATCAGTATGACATACTCCTACCTAATTCGGATTCCCTGCCCTTGACTGGCTCGCTTTCATTCGAGGAGTTTTACGTGCCCAACTTCGGGCTGAAAATTGCTCTGCGCAAGCGCTAGTAAGGATATCTCAGGGGGTGAGGCGGGGTATATGAATGCAAGTCAATGGAATTAGGTAGAATTCTGGTCATGTTTCAGCCGGGACACATTCATATTATCTCAAATAATGTATGTAGTTGAAGGTTATACATAGAAAAGTCTCTTGCACAAACTATGCTTTTTTTACCACCTTCACAAACGTCTCAAAAGACATTTAAAAAGACCGCTAAAAAGACATCCCAAGGCCGCAAACGCGGCCGAATATTCTTGTGATAATAATATCGAAACAAAGATACATAACTAGTTAACTATGTAGTATATGTTGTAGTTAGATTCCAATGTTGCCTTGGCGCCTTACAACTCTATCCGATAAGCTGATAAGATCTCGACTCCGCTATCTCCAACTGTTCCAACTTCACCTCTTCATCCTTTTTCCCTACATACCTGAAGTGGGTTCGAAATCATGGCGTCATCGACTTCCTCCCAGAAATCCCGACCTCTACTCATCCCATATAAGCGCGCTCTTCTACCCTCACGAACCAACAAGCCAGGCCCCACAGTATACAAAGTCCTCAATCCTAGCGCCATGCCCGCAGAGACGAGCATAAAAAAATCATACGAAGAGGCTACCAAAGAAAGAAACAAGTCCACAAGTTTAAGTGGGCATAATAAAAGCTCATCTGAAGACGAAGAAGACTACGAGCCCCAGGCCCCGTGCTTTGAAGTGTCATTCTCTATGCCGCCACAGCCCTTCCTCGACCCACCGACTTGGGAAGCGATGCTCAAACATGGCCGCGAGAGATTAGCAGCACAGTCAATAAAAGAAGAACCGGGCTCAGGGGAGGATCGGGAAGAGGAATCGGTAGAACGGATGAGACAGCGAGTGGAGCGTGAAACGGAGTATGGGTCTATGGCTATTCGGGGCCGCTCGAGTGTACGCGGGCGTGGGAAGAGGGGAAGGGGGAGAGGAAATGTCTACTGGGGTGGTAGGCATTGATCTTGATGGGTTTACTTTGAGTTGAATGTTTTCTAGATACCCCATGTTTGGTTAATAGACCTTATATGACCATTTGAATAGCCAGCCGACTGCTTTGTAAAACACCCAGGCTTCACTATTCGTTTAATATCCTTAGTTCTTTTCTAGAATCTCTTGGTCTTGCTTTCATAAAGTACACCCAGGTGTGTCCTCGTCTATCGATACATTACTTAATGGTCTCATTTACATCTAGCCCTAGAGCCAAGAGACTATTGATTCGTAGGCCATCTCAAAGTCACACAACGTGCAAGCAAGGGGCAGCTTGGAACCCTTATTCAGTCTAGGACTGATGAACAGGTTGGAATTTCGATACGGATGTATGCTAGCAGTAAACAGAATAAGTTAATGGTACATGTGAGAAACCAACAAAAGTTGAGACGAAGGAGCAAAAACAGTGGAGTCATCATCATGGGTTCATAGTTCATAATCATCATAGATCTCATATCAAAAGATCATCTAGGACATCGAAGCAATTTCAAAAAAACCAAAAAAAAAAGCAAATGCATCGTGAAATCGTCGGGCAAGTGTTTGAAATGCGTGAAACATATCCAATCATAAATATGGGAAGAGCAGAGAAGGAACGGGAAAAGGGACATCATTTAAGTCATCTCATAGCCACCTCAGCTGTAGCACTAGATGCCACGTAAACAGGGCCACCGATACTCTGCTTGAGGATTTCCCTCCGGATAGCCCTTTTTCTCTCGTCTCGTCGCTGGCGCACACGTCGCATGCGATTCCGCACATTACGCAACGACATCGACTGGAACCGCAGTCCCCAGCGAGAGAGAGACCGGAAGCGAGTCGAGTTTAATGGGGATCCTGTTCGGAACATGCCTTGATCAACCAAGCTACCGTTGCTAGTCATTCCATTGAACAAGCGTTTCATTTCTGGGCTGCGGCGCGCCAAGGCAGGCGGGCCGTCGAAGATGATGCGCCGCTGTGGCAGGCCCAGAGAGTTGTTTACGATCAATGATTCGGCGCGGCGCGGCAAAGCTTCCCGCGTCGGCGAGGACTCTTTCTCTGGGGATCCGGATACGCCTTCCCAGAATGGGCGGGGCCGCCAGAACGGATATAGACGACTATCAATTTCCATTCCTGCGGTTCGGTTCTTAGCCGATTTCATGGAGAATGACCGCGCTATGGTGTTGAATGAATCTGACCGAGGGCGTGCGCTCCACGTACGACGGACGGAGTTCCATCGTCGACCAAGGCCTTTGTTTTCATCTTGGGCGTCATGTAATGGAAGTGGAGGAAGAGGTCTGGTGGATGGGGGCTTGGGTGGAGGGCGCGGGTTCGTCAAAGGCGAGTCGACATTGAACGTTGCTGTTTGCGATGGATTGTCGGGTGTTCGAGGCGGTTGGGGAAAATCATAAGAAATTTCAAGCGCTTGGAAAGGGGCCCTTGAGGGGGCTTGTACCCGGGGGTCAACAAGCAGTAGTGAGTGATTGTTGTGTGCGAACAGACTGACGGCTGTAGCCTCTTGGATCTCGATAGGCCCCGGTGAATACGATGGAATCGAGCCTTGGGTGAAAGGCAAAGATGGAGGACGCAGGGTTGCCATATCATCGGAACTAGCAAAGAGGGTGTGCATATTGGGAGCCTCGAGTAGGCTACGGCGGTCGGGCGAAGCCAAACCGTTCTGACGAGGCGGGGACACCGGTTGATGCTCACGACGCTTTTGCACCTCGAGGTCAATGGCTAAGTTATGGCTTCGTAGGCTGTCGGAAGTTAGGGAAGTTGCACGAGAATTGTTTCGACTCGTTGGTGCAGAAAGCGACGAGCTTCGGTGCGGTATGGCGGGGCGCTCCGAGGGGCGACTTCGCAGGCTATTGGAAGTGAGAGAAGTCGCGCGAGAATTGTTCCGACTCGTCGGCGCAGAAAGCGATGAGGCCCGGGGTGGAATGACAGGCGGCCCCATGGCACAACCCCTGGAATCAGTCTTGCGAGATCGAGTCGACACTGAATCAGAGACGATGCGTTTCTTCTGCTCTGGGATATTTGTGCGGCCCGTTGATGCTGTCGGAGGACGACGATTTGATCGGTGAGAACCCAGTTTGGAAGAAGCATGACTGTTAGGACGGGACCTGAGAGACGAACTTCTCTCCGGTATGACCACCACGTTGATAGTTTCGATGTTGGGCTGTATGGCACTGTTGCTAGTCTTGGCCGAGAACGACATCTCGGATGTTCCGCCGCTTTGAACATCCTGATCAGAAATGCGAGCGGCCTTGTGAATCAGGCGGTGTTGGGATTCAGGGATCGAGCCATAAGACGTACGCTCAGACCTTGTAATGGGAGAGCTGGCAGACCGCAGAGAGCTTCTCTTTTCGGTATGCCGGAGCATTCGCTGGGCTCGTTTGGGGGAGTCGATTATCATAGCCTCAACGGTGGATGTTGAGGAGATGACCGACAAAGGACGGGCATCTGGTCCACTGGATCTTGCTAGGCCCTCCGGTGATGACGACCCAATATTCTCACGGAATTGCTCCATTGAGGTACTTGCTTTGACTTCATGCGCACCATTGACACGGTCCCGCCGACTTTTTTCCCTCATCAAAGAGGCATGTAGGTGCTTTACATCCAACACATCTCTCTCGGGGGTTGAGTTATAAGCTAATTGAGTGTGGTTCTGTGCAGACTTTCGCTTTCCAGCTAACGGTGTTGGCGACCCATCGATCGGGTTTGCGGCCCAATGCCCATCAAAAGACTCGAAGCCGGTGTCACCTTCACTTTCGCTATGTTGTTGAGAAGGAGATGGCGGAGATCGTTTTATATTTGGAAATTGTGGAAGATATCCATTTGAAGTAGGTGGCTTTGATGGCTGCCTCCTTTGTTTTGGTGTCTGGGTCGTGGTCTGAGACATGCGAACCGGGGTGTCCATATCTTCTTCCGATGAGATATTCTCCAAAGCCGTTTGGAATGAGTCAGCTCGAGACGACGAAGAGAAATTATTAGACTGGTTCAAGGTAGGTCGCTTATTCGAGTTTGTTCGAGGAGGCGTCACATCCGGGGTTGGAGGCTTAGAGGAACGGCGAGGGGTCAACATCCCAGATGTTGGTATGTCTGACAGAGAAGAATTCATTTTCCGGGGTGTTCGTTCGTCAAGCACGAGTTCTTCGTGGCCTACACCCGGGGGTGTCAAAGGAAGCGACGGCGTCGCAGTGTGTCTCCCATTCTGATCCGGGGAGACCGGTTGGATGACTTCAATACTAGGAACGATTACACCCCGCCGAGGGAGCGTCTTGTGAGACCTTAGGAGCGGGCGTTCAAATGCTTGCAAATCCTCCGATGACCCCATCACATCCACGCCCAGCATCTCAAAAACAATGCACCCACGGAGACCTGAAGCATCCACGGTCGCTTTTGTGAATTCGATTAACGTTTAGATACCTTTAGGTATCATAGTACTGAGTAGGATGTGTCGTTCAGAGTGTCGGAAGGGTCGCATCGCGCGCGAGCACTTCGCGACCAAGATGCGACCAATTGTTCGAAGTCAACGGATCCTAAAGCGCAAAGGCTTTGCTTTGTCTCTGTATGATGCAGGGGGGAGCCGATCGTCCGAGGTGCATTCGAGTCCGTCACAGAGGACAAGCAACGATTCAGTGCGGAGTATTGGGCATGGGTATGTGCTTTCACAGATGAAGACTCTGCCTCGACGTGTCTCTATGCAATATGAGCTGTTAGGGTGGGGATGGTCGATTTTGGCAAGTGGCTGGGAAGTCTAGTCTCAAGTCCTCTTATCACCGTGTTTCAGCTAAGTATGAGGCAATAAAGAATAAAATTCAAATAACATAGGATAAAAGATTTAGAAAAGAAATACTCCGTACACTGTTCATAAAAAAACTCGCATGAAAGGGTGAATGATGTGACGAAGGGTGTCCGGTTGCTTTCGCGCCACTATTTCCCGCCGATTAGCGCCTGTTTCCTATTCAGGTAATATTGATGCCTTGTAGCCTCATTTCATTGAGACTTTATCAAACTGATCACACTGCAGATTCATCACACTACCTTCTAGATATGAGGGTCCTATCAGTCCAATCTTACCATAGCCTGAAATTGGTCTCTTCCTAGGGCTAGTTTAGTGATATACATTCATTCTTGAGTGTGCATCAGTGGTTAGTTACTGCATCCTACAATGTGCGATGTATATGCTCGACCTGATCTAGAAATCGGAATAATATGGAGACTCGAAATTGAATACGAAGTATTCCTCGGAGATAGGGTGGCTTGAGATCTCATGTCTCTACCGCGGCCCTTACTTAGCATGTTTGGCCCTTGATGCAGGTCTCAAACATACATACATTCCAGTCCTGGGAGGAACAAGATGCACATCTTTATTTCGGAGCACGAATGAAGGACTATGGATCGCAAGAAACCCACCACACATAGTTTATCGTGGCACCATAGCATAGATAGTAATAAAGGATAGCTTTGTAACTGATATTTCATACAACTCATTTCTGACTCCTATTCTAACTTCCATAACAAAATCGACACTTTATACTTGACTGATCTCTCCTAGATATATAAAGGGACGTATCCTCTTATTCGGTAACTCTCGTTTCAGGTACATGAACCTGTATTTGAAAGCGTAGATCCAGTTGATATTGAACTGCGACTACTTTAAGGATGAGAAGATGGTAGACTCACGAAAACCAGAATGGCAGAATGGGGTTTATGTCTCTACCCTACGTGGAAATTTTCTATTTGCCATCTATTCACGCCATTGAGTCTGTGTATCCACTGCATATCAGAGCTCTTATATTTGTAAAGGAGCATGAGTTAGTGAAGAGTCTAATACTTGTATAGTTCCGCGGTCACCCAAGAATTGGGGTTGATCCGATGGTTGAAACAGTAGATTCCACAGTTATGTGATGGGAAATGATGAGAATGATAAGCCTATGGTCTCATTATTACATAACGCACTATAATGAGTATGCATCTATTAAGTAGGATAGACTCCATGAGTGAGACTGATATTAGCAGGAGGGATAGTTCAATCTGGCAGTGCTAGCCCTCGGAGCTGAAGGGCTGAAGGGCTGTCAGCCAATTTCTGGATAGTTACCAAGCATAGCGTTAGGTACGACCAGGGCTATGATATATGCACCTATTAGACTCAATATTTTCTCTTATATGACTTGATCTACTGTGGAGTCGGCCAAATTGAATCTGTCAGTTCCTGAGAATTCCATATTGTACATAAATAGGGGTCCATCTCATACATTTGCACACTCCTCACTTCCAAGGTTGGTATGTTTGGTTTCGCATATAAAGCATTCCAGGGAAGAGCTGAGATCTACATCTTCGTCTCAGGGCTCTCCGTACAAATAGAAGACTCAACGCTTAGCGCATATTCTCAGAATGACAACACAGAGTAGGCGAAGAGCAATGTGAATCTGGAATTCCTACAGTTCCAATAATTCCAAGCATGTGGCAACGGGTGATGACGATATCAATCCCCACAAAATCCAGGGTTCTAAGACCTTTGGAATCAGGTCAAACCAGCATTTTGTGTGAAAGATTATCTTGATAAGGTGGTATTCTAGATATGTTCCCAGAAATTAGAGAGTGACCTATACTTAGGCGTTGGGAGTCTCTAATCTCTAGTCTCTATCTGGCCTATGGTCAGTGGTCAGTAGTCTCGGGTGTCTGATCTGTAGTCTCTCTGGGGTAAATGCTTTGAAAGAAAGGATATCCTACGATACTATGCAACATGAAGAAATGGAATATAGATTTGCTCATTACCACAGTGGATCAGTGGCGTGTACCATGACGTCCCGAGAGGTCGAACCAGGAGGACTGTCGGGTCTTGGCAGATGACATCGCAAGGAAAGATCTCTCATTTCGTCATAGCTCTCCCCCGCCATCATCTCCTTTCTCTCTCTCCTTTTTTTTCTCTTGATCTGTAGCTTTGTGGTCTTGATTTTCTCTCTATTTTTCTTGTTTTGTGATTAACACAGTCCTCCAGTGGGGTAAATCCATTCTTCAACTTGTCTGAAACGCTTCCACACCTTGAAAATCCCTTCAATCGCCGACATCGTTTTCCCTCTATCTCTCTATTTTCCATTCCTCTTCGAAACCAACCTAGACACCCGCTTATGAATCACGATTCTTCTTTGATATCATGAGTACAATACAGAATATCAAGAACTTCATTCGGCATGGCAAGCAGGCCCGCCTTGTCACCCCTCATTCTGAGCCGACGACCGATGTTTCCACCATCCATGCAGAGCCACAGCGCCAACCGATAGGCCAATATTCACCTGCTCTCGAGGCTTTTGGCCCTGAAGGCCGAGCCAATGCCCTCCACAAACCTGATTCTCAGGTCAGACACGATCGCTCTGTCGAAATTGAACGTCTAGTGGCAGAGGAGAACTTGAACCGATCAAAGATGCCTAAATACCCCGGTCTAGAGCGCTGGATCTTGGTGGAGAAGATGGGTGACGGCGCTTTCAGTAACGTTTATCGTGCCAAGGATTCGACCACGGAATATGGCGAGGTGGCTATCAAGGTCGTTCGCAAATTTGAAATGAATAGCAATCAGGTAGGTTCTGTCGCAAGATGCCTTTCTTCTTCATTTCCCTGTGGTGTTTGTGTTTTCGTTTCCTCGTGGTCACATGGTTTCCAAAATGTCTATACACATGGCCAATACGTTCGGTAGAACGATCCTCACTATCCAACGGTCAAAAAAGTCCCCAAGGCGTCGGAGGTGCGCAAACAATTCTTTCCTGACACTCGATTGGCAATGGTGACTTGCGTCTGCCGGCGAAATGATATATACTGTCTTATGGCATTGCTACTGTCTTTGTGCATAGCTGCGCATCTTATTTCGTCATTGCTGACTCTAGTATTTAATAGCGGGCAAATATCCTCAAAGAGGTTCAAATTATGCGCAATCTCGACCATCCAAACATCGTCAAATTGATCGATTTCTCTGAGTCTCGGCAATACTACTACATCGTCCTCGAACTCTGCCCCGGCGGTGAATTATTCCACCAGATTGTCCGTTTGACGTATTTCAGCGAAAATCTTAGCCGTCACGTCATTCGCCAGGTTGCGGAAGCGATTGAATATCTACACGAGACCTCAGGTGTCGTTCATCGGTTTGTCAGCCCGTCACTTAAATTGCTCTTATAGAAGCTAACATCTTTTCAAAGTGACATCAAACCGGAAAATCTCCTGTTCTATCCAATTCCCAACGTTCCCAGCAAGAATCCCAAACCTCAACAGCCAGGGGACGAAGACAAAGAAGATGAGGGAGAATTCATCCCTGGAGTTGGTGCGGGTGGTATTGGCAAGATCAAGCTTGCAGACTTCGGTCTGTCCAAGGTGATTTGGGACAGCCAGACGATGACACCGTGCGGTACCGTCGGATATACAGCCCCAGAAATCGTCAAGGATGAGCGTTACTCCAAAAGTGTAGACATGTGGGCCATGGGTTGTGTGCTCTACACACTTCTTTGTGGGTTCCCTCCGTTCTATGACGAGAGCATCCAAGTCCTTACCGAGAAGGTGGCACGCGGCCAATACACCTTTTTGTCACCCTGGTGGGATGATATTTCCAAGTCGGCGCAGGATCTGATCTCGCATCTCCTCACCGTGGACCCCGAGAAGCGGTTCACCATTAAAGAGTTCCTCGCACACCCCTGGATACAGGGTACCGACGAGGAGACTACCGCCGCCGCAGATGCACCCCCTCTAGCAACACCCTACCTCCAGACCCCCGAGAAAGGCCCCCAGCAACTCGACTCCGCCAGCGCTGAACACGGGCCCTACCAACCTGCCAGTGCCCGCTTCCTCGATCAGCCATCCGTCACAGCAGACCGCCGCATGGACTTCCGGTCTCCAGGCGCTTTCAACCTCCGTGAAGTCTTTGATGTCGGTTACGCAGTGCACAGACAAGAAGAGGAAGGAAAGCGCCGCGCAAATGCACGTCAAACCAACCGCGGTGGCACGGCTGGATTCCAGTCGGCACTGGGTGCTCTCAACGAAGATTATGACGATGAGCCGGAATACAGCCACCGTCTCGGAGGCCAACCACCAGCCAAGGTGGCCAAGAACCAAGGGGAAATGGCCGGAATGGAAGCCAAGCTTCGATCTACGAACCTCGGCGCCCAAAGCAGCGCCGCACAGGCACGACAACCACCCCACCAGCCAAAGCCCAAACAGGGCTACGGGATGCATGACGCCGCTGTCGCTAGTGCTGCAAAGATTTCTATTCGCAAGCATCAGCAGCCGTTTGAGCTTACTTTGAACGGTTCCACATTGCTTGAGAAGCGTGGCCGTCGTAATCAACCGGTGGCATAGACAGGATGTATTTCTTCCATCAGGGCCATGATGTGATGTCTTCATAACTTATTTGCACTTTGTTGATGAGCGATATTTTCACTGGGACTTTTTTTTCTCTCTGGGTTTTCTTTCATGGCAATTTTCTTTTCTTCTTTTTTAGCTCTCTGTGCGTTATTGGATAGGTCCCGGCGAGGAACCTGCACGCTACATAGTCACGATTGGAAAATGGATGAAGTGACTTTTCTTTTTCGCTTTCTTGAGTTATCGGGGAGCTTGCTTGGACTGGAATGGAGTTCTTCATAGTCGTTTCTTTTCTTTTTGCTGTCGCTATCATAGGGATTATGTCCATTCATATTTGTTAAGGATTCGCTAAGCATATTTTCCAACACTCCAAGGTTTCAACCTTGGAATATTTCATATCTTTCATACAATCTTCCTTTCAGTAGCAGTCTCCAACTGTTCCTTTCATTTTGTCCTGATGCCACGAGCCTATTCCTGTGCTAGTCTATCTGGACGTTCTCTCGTAGCCTGAGCACTCAGGGCTATTTTCATTCGTACATATGTAAACATAGGCCGGTGGTGGCTTCTTGGAAGCCAAGCACTTGATGCCGTTCATGAGACATGTGTAGCTAATCGCACGGGTTCTTATTCGAAAGAATGTACAACATCGAAATCTAACTCGAAGTCAAGAGAGAAAAAACACAAACTTGGTATCTTGATTGGTATCTAATGTATGTTCAAGTTCAGAGGCCACCTGAGAATGGTCACTGGATTATGATATATGACGACAACACTCTATCCGGTCCATATGTTCCCCAGGTGCTTTGAGCACGTGTCAATCCATTGGTCGAATCATTCAGATCGCAATGGCAAGGGGACGGATCCATGATATATGGAGGTGCTGTCCTTTTTTTGAGTCTTGTTCTCATCTTGCATTTTCCAACACAAGCAGAAGGCTGTGTGAAAATCGACAGTATGCAAGACGTTTTTGGCAAACTGAAACAAGAGGTTTGACCCACTGCTTCTTAAAGAGTTTGTCTGCCCCGAGTCTCGATGGGAAGGAGACACATAGCCACAAACGAAGCCAGAATCAACGCGCCGGACGCATAGATAGGCGCGTTGGGGTTCGCACTGCCGGCATAGATGGCAACAAGGGGAGCACAGAGACCAGTGATACGGTTCAAGCAGCTGGAGATACCTGTGCCAGTACCGCGGTTGGGGGCGGGGAAGGTCTCGGGGGTATAGGCGAACAGGACACCGTACATGATGTTTTGGAAGAAGGCCTCAAGACAACTGCACAGGAGCTGGATGTCGGAGTTTGTGGATGCAGTGAAGCAGAACAGCAACACACCGGTGATCAGGGTGGAGATGGCCATTGTGCCCTTACGACCAATATACTTGAGCTCAACTGTCCAGCAAGCCAAAAAGGAGCCAGGAAGACCAACAATGGAGGTGATGGCGTAATTGCGGTAGGTGGTGTAGTTCGAGTTGGTCTCGCCGCCGGACTGGGAGAGGTATTGCGGCAAGAAAGCGTTGAAGAGAGGATACCCCATACCGATGGTGGCCCAGCAGAACCAGAGCAGGGCGGTATTCCAACCCATGCGCTTGTTGGCAAACAGGGGCGCAATGCGCTCCATTGAGAATTTGGAGAAGAGGCGGCCCAGGATTTGAGTGTAAGTGAGCCCTGTCTCTTTTTCGTGTACCTCGGCATGACCACCGATTTCGTTGAGGATTTCGCTGGTCAACCAGGTCTTGGTGCCGTTCTTGTGGGCAATTCCATGAATAGAGGCAACGGCTTCTTCCTGGCGGCCACGGGAGAGCAGGAACTTGGGTGACTCGTATAGGTGGAAGAAGAAGAAACGCAGGATAAACATAACAAAAGTGATGGCACCCAGAGTGAGGACCAAGTAGCGCCAGCCCATGTTGTTCTCCTTGGTGCAACCTTCACGGCTACTGCAGCTGAAGTTGGGGATGAAAGCCCACGCAAGCAGACTGCCAATTAGCTGGCCAACGGGCCACCAGACACTCAACATGGTCAACATGTTGCCGGAGACGAAGGGGAGGAACTCCAGGAAAAGGGCACCATCCACAGGTAGGTTACCACCCACACCAAGACCCAAGCAAGCAAACAGAGCACATGTTCTGCATCCATGATTAGCGAAAGATACAAATCCGTTGTTTTCGCAAAGACTTACCCAATCCAAGTGGGACCACCGCCAGCAGCCAGACCAAAGGTACCAGCCAGGAACAGGGTGGCGTTGAAAGCAAGACGACGGCCAACAATATCAGAGGCAATACCCCAGAATGAGGCACCAATGCAGAGACCCAAGAATAGAGCGCAAGTAGTGAAACGCACCCACGTATCGGAGAGTCCAAATTCGTAGGAGATAGGTGTCAGTGTCAGGGCAACTCCCTACATATGGTTAGATTTTATCCCTGTGGTTCATTTGATTTTAATATCCTACCTGAAGCCAAAGGTTGTCTGCTGTCCAACCAAAACCACAAAGGAAGAACAGTTCCCACTGATACCGACCCATGCCGATATCTTGCAGGGCTCTGTTGATCACCTTTGCCTTGCCTGTCTCGTCGGGTTAGATCAAAAATCTAATTGCCTGAAGTTTGCACACCGGGGCCAGTGCGAAAAATGCGGAATGAACATACGGTCATAGGCAGAGTCATGGGTAGAAGTGGAAACATCAGACTCGATTTCTGCACGAAGGCCTTCGAGGGTCAGATGAGTTGAATCCTTGGGGCCTGCGGCACCGTTCTCCGAGGAAGACGCGCCATCCAAGCTCTCGCTGGGCTCCTTGTCTGTCTTTTCTGAGAGGGGTTGGGCAGGTGCATTGGCGAGTGGAATGACAACGTTGGGGAGGTTCGGACTATCCCTTTTGAAGGGGTTAAATTTTTGGAATCCCATAATGGCGGATATATATGGCGCTTTGGAATATATAATTTTCAACTGCCTGGGATTTGCCGCTGTCTGTTGAATATGTCGCTTTTCGCACGTTCTATTCCGTTCAAGTGTCGCTGGGGATTTCGTGAGAGGCTGAAGGTGGATCTACAGATGTGGGGAGCTGCAATAGGGTCTTATATCGTGAATCCGGGGTAATTCACTGTGGGACGAAAGTGGCGCAAGGACAATGGTCGATATATACTGCTGTTAGGGCTTGCAGGTGGGCTTGTCGTTGTCGATGAAATCTTTGTCGCCAGGGTGATGCAAGATCGCTTGCTACTGAAGAGCAAATCTGAAGTACCTCGGAATTGGCCTTTGAAATAGATTTCTTTTCACAAGGTGGTGATGAATAATAGAAATGATCCAAGAGCGTGAAACAGAAGTTCTGCCACGGGGATATAAGATAGAAGCTAAGAGACGGAGCTCTAGCAAGATATGTGAATGAATTAAGGCAAGCTAAGGGTAGCTATACCTTGTCCAAGATGGGTTGAGAGGTATCGACGGGAAGTTTAGGAATTGACAGAAGAGGAAAGAAGAGAAAAACGGAAGTGAGGTGGGATTGTAGAGTTGCTATATACTATTGGGGGCATCCCAAGGATAGGCAAGATGCTTCCTTCTTTTTTATTATTTTCTCTTTTTTTTCCTCTTCTTTCCATATTTTATTATATTACCAAATGGTTCTATAGTACGAGATGTCATAATTGGCCGCCGAAAAGCGGGACTGCAAGAAAAAGGTGTGCTGATATTGGTAATTCGAATACTGGAAAAAGGACTGGATCGGGGCCGGAACTGGGGTTCGGGTTCTTTACGGAGTGTGTTGTACTCCATGCATCTGAACATATTCCCTCGGTTTCCCTCGGCAAGTGCACATGTTGTACGGAGTGCTTGGCACCAAGTTGGACTTCATGTTTTCGGCTTAGACACCGCCCTACCATCTACCGCCTATAAATGCACTGCCAATAGGTATATATCTGACCTGGACACTTGACAATACATATTACCTGTCTCCCTTGGTTTCTCACAGTTTTGGCTTCTATAGTTAAATCACATCCCCTACTTACATATGTAACATCTCAAGATTAGCTGATTCAAACAGTCATATTTTATGACCGGCAGTACCGGCAGAATCCAAGGGCGGTCCTTTGGACCCCAAAAAAATGAGGTTCCACTATAGCGTACACCGTGCTCCGTATGGAGTACACAGACGTATTATATTAATAAAATTGTTGACCTTGGTTAATAATTCACAGCCGCACAGGGAATAGCTTAAACGGAAACCTTAGAGACCCGTCAGTGGCTGACGTTGGCTGCGTTTACTTGGTAGCACGGTCCTTCTATGTTCTTCCGATCTAGAATTGAACGCCACCAAGGCAAATCCGACATACACTGTTCAGCCTCAAGGGTCTTTATCTATTCTACAATTATACCTATATGGATATCCCGTATGCAGAGCTCAGTTGGCCCCATATAAATATCGGCATATCGTGTGCAACATTTGTAGAAAGAATACATCAGAAAGTGTTGAAAACTTGAAATAATGGACAAATTTGACTCAGTACCTGAGACGAGACCCCATTGGCCTCTACGATCCACCAAGAAAATTTTCGCAGTAAGACCACTTTATTTGTACTCCGTACGGAGTACCCTCTCACTACTCTTATTTGGGGCAAAGTAATGAGATCAAGAAACCGCATGCGTGCTCTGAACGTTACCCCTGCACTTTGATCTTCTTGCCTCTTTCCCAAGATATTCAACATAGTTTTGTTTTGTTTTTAAATTTCTACAGTATAACAACAGTCCCGGATCTTTCTAAACTCCAAAAATCTAATCCAACATTGTATAGCAAGAAAAGATTGAACTCACCAACGTTGAAGGGCATGAGTCTTGGCGGAGGCACATCTATGCCGCATTCAGATCAGGAAAATTCGCCATTACTTCCGACCAATCACAGTCCTTGAATACTTCTGTAGCCTCCTGTAACATCCCGTAACCTTCCCAGGTTCCAGGCACACACTTCCCGGGTAAATTACTGCCATTTTGGGACCCGGTGTTCTGCCGTACGGTACAGTCCTTGCTTGTCGGCAACTGATGTTCTCCGCTTGGCTCTCGGCTATTTGCTTACTTACAGAGTGGAAAGTCAATCCGGAAACTGGGAAGTCCAGGAACCATAAAGTCCAGAGGTATCTTTTCCCTTGACTTAATTCATTTTATTAGACCAGTCCATTACGTTATATCCCCGATTATACAAAGAAAAGTCTGTTGCACAAAGTCCTTCACATATATCCAAAAAGACCTGCTAAAAAGACCTGCTATACGGTTGTAGGACGCTGCAGGAGATTACAAATACTTTTGCACCAAGCTTGGGCACACTTAAAATAAACCAAAGTCCATTAATTGCGTTATATCGTGTGTAAGACTAACATATGAAGCAGATCATAGGCCCACCGATACTTAATTCTATACATAATGAAGCCCTAACCGGGGACGATATTAGGCGTTCATGGCAATCATTCGTATGGGCCCTCTCACTTTGTACAACAACCCAAACACCATCATTTCGTTCGGCAAATAGAAAGACATACATCAATCCCTCGTCGCCAAGATTCATTCACTCACCCGGTAAACCATCACCGGATGGGCATATGTGGGGAATCCTCTTTGCGAATAAGAAACTAGAGCTCCTCGGTGCGTCTGAGCAGCCATTCAAGGTGACGGAAGGCCACGCGAGGCTGGTACTGCGGTTGCATGTGACCAGACTGGAAACTCTGAGCCCACATCAGGCCACGCTCATAGTGCTGAACACCCATGACACCCTGAGGGCCATCGATACCAGTTTCACCATTCTCTGCAAAGACCTTGGCGTACATGAGATCCGGAATTTTGATATCGATGGGCTTGTTAGGCTTATTCTGGAAACCGAGATTGCCGTTCCAGGTCATATTTTGGATGGCCAGGAGCGTGCCGTTGGTGAGGATGACCATGTCCAGGTCACCGTTTGCAATGAGAACGCGGTTAGTAGCCTCGATAACCTGCGGCAAGACATGCTCGATCGGGTTCGCCGAGATGTCACCTTCTTGCTCCGGGCCGGAGCTACCATCGACGTACACGGGCTCGAGGGAACATCCACTCCAGGTGCCCTTGGGTGCGTGCAGTGCCTTCTTGACATCTGCGCGATCGAAGTAGACGCTGGCTCCAGGTGCTTTGTAGTCGAGAGAGGTGGGGAAGGCGAGAACGTCCCAGAGGAGTGGGCACATCTGGTTGATTTCGTAGATGTCGAAGCATGGGTTCATGTGCATGATTTCATTGTTGACGAGGGTAAACAGATCACACTCGTCGGGCAAGGTGCTGCCTAGCAAGGGCGGCTGAACTCCGGGTGGCGGGAAAGTGAGGTACTTGTCGATGAACTCCTCGTATCCGCAGGATTTGTGCTTCTTGTCGAGCTCCACCATGAACGATTCGTTGAAGCTGAACAGGTTTGCATTTGCGTGGACGAAGGGCACAACGGGCAACTCTTCCTGCACAGTGTCGAACTGGCCAATGCACGGGTCGTATGCCAGCGCACCTTGGTAAATAGTCAGAGTTTGCATCCCAGCTTTTTGAATATTCGTGGTATCTCACCATCTAGATCGAAATACTCCTTGTCTTTTTCGTCGAGCATCGCAGCTGAGATGTAGGGCACATAACGTCCAGCATAACTCTCACCAGTGACATAGATCTTGAAGTTCTTAATTCCAAAGATTGTCTGGAAGTTCTTGAAGAATTTGACAAAGTCCTGTGCTGTCTCCTCTTGCGAAATAGCAGTTGGTGTGCCGACGGAATAACCTGTTCCGATAGGCTGGTCGACCCTGCGAAATGTTAACAAGTTTTTGGGTTCGTGTGCATTATAAGTACTCACCACAGCACGTTGGTCAGGTTAACCCAAGCATAAGGGTTCTCCACCGGGGCAAAAGTACCGGGCTGCCAGATGAACCGACCGGTCTCTTGTAGGAAACTCTCCATCGAACTACATCCAGGGCCACCGTTGAGCCAGATGGTTACTTCATCTACAGGCGCGTTGATGGTAGGCTGGAAGATGAAAAAGAGCGATCTGGTTTTATTGTCCATATCAATTGGCACCAGACCAGAATACATCTCGCCGATATCAAATGGAACATCCGGCAGGGAGTCCACCAGGTACTCTATGGGTCTATTAGGATTTTTGCTGCTGACAATGATATAACACGACACTCACTCTTAGTATTCTTGCTCAAGAAGCGGTAATCCTTGTCCGATTTGTGAGATTTCTGGCTACGAGCCTCAACTACCCGCTTAGCCTTCTCCTGTGGTGCACGGGCTATCTCTGCAAAGCGTCCATGTTTAGAAGCGGTCGCAAGATCTGATCCCAGCGAAAGGGCTAGGAGAGCAGATGTCAGGACCGATTTGAGTAACATCCTGGATCGGTGTGGGTGGGCCAGGAGGGAGATGGGATGTGTCTACGTATTATTCCCGAGGAGGGGACGCAGCTATATACTACCCCCAGAAAGCCACCAGTAGCCCCTGATCGTGTACGGAGTACTCGGTAGGTCCGTTTAAATTAATAAATAGCCACCTGAACAAACCGGGTGATTCCAATCGAATGATTGGAAGAAATGCATAGCTGCAGGCCGGGGGATGCTTCTTCTGCGCCACCTGGGCGCAATCTTGGAATCCCTTGCTCGATAGTAGGTCTCCACTGATATCGATTTCTTCGGTCATCCCGGGGTCAACCCCAGAAAGGAAAGATCGTCTGTGAATCTTGCTGCTGCATGTGTTGTACTTCTTTGTCCCTGATCTACAGAGTAGTTGTGTTCTAATGGTTTTATCAGTGTTGGATAATTATAGGGGCAATATAATATCATAAATGATTGCTGCAAGAGTTCGGCCACTCTATGCACAGCTATCATTAGGGCCGGATGAGCGACGGATTCCGGTGAGATCGACGGTTATCTGTCACTTTGGGATAATAAAATCCGTGTGTAAAAAGCGGGGGCAACTCGCAATTCGCAATTGGTCTGGCATGCTTCTTATCCTGGCTAAACATCGTGTGAGGGCAATCGGCCTGCAACGGTTGTAACGGTTTGATAGGTGAGAAATCCTCTTAATAATTCAAATGTTGTATGGAGTACTCTGTACTCTGTATGTTATACGACTCCTCGGCCAAAATATCGTGTGTGTACATCACCTGACTGCCTTCTTCCTACCTGATTCGGCATGTCAGGGAACACTGCCAAATGATCACAGGAACAAGACGATCGTTGTACCTGAGCCGAGGTTCCCGCAGCTCTAAAGTATAGATGTTAAGCATGCCAAGCTTTCCAGAATGCTTCGCACTGGCTTGGAAATCTTAGGACTTGTTTTCTCTAACAGGCCCCCCTTTTTGCTGAGTATCAACCAATGTGATTTTAATGTATCGGTGATATGTTGATATATGTACTTGGGTCTTTCTAAACACAAAAAAGTGTCTTCGAATGTATTTTCATATGACGTAGTAACTTACGTTAAGAAACGCAAAATATGAAAAAAAATGGACTCGCGGGGAATCGAACCCCGGACCACTCCCATGCTAAGGGAGTATTATACCACTAAACCACAAGCCCAATTTGATGGAAGAGGCTGTCCTTTAATGTAACATAAGCCTATAAATAAGTTCTTGCTGGAAACTACTCGGCGTACAGGGTTCTACACCATCAAAGACTTTCAGGTTTTTGGAAATATTAGACATTCCATACGCTTTCCGAGTTGTAACATTAGAGGACTATATTGAATATATCTAAATTCAATAGCTGATGATACTTGATAAAAAAATTTTAAATCATTGTCGCAGTTATATATATCTGCCTGTCATCCGTGGGGTTTCTATCTAATTTATGTTTTTGAAATTGTCCGCACGTTAATTCAAACCTCTGTTTTTCTTGTTTTGTTTGAAGCGAAGTTATATATACTCAAATACAAGCTGATCCATGTATACATATGAGCTGTTGATGCTATGCCCAGAAGTAGGCACTCCGTATAGCGCTTCGTATTGTGCCGGGAGTCAAATAGTCTCACGGAGTTCGGGAGTTCGGAAGTTCGGAATTTGGCCACTATGCTGAACTGCTGTCATACCCGTAGCCGATAAATCTAGATAAATCAGGATGATTATTTGTCAAAGAGAAATTTTAGTGATGTATGTCAACAGTAATATGTTTCGCTGAAAACAACCAAGATTGTGTAGGTCTAAAATTCCCCATCTAGTCGGTATAGAGCAGTACGATGTACATAGTACACACTGCGTTGTACTCGGTAGTCTCCAAGGTGTTCGGGTTGACAATATGTTGTAGATCCACTTCCTTCCCTGCCCAATGATCACCCACCCCCGAAATTTTCACGCCTTTACTATGACACTTGAACCCAATGGGAATAATTCCGTGGAGAATTCTTAGGCCTAGGCACTTTTGCATATGACTATTTCGAAGGTTGATTGCTAATACGGAGAATATAACTCCCCTACTTCAAACTTCTCAGACCTCACACGATTCTGAACTTCATAGGAATTCCTTCATTCTTAATGCAAGTGGAGAATATAATAACTGCTCTTTCCACATAGAATGTCCACCAATGTCGGGTCTGCCAACAACAAGACCCTCGATCATGCATTTGATATTGTGAACACCAACCAGAGCATCACAACACCCTTTGACGAGAAGACTATCGCTCACATGGGCAATGGGAAATTTGACACGGAGGCTGCACCGGAGGAAGATCCCAGCCCGGAGGATGTATATCGGACAGCATCTACCGTGGCACCGTCTCAAAGATCAGCCAGAAGAGACCCTGTTAGTCGAGTGACCACAGACGCTGAAGGGAACACCTACCCGGAGGGGGGCCTCGAAGCATGGTTGGTAGTGCTGGGCAGCTTCCTCGGTCTCTTTGGCTCTCTGGGCCTGGTTAACACCATTGGCACTTTCCAAGCATATGTCCAAACCCACCAACTGAAGGAATACAGCTCAGGAACCAATGGTTGGATTTTTGGAATGTTTGCCTTTCTCACTTTCTTTTGTGGAGTGCAAATCGGTCCCATCTTTGATGCTCGAGGCCCACGCCTTCTCGTCTTTGCGGGTTCCGTAGTTGAAATGGCTATGATCATCCTTCTCGGCTTCTGCACCCAATACTGGCACTTCATGCTGGTAATCGGTGTACTGGGTGGAGTGGGAGCCTCGCTCATTTTCACACCGGCGATCTCGTCGATTGGACACTATTTCTACGAGAAACGTGGAGTCGCAACTGGAATTGCTGCCACTGGTGGCTCTGTCGGGGGCATTGTTTTCCCTCTCATTCTAGAAGACCTCTTCCCCAAGATCGGATGGGCCTGGGCCACTCGGGTTGTCGCGTTGATTTGCCTAATTGCGCTATCAATCGCAAATCTCTTGATCAGGTCTCGACTCCCGCAGAAGCCATTTTCCAAGGAGAACGTGCTTCCTGACTTCCGCATATTCCGAGACCCGCGATTCGTACTTACTACCGCCAGCGTCTTCTTTATTGAGTGGGGTCTTTTCGTGCCAATTAGCTACATCTCATCCTACGCCCTCGACCACGGTTTCTCCACCAAGTTCTCGTACCAGGTCATTGCCATCTTGAATGCCGGCTCATTCTTTGGGCGATGGCTACCCGGCTTCTTTGCTGATTTCCTTGGCCGCTTCAACACTTTGATCGCAACGGTAGCGCTCTGCGTGCTCTGTAACGCCTGCCTGTGGCTTCCTGCCGGTGATAGTTTGCCTCTGCTGATCGTTTACGCTGCTCTTTTTGGATTCTCAAGTGGCAGTAATATTAGCCTGACGCCAGTCTGCGTTGGCCAACTCTGCAAAACTGAGAACTATGGCCGGTATTACGCAACTGCCTATACCGTAGTGAGCTTCGGGTGAGTGCTTTTTCCCCTTTGTGATGTCACCTGCGTATCCATAACTGACATACTTTTTGCCACCAGCACTCTCACCGGAATCCCCATTGCAGGCGAGATCCTGGCACGCTGCAATGGATCCTACTGGGGCCTTATTACCTTTACTGTCTGTTGCTATGCGGCTGGTCTGGCATGTTGTACTTCCGTAAAGGTCATTCAAGTTGGCTGGCGTCACCCTCTCGCGATCTATTAAATTTATGGATTCGGTATCCGGGACTCCGACGCTGGTTGATCTGGTAATCTCGACACGATTTCACGATTTCAAAGATGGGCTCAGATAGAAAAGTTCCTTTTTCCTCCTTCGACTTGCATTTTGTTATCCAGCGTTCATGACCGAGTGATTTGTTATACATAGCTTCTACTAATGTCTATATTTATCAATATTTATCAATCTGTGATATTCTACAGTTTCATCACCCAATCGGATAACGTTTCCGACATCGGTTCGGCCCTTCAGCCGTACAAATAAATTTCCTAATCGAACTGATGGTTCGAAATAAAACGATTTGCCGCCATCGGGGCAATATAAAAAAGTATAGATTTTGGTAACTCAGGTTCAGGTTCCTAGTAGGGCTGAATAGGGCAGAACACGTCGCATAAGATATCCGACAGGCACCGGATCTATGTAACCATCCAGTCACAATGATACCTCTGTACCTTATCCAGCCATGGATTTCATCACTGGGAATGATTTCCAATAGGTGCAGACTCAGCTCTTACCATGGAAACTATAAAGACGTAGAAAGTTTATCCAAAGAACAAACATCGACATCACCCCTGGCCAATCCTGTCGCCGTGATGACATCGAATGTTCATCCATCCATCACCATTGAGTTTTCCAACCTTCTCACTACATATACGACGTTATGCTCGCATCCCCTACCTAACCTCATTTTCAACCCGAGACTTTGCTTTCCATTCACGTTTCTTCAACTCATCTGGTGAGCATTTACTTTGTTGCTAATCTTGCTCTTTCTATCCAAGGAGGCCTGAACGTAGAATTATCTTCTATTATCAATTCAACCGACAACACCTGGAACCACTGGCGAACTTGCATTGGCCTCAGTTCTCCCTAAAGCGGCCACATTTGCTTTGTCGCCCTGCATATACGTGCGTTGGTCCGAATCATGTTTCTAACAAGATGCTTGATTCTGCTGGCCTGCTGGACTCTCGTGCAGAGTGTCGTGGCTGTCCCGGATGTGGCGCTAGAACAGCCCGCTCTTGAGGATCGTCGTCGAGAAGAGCGTGACTTTGGCTTGCAGGAGCGCCACAATCATCCTGGACTTGAGAGCTCGCTGCTTTCTGTCTTGACCGAGGAGTTAGCTACGACACATGGTCCGAAGGCTGAGACCACTACAGTCCCCGGCGGAGGTGGCGGTACTACAGCTCCTGGTGGAGATGGTGGTACTACAGTCCCTGGAGGAGGTGGCGGTACTACAGTCCCTGGCGGCGGAGGCGGAACTACAGTCCCTGGAGGAGGTGGTGGCACTACAGTCCCTAGCGGTGGAGGTGGTACTACAGTCCCTGGTGGTGGAGGTGAGTAAACTACTACTTTATTTTCTGAAGATACCTTTTCTTACTCTGGTACTTAAGGCGGCACTTCGCCCGGTGGCGGAGGTACAACTGCTACCCCAACTGGCGGCGTTCCTACTGGTGCCACTGGAACTTCCCCGACTGGCGGTGCTACCACAACAACCGGACCTGCTCCTCCAGTCACTGAAACTACTCCCACTACCAGTGCGCACCCAACCACCACTCTTACTTCTCCCACTGGCGGCGGTGGTGTGACTACTTGCCCATCCCCCAGCGTTATTACTGAAACTGTCGGACCGACGGCTTGTCCTACTACTACCACCGTTGGACCAACGGCTTGTCCCACTCCTTCCACATCTCAGGAGACGACGGTGATCCCGGTGACGGTCACTTGTCCTGTTGCTATAGTGAGCACCGCCACCGTCACTGTTACATCTGGTCCAAGCTTGGGCTCTGTAACAACAGGTTGTCCTTGCCCCACTGGAACTCCTGGAGAAGGTACTGGCGGAGTGTCTCCAACCGGCTCCCCAACTGGTACCCCGACAGCTCCAACGACCACTACTGGCGTAGTCTCCCCAACTGGAACCCCAACTGGCACTCCAACTGGCACTCCAACTGGTAGCCCAACTGGCTCCCCAACCGGCTCCCCAACTGGCAGCCCGACAGGACCATCCACCAGAACCACCACCAACACCCTGACTCAGACCCAGACCCAGACCCGAACATCAACGCCTCTCATACCAACCACCACTAGAGGACATACAGTCACCACAGGCTTGCCCACCACACCAGCTACCCTCGTGACTTTGCCTACAACATCTGTATTTGTGTCCCCTGGAACGCCAGGGGGTCCGCGTGTGACTCCACGAGCAGTAATCAACCCGGATGTTGTTCGTCGACAGATATTAAACAACACGACAGCAACGGCCCACTTCACTAACACGACTGTTGTTTCGAATACAACGACTAGTGCGGTGAACCTCACCCGCATTGCGACTGAGACTGCCACCGAGCCTGCACCCGCTTTCCTGCCTCGCTTTCATCGTGGACGGAATCGTGTTGCTTAGATTGCTTGGTTGAATTGGGGAGAGTTGACTAGGATATTGGTTGGTTGTCTATTGGTCAATTTTAGATCGGCTTGGTTATTGCCAATTTTTGTTAGTTTTTCTGACGGGTTAAAAATAGTTTAATGTATTTGGTGGTAATATGATGTTGCTGGTGTTTAATGGATTTGTTTCTAAGTGTAACCACTAGAACCTCTGCTAGAATAGAACACTGATACACGTAAGACATGAAGTTTACGATACGTTGCTTGTGGCAAATTACGATCCACTCCCTCGAATCCATTTAGTTGGCAGAGCGATCATCAGAAAATACATGTGACCAGCGCTTATATTGAACGGCGTATAGAAGGGACCTTGGAAGAAACCACTTGTGTTATGTGACCAACAAGGAGAGTATGCTATCATTGGGTTGTCTTCTCTAAAGCCAAAACATAGATTGGAACATAGAAGTAACAGCAAGTGCACTAGAACCGAAATCCCCCAAACCCCTTTCAGGCGTACAGCTCATGCTTGATTTCCGCCTCCTAGAAAGCCACGCCTATCAATGACGGTGACGACGTCTATTTTTGTTTTGCCGCTCAAACTCCTCCTCGTCAGAAATCTCTTCGACTTCCGGGTCCCATTGAGTAGGTTGTTGCAAAACGGTGGGGATGCAGCTGATGAGATCATCAGCAACGTCTTCATCGCTCTCCCGGTCGTTATGCTTTCTGAGAATCCTGATAGAGATTGGCACAACGAGCTCAAGGTTACGACACAACCTCTCAAACTGGGGATCACGTTCCACAACTGCGCTTGAGATCGCAATACCAATTTCGCCAAGAATCTCCTCCTGTAAAGTGGAAATGACATCGTTACGACGATGTGGTCCATGGCGAAGGTAGTAGATTGAATCATGCACACATGACAGAACGAAAATACGCCGCTCGTTGTAGGGATCATCGGCTAGCACACGCTCAAGATCATGACGAGGCATCGTAGGCGAATATCAGACTGGTCACGGAGAATCTGGTTGAAGTGTGACTTGGAAGCGAAATCTGTTGACGATTCCCGGACAAACAAGTTACAAGCAGATAACCGAATTGTTCGATGATGCAGAAACCGATGTGTTTTCCGTGAATGTCTGCGGGTTATGTTTGCATAAGAACTTGAGAAGGTGGTGGGGATTGGAATTATTTATGCCGTTGTATGGAGTAGATTTGGCGCTGATTCGATTTCCTGGCTGATTTATTTGACAAAGGGAAGAAAAAGAATATCGAACCTTTGACTACATTTCGGAAGACTCCTAGTTATGTTTCGTCAAGAAAGAAACCCTTCGCCTCTGGGCGACTCACAAAGACACTATTTATATCCTATTAAAAGAGGGAATGTGGTGAATGGCAGGGGATAATAATTATAGGTTTTCGATTCCAGAGAGAGAGCGATAGAATTTTTCACAGTTGCATAGGAGTCAGAATACTGAGAGACTGGGCACAGTTCCCAAAACAGTTGCAACGCCAAATCCAACCTCGGTGTAGGCCTCTTGTCGGAAATACGAGATCTTAGAACTTTCATAATATTTTGAATTCGTGCGTCAAATTGATGGACTCGATAAACAAAGAGAAAGCACAAAGCATAAGGAATGGGAATAGTTAAACCAGGCAAGAAAAAACGCAGGTGATCATGTGTCAAACAAAGGATGAACTGCTAGGCAGGTGTAAAAACCAATATGTGTAAATATTTTGCTTTATTTTTGCTATTGCATCTTTCCAAAGGATTGATAGATGTTAATTGCCGTCAAGTCTATCAATAGGAATCTTGCCTCTGGTTTAAAATGTCCTAGATCACTTCCACAATGTGTTCCACTCAGGACTCATGATTCTTTTTTCTAGTTATGCAAGATCAAATTCTTGTATACACTGCATAATACAGGAATAAATTTAGACATGTATTTCTCATTTGCTCCAATTTTCATGGTTTTACTCACCTAGTTCACGATTTCCAAGATTCGGGTGGAATCATTTTCCGTTGCTTAGCTGTACTGTGTACTTGCCTTGGAAATGGTTCCTGAACTATAATGGAGTCATCAAATAAACTACAATAAACTACACACTACGAGACTTTAAATGAAGATCCAAACAAGGTCAACTCCATCTGTACTCCGTACTTGACTTTAATTATGACTATCTCTTATCAGTTCTCCAGGCTGAACTGATAAGCCTGACACGCCCCACAGTTACTTGAGCCAATGACGCAACGACCTGCCTGATTAAGACTAGCTGAAGATTAGCTTCTCCACATGATCCAGTATGTACGAGCCTGTCCCCCCGCGTTGATGAGATCGACAATTCGAGCACATCAACGGTATTTATACTATGTGCATGCTAGAACTGTATATATAGTCATGTGGTCTGTATTAGACTCGTCTAGTCGCGGTTACTGCCGGGGCCACGACTAGGCGTTGGTCTGAATGGAGGGACGCTGTGCAACACCTCCACAGCGCATATGTACTTGTTCCGGGTGGAGCTTCCTAGAAGGGCTAGCGACATGCAACCCTGGAACATTGGAATGTACGCCGAGAATAAGATAAGCGGGACAATCAATTGTAATCAAGTGGCCCCGGGGATCATCATAGAGCTCAGCTATATGAACCCCTTCCTCATCCCTGGAGAGTGACTTTCTACCCATTATTTCCTCGATTGCTGACACCCCTACAATAAACAAAGATCTCGCTTCCCTCACCTTTTCCTGCATCTACTCGTGGACCATCACCACTTCAATTCTACTTAGATGGCGGTTGTCTTTATCTCTCACTGTCCCCAACGGCTTCATTGGCATTCTTATACTATATCTCTGTGTCAAGCTATTCGCAGAGCCAGTAGAAAAAGTACCCGGACGTCTAAACCCGTTCGCTAAAACAATTGTCGCTGTCCAAAAAAAAACGTAGTGACAAGCCAAGAACAAGAACAATGTCAATCGAAATCGTCCCGCTGGCTCAAACCGACATACCTGAGGCTGTAGACTGTGTGCAGAAAGCGTTCGCCGACGATCCCTATTTTCGCTGGGCGTTTGATGATCCATCAAAGGTATGAAATATCTTTTTCCGCCAGAAATGCCTCCGAAGATTTCGCTGTGGCTTTGAGAAAGACATACCAAAAAAGAAAAAAAAAGAAGGGGAAAAAACAGTGAAACAAAACGAAGTGGATATCGAATCAAGTAATAACAGGGTCTAACAGTTTAACATCCAACGAAACGCAGCTTCCCTCGCTGCTCATCTCCGATATGGTATCAACTGCGGTTGCCCCATTTCTGTCGCCAAGATAACTCGCGCCGCAAATGAAAGCAAGAGCGATGGCGAGATCCGCCTACCAGCCGGTACTGTGGTTGGTGTTGCTTGGTGGTACTCGCCACAAGCGCCTTCCATGACACAACCCTGGTCAGTTTGGGCACAGAACTGGCTTCTTTCCTTCCGCCAGCTCATCAACAATATCCGATTCCTTGGTCGTGGTGGTCTGAATGTGCACCGGTATTGGATTTGGAAGCAGGTGCAGCAAACTGCGCATGATGCCATCTGGCAGGACCCCCGTGGCTACTATTTCTGCAATGTCGTCTGTGTTGATTCAGAGGCGCGTGGCATGGGAGTGGGAAAGAAGCTCATGGAGAATGTCATGGAGAAGGCCGATCAGGAGAATATGCCATGCTACCTTGAGAGCTCCAAGGGGTATCCAAACGTGGGTATTTATGAGAAGATGGGCTTTGAATTGGTCAAGGAGATTGAATGCGTGGATGGAGGGGACGTTTGCAAGGTATGCCCTCTTGTCTGGAATGATCCCTATTAAATGACTGATGCACGCCCAGTTATATTGCATGATTCGCAACCCCAAGTCCAAAGAATAAGGCTGTGATTAATTTTCCAGGGCCGATACCGTTCATTAACGCAGATACACAGGGAGATTGAGTAACATACATGACTTGATTAGCAGAATTTGAATCTCAAGCATTTCGATAACTGTCATCTTTGACTTAGAAGTGTGCGCGAGATGGTGGAAATAATCGAATATAGCTTTTATGAGCTCAGCTTTTTAAGAGTCAATTTCTTTTCCAATCGACATTTCTCTCTCCTAATTCTCGGACAGAGTGTGCGTTCTGTTTGTTTTGACCCTCGCACAATTCGATTGGTTATTTTAAGTTCATTTATTTACTAATTTCCATAAATTGGACCGTTCTGAGTATACGACACTACGGACGGAAGTGCAGCTTCCGCCCACATGCATGCCCCTGCTCGGGATGGCCCCTGGTACACCCGAGGATCGTGGCTGGAAAGCAGTCGGAGATCATATCATAAGCCTTCGTGCATTAGGTAGCTTCAAGCTTTCTCGGGTCATGCCCATTATCAGAGAACGAGAGGACTAAGGTGTTGCTTAATGCTTCGAGAAACGCATGCGAAGCGATAGCCCGGAATTCAGATTGAATACGAAGTATGAGGAGTGAAAGGCCTAGGTGAGCCGCTTATTATGCCTGGGGTCTCAGTTCTCAGAAACAAGTTACTATTTATTTATAAAAGAAGACCTCGGAAGGAGACGAGTAGCCATGGCGCCCTTATAATCAGGCCCATTTTCCTAGCAATCCCATCAAAACTAGCCCGCTGACTAAGGAAATACCACCGGTCAAAACTTTTCTCAATTTCGCATCCAACATTTCACCTCCCTCAATGACCCAGTCACGCGCCCACATATCGACGACACCAACCCACACCAGGATACCAGCAGACAGAGCGTCTAATGTTCCTAGTGCAATCAAAGTGCCCCTCGAGTTACCATTGAAGGTGTGAAGAACACCAAGCCCAATAGCCATACCAATGGGTGTGATCAAGGCAAATGCTGCCGCCATAGACGCTTTGGAAGGGAATACAGCTCCCGGTAGCACTGCAATACGAGCACCGAGTGCCAAACCTTCGAAGAATTGATGGAACACAATCACCACCAGAAGAGTCTTGTAGAATGAGTCGCCAGCAACAACCAGAGTGAGGCCGATCAAGATACTGTGGAAAAGTATACCCGCCTCCATGACCATGACCGAAAACTTGCTGTTGGGTCCGGTAAGATCGAATGAGCCGTGGCTATGCCCAAGGCAAGCCACCGTGGGCTGTTGCTGTTGGTCCGAAGAGTGGTCATGCTGTCCCTTCTGTTGTGTTTGCTGAGATTCGGACTCGGACGGTATGGCTTCTGCGGGGCTATTTTTGCTGTTGCGAGCAACGATAATCCTGTGGCCAATGAATTCCAGCAAGAAAGCAATGAAGATACCCGCCACGACTACGGCGGAGGTAGTCGCTTCGTACTCAAGTTCTCCCAAACACTCGTTGGTAAACATAAGGTTTGCATGTGTATAAAGCTAAGGAAAAAACAGTGAGCAAGTGGTACATCTGTCAAGGCCTAGATTACTTACATGAATGAAACCTGTGGCGATGATGATGCCAGTTCCGAATTGTTTGATGACGGTCGCGACCACCCCATTGATAGAGGCAAATGGAAGTTTCATCAGGAGAATAGGGGCAAAGACACCAATTGAACTGGTGACAAGGACAACAAATAATGTGCCAATTCTTAGGGGGATGTCGTAGTCTCTTGCTTGAATACCACACGACGGAGTACTCTGTTCCTCTGATGCACCTGCACTCACACAGTGTCTGAAATGGCTAAAGTCAATAACGCACAAATTTGGAAAGAAAAGGTTATAAGCTTACTCGACGCCAGCATGGAAGTGGCAATTTTGCGTGGCTTCGCTTGAGGATTCCTCGTGGGCATCTTCACTTTGACTGTCTTCGGTCCCGCTCTCGGTTTCTGTTTCTTCTTCTTGAATCAGAACATCGTTTCCATCTCCATCCATGCAATATCTTCGAGTTTTGTAGGTTAGCATACTGTGACAAAGATGAATACCTGTAGACTTACGACTCGCTTCCGTGAGAGTGACACCCAGTGTATTGTGCTGGTACTCCGGTTGTAGGGGTAGATGTGGCCGAAACTAAAACTTCGTGGCCTTCTCCATCGATACAGTAAATGCTGGAGCCATGAGTATGACAACCAGTTACAGATGATGTTTGTGCTGATGTTGTTGCCGTGGCTGCATGTACCCTGGCAATGCCCAGTGATATCAGGAAAGGTGTGAAAATGAGCATGATGAAGCTAGTGCTCTACCCTTTCGCAAATGAGAATGACGGGATTGGATATGGAATTAGGGTTGATGCAAGAAATATGCCACGAGTGAGGATTTTTTCAATCACTGGATACTGGGAGCAATCCTCTCTAAAAGGTCGCTTGGTATATGGACCAAGAGCCATACATAGGTGTCTCACCCCCAAGGTTCTCGATGCCAAGTAGAAGACCTTTCCACCTTTTCCGCCAAGAGCAGGCCTGAACTTCCAATTCGGATGTTTTCCGGAGAATATCGCCTACACAATTCTTGTGCTCTCAAGGTACTCCCGCCCAAGCATCTTGGCGACCCTCCGCCGAGCCTTTGTCTTGGCATCAATATGAGATTTTCTACGCTGATTGCTGGAGAGAAAATTTTTCTAGCGAGAGAACTGATGGAAGAAGCTCTCAAGGTCCCCTCTTGGTAGGTTGCATGATCCGTGTACCGAGAAAGATGGAGAAAACATCCCGCTTTCTCTCCTGGGTGTTTGCGTGGATTGGATTATCCGTAGACACGGAGAAGATGAGCACAACAAAAGCCACACTTGGCAAACAGTTGAGAAAAACTAAAATCATCGTGTATAGAAGCTTTGGGAACCTTGTAAAAATTGATATAAAAGCTGCTCCTACCGTCACTGGAAATCTGCTTCTATAGTTTTCACGCAATCAAGCAATTTGCCTCGATTATAACAAAAATGCTTTTGCTCAACCTCATTCTCTCTGCAGCAATTGCTGCTGCTCTCCCCACCCCCGAGAGCTCCGAAGGAAATAAATCCCAGCCCTTCTCTCAGGCCCAACCCTGGAACACCGGTGGTGTGAATCAATTTCCTATCCATTCAAGCTGCAATGCAACCCAGCGTCGCCAGATTGAGCAAGGTCTCAACGATACTATTACTCTCGCTTCTCATGCTCGGGACCATATCTTGAGATGGAGAAACGAGAGTGAGATCTACAGGAAGTATTTCGGTGATCGCCCATCCATGGAAGCCATCGGGGCATTTGATATCGTCGTCAACGGGGACAAGAACGACATTTTGTTTCGATGTGACAACCCGGATGGAAATTGTGATAATGAAGGTAATTAAAACTGCTCTATGTGAGAGATGATATACTAAATATCTCAACCAAATAGGCTGGGCCGGACACTGGCGAGGCGAAAATGGTACGGATGAGACAGTCATCTGCGACTTGAGCTACGAAACTCGTCGTTCTCTCTCAACCATGTGTGGTCTTGGATATACAGTCTCGGAATCTGAGACCAACACCTTCTGGGCCGCTGATCTTCTACACCGCCTATATCATGTTCCTGCCTTTGGACAAAACTATATAGACCATTTTGCAGACGGATACGAAGAGGTCATTGACCAGGCGATAGAAAATGCGACGCTGTCAACGCATGACTCGGAGACTCTTCAGTACTTTGCACTAGAGGTATATGCTTACGACATTGCTGTGCCGGGAACTGGTTGTCCAGGTGTCCAACATAAGCATGATCATGATGAATCCCATGCTGATCAAACGACCTCTGAGGCTGCGACTAGTCAGCCAACTCCTACTGCAACAAGTACCGATGCTCCTTCGACAACCTCTGAAGTACCTGCGGTATGTCACTCGATGAGTTGCATTGTTATGTTTGGAAACTGATTTGAATAGAATTGCCATACACATGACGGAGGCGTGCTCCACTGCACTTAAGGTTTCATCCTACCAGAAAGACGAAAAGCACACTCGGGCAATCGAGACAAAGATAAAACATTGGCGAGATGATAACCCTGGGGTAATTTTTAGCAGGAGAGAGAGGGAAGGGGGCCCTATTGGCCCAAGGCACCAGCCTCAACAGATTTAGAGCATACTATAATCTATATTATTACTGAACCTATTTGCTGTCATATGTTGAATAAGGGGACATTTAAATTCTAACAATTGTATTTTCGGGTGCTCGTGGTCTTTTTTTTTTTTGCCTTAACCACAACGGATCTAGGGTTAACGATTTTTTGCTGTCTTCTAGAAACCTTCGCACTTGCCTCTTCTGTCATAGCGGCTATCGTTTATTGAAGATATATTTGTCTTATATTACCCCATTCTTGCAAGATAAACATCGCATCTCGTGGCAGCTCCGTATGCATATTCCTTCCTGTGCATATTGGGCATACATTTTGATATTATTCACTGTGGACTGGAAGAAAGGGTTGTGGTGTGTTGATCTAGTCTTTGTTCCCTTTTAAGGCGATTTTAAGAACAACTGCGGTCGGTTAATTACCGTGGCGCGATAATTTAAGGTGAGGACGGCCTATTTCTGGAGACTTGTTACGCTAAAACTCAATATTGTAGTCCATCTTTCATGGTAGTACTGGCTTAGTAGTTAGTTAGCAGCAAGCTAGGCTGCATCCTGAGGTCACTATGGGAACTAGCTGGCTTGATCATGGGGTATTCTTTGCTGGTGTTACTCCAAACATTCGCCTGATGCGTGAAACCTCATATTCAAATGTTATAGGCAGAGTCAAGTCCAATAAGAAGCTTGATTGGCCGAAGTACAAAATGTCTCTATCTGGCTACCTTTCTGTTAGCTATTGACATGATCCAGGTGGGTGGCAGTAGATTATATATTCTTGGGTATTTGAGTGCTATTCGAAGATACATCGAGGTTCTTAGGCGGGTAGATGTCAATACCACAAGTGAACTGATGAATGAATATATTTTTATGGGATCAATACATCTTTCCAATCTGCTATGAGTTTGAAACGCATTCAAGCCATTCAAGTTGGACATACGTTTGTTTTGTTTGTACTTTGTTCTATATTTGTCGCAAGAACCATGTCAAGATATACGGAGTACATCATTATCGATTATATATATTTGCTACAGCTTAACATGCCTCTCATATAAAAGCGCCCAGACAAAGAAATTAAATATCACTTCTACAGTTCATTAAAAAAAAGACATATATTGTTAGGTAGTCGAATCAGTTGTAGCCGATCTTTCTAGCTTTCAGGTAAGCTTTAGTTGCGTCCCCGGGTGGAAGGCGGATATACATCGACTCAACAATATCAACATTAAGTTTTCCTAGAATTGATTTTCGAATCGATAATATACGGCTGTGGTTATGCCACCTAATTTACTGGAGCAAGCCCTGCCGGTGTGAATTGTAAAATGTCGTGTAGTTTGTAACCATGCACATTCAAGATGTGACCTACATACGACATACGGTCTGCGACTATGTTGAGATAGAATGATCGAGGTACCCCCCGATTTTGAATACACCCCTGTCGCCCCGTAATCCGTCCCACCGACATGTACTCTGTACCACAAAACATATTGTCTTCATATGCTAGGGTAAAATCTACATACTGAAGTGGGAGACAGGGTTACAAACAGGGCCTATGAAGAAAGGACGTGGAACAGGGGAGTGCATGATCGACCGATAAGAATGCTGTGCAAGCAAAGATTTACCAATAGTAGGGTTGATTTTGCTGCAGGAGAAGATCATTTACACTATAAAGGGAGTGGGAATGCTCAGAGGGGTATGAGAAACCAATCTAGGGGTGAAAAACAGCCTTTAGGCCAATGGAGGCCTTGCATCCCTGGAGGAATAATTCATTTCACTACAGGGTGTTCCCGAATGTACCTAGGACCCCTTAAGGAAAATCCAGACTCTGTTGTTACGGTGAAGTTGCCCCAAAACCGTCTGAGTGCGCTCCAAGAGGAAACCACCACCCATTCCAATTTATATCAAATTATCCTTTTGGCGGGCACAGATTCGTCCCGCTACAATTTTAAATTACTATATTCCTTATTGTGATCAGTCCGAGTGATGAAACTGCCGCGGTCCGCCTGGACTTGGAGCGCATTCCAGGTTGATACGGGATTGTTTATGTACGGCGGTGTCTCGACTGTCGCCATTCCCGTTGAGGCAATCATAACACCAGCACCCAAGGTCAAAGAACCACGCCCAGTACAACGATCCAAGTCAAAGAGAAAAAGCCTGAAGAGGTCACTCTCCAAGATCTTTTGATTTGGGAATTTGCTGTCCACCCTTCCAGCCACATCGACACATCGCTATGAGTTTACACGGACTTGGGGTAATTGGGGCCCAGGTGGCTGCATCGATCAAAACTACGGACGAGAAAATCCCAACAACGCCTAAGATCGCGCCCCCACGATGCTCCATTACATCTTCGCCTGGGGATCACAGCCAGGAATTTGACCCATCGATCGGTGCAAAGCCATGCTCGCCTTTCTATCCGCATTCAAGTCCAACTATCTCATACGAACAACTCACCTTCGAAACAAAGAATGCCAATCGGAGAAGCCAATTGAGAGACCTGGAAAGCTTGGGCCCATACGCTAGCTGCCGAACCGACAGTCCTCGAAGGTCGAAGTTGTGGGAGGAAGAGAACAAACCTTTGACATGGTTGCAGACTTTGAGTAACAAACAACGGATGGCATTAAAGGCAGTTGTGGCAGTTGTGACAGTGGGGACGATGATTGCGATTGCATTGGGCATCACTGCGGCGGTGGGAGGAGCAGGTTGGAAAGCCAGTGCCGAAAAAACGGCAGCTGGGGGATAAGTGAGTTCTTCGAGTCTCTTTTTTGCCCACTGGCTTGGATTCATTGCTAATAGGACATCCAAGGTTCCGGTTACTATTTTACCACTTTTGATTCAGAGCAACAAACAAGCCGATCATTCGTTGTGTTTCACATCATGAACTCCTCTTACCTAAACTAGTTCACCCTTTTTGTTTCTTCTTTCTCTTTGGATGTTATGGAGAGCTGGAGTCTGGGAGGAGCAATCGTTATTCTTAATTGGAAGTTATCTCACTCATCCACAGTAGTGTCAAAGTCCTGTTTGATCAGGATCTCGCGGGTATTGGATTAGACCAGTCATGGAGCTAGTTGGAAGTGTTGTATCATATCCTATAAGTTATTGCTTTTTCCCCCCTGTTCATCTGAATACGACAGTACGGAGTACATGAGGTGTGATATAGAGCCTTAGAGCGCAGGCTATAACGTAAACCGGCTCGGACCGACCACGGCGCCGAGAGGGAAATTGTAAATCCGACCCGAGACCCCACTAGCGCTATAAAAGACCGCAAACTTTTCGGCCCCTTCCTCCTTTTTCTTTTCTTTTTCATCGAAAAAAAGCAACTGAGCCTGCCACGACCATTGTCCTGTCTTATGACAATCCCACGACGATGTGTTGCCTTCGGTCCTACGGACTTCGGTCTTACGGGACTGATCGGCTCAGGAGATAGATGATCCTCGATAGGAAGTTCGTTTCCCCTCTGGGTCCTCTTCAGTGAGGGCGGTGGGATTTGAATGTCGAAGACGGGACACATTCCTTCGCTTCAACTCTGTTGGAGTTGAAAGCGAGAGTAGCGACCAACGCATCGATGCATGTGAGGGCCTCGAGTAGATTTTAAATAGTAAGAACGGATCGAGTGTAAAAACTGCACAAATGCTACAAGGCTTAGCGTCACTGCGCAAGGTTCTTTTTGTAACATTGACGACTGAGCCAGGCTCATGTGTGCATAACTTGCCATTCGGATTTAAGTCATTGACTGACATAACTGGGAATCCATGTTGTCCGGTCGCACGGTGGTTTAGCCTTAGCCCAACCCGAATGAAGAAGGACTGTACCAAGATCGTCCATACTTCAGTCTGTTTAGGAGGAGGGAGGAGTCTCACATGACTATGGCATCACTTCTGAATGGCGTATGCAAATTTGTCAAAACAAAATGTCCCGGATCAGACAAGGGGGTTGCTTGATCTCTGAATGCCGTGGTTCCCTGCCCAGGTGGTGATCTATCCCTCTAATCCCGTGGAATGCAACATCACCACCTTTCTAGGGATTGTATGGCAGCTGTTTACGATCTGACCAGGATCGAGGGGCGTTTTTTTCTCAGCTGTTGGTGTTGTTTTTCATTCTTGGCGACATTCTAATGGTATTACCTACGGCTTGGCCTCATGTCAAGGTGGTAGTCCCTGTTGATGCAACGGCATTCCGGCCTGCTTGTTGAGCTGGCGATCATGAATGCAAAGAAACTACTAAAGGTCTGAAAATCTCCTCAAGCTAGGTGAATATTCATTGTTCTAAGGCAGAAGATTCTATCAATTGAGCCATTCTTTAATCCTGCTCCCGTAGCACTCGCTTCCAGTCACTCTTTTAACCTACGCGCAAGAACTTTCACCTTTTTACAGTAATATCACTCAAGCACCGCAGTTATGAAGGGCTTCATCGGCGGAATCCCTGTGGCGCTGCTGGCAGTTGCTGCCCAGGCCAAGTTTGCTGAACGTGTATGTCCTCTCCCTCTCCATGTATTGCGGCTGAAGCTAATCCAATGCACAGCACGAGCATGACTTCCATCCCCAGGCTGGCGGTACCGCTATTGGGGGACCTTCTGGAAATGATAACGATGGCGGATTTGTCAGCCCCTACTCTGCTAGTATCAAGACCGATACACAGGTCAACGAGTGGAACAAGGATGATCACTCCATCAAGCTGAAGCACACGGATGTGTACCCTCGCCCTCCAGTGGTACCTGTACCATTTGGCTACCGCGGCCCCCAAGCCCCTGGAAAGGGACCCTTTGGCAAGGGAAAGCGTAGTGCTCCAGGTGGAACCGCCATTGGTGGCCCCTCTGGCAACGATGAGGGCCAGAGCTTCGATTTGTCCGTGACGGGTATTTTCAATACCGCTGTCGCAGATGAGAACAAGGATGATCACTCCATCAACATCAAGAGCAAGCACGTTTACCCTCCTGCTCACGGCGTCGTGCACCCTCCCCCTCAATTCAATGGACCCCCTCGTGGCGGCTACCATGGCCCTGCTAGCCCGCCTTCCACTGCCTTCAACACCCCTACCGAGGGGTATGCGAAGCGCTTTGGTCCCCACGCAGGTGGCACTGCCATTGGTGGTCCCTCTGGCAACGACGGTGGCCAGAGCTTCAGTTTTTCCACTGACATTGAGACTTCAACTGATGTCACTGAGCACAACGAGGATGACCATTCCATCGGCGTGACGCGTGAGGATATCTACCCTCAACCCCACGCCCATGCTTTTGCTCCCTTCCGTCGCTCCGAGAACTACGGCCCCCCTGGCCACGGTGGTGCTCCGCCCCCTGTTCACTTCGAGCCTCACCCGGAGCCGCACTACGAGCCCCACACCGAGTCACACTATGAGCCCCATAGCGAGCCCCACACCGAGTCACACTATGAGCCCCATAGCGAGCCTCACTACGAGCCTCACCCGGAGCCTCACTTTGAGAATCACCCTGAGCCGCATGTGGAGAACCACCCTGAGCCTCACTACAGCCCTAGCTACAGCCCTAGCTACGAGCCCCACTATGAGCCTCACACTACCTTCGATTACGAGCTCACTTCGTTGAAGAACAACAACAACGGCCCTGCAGCTGGGAGCATCTCTTTCGGTCGCCGTGGATTCCCTGCTGGCCCCGCACCTCACATTGAGCCTCACCCGGAGCCTCACTTCGCGCCCCACACTGAGACGCACTATGCGCCTCACTCCGAGCCTCACTATGCACCTCACCCTGAGCCTCACTTCGAGAACCACCCGGAGCCTCACTTTGAGAACCACCCGGAGCCTCACTACAGCCCTAGCTACAGCCCTAGCTACGAGCCTCACTACGAGCCTCACACCACGTTCGAGTCTGAGATCACTTCGCTGAAGAACAACAACAACGGCCCTGCAGCCGGGAGCATCTCTTTCAGTCGCCGTGGATTCCCTGCCGGCCCCGCACCTCACATTGAGCCTCACCCGGAGCCTCACTTCGCGCCCCACACTGAGACGCACTATGCGCCTCACTCCGAGCCTCACTATGAACCTCACCCTGAGCCTCACTTCGAGAACCACCCGGAACCTCACTTTGAGAACCACCCGGAGCCTCACTACAGCCCTAGCTACAGCCCTAGCTACGAGCCTCACTACGAGCCTCACACTACGTTCGAGTCTGAGATCACTTCGTTGGAGAACAACAATAACGGCCCTGCTGCTGGAAGCATTGCCTTCGGCCGACGTGCGTACGCTCCTACCCGTGAGACCCCTGTTGGAGGTGGTACCGCTATTGGAGGTCCGTCTGGGGATAGTGATGCCAGTGGCTTCTCCGCTCCCACCAGCATCGACGTTACCACTGGTGTGAATGAGCACAATGAGGACAACCACTCCATCAAGGGAGACTGGACCCACGTCCACCCTGACGGTCCCGCTGAGTACTCCCCGGAGGACAAGGTCGAGGGTCCTCAGTGCGCTGCTCAGGTGCATGAGGTTGTTCACACCGTCACCAAGACCCAGTACAAAACTGCGGAGGTGACCCAGGTGGCCTATCAGTCGGCTCCTGCTGTCGACGGCTATCCCATCCCTGGCTATGCCACTCAACCCCACTCAGCCGGGGCTGACGCCTACGCTCCACCAGCCCGCGCTCCCTCCAGCGCTGCCGCTGAGAACCCCTCGTACGCCATCCCCCCCACGGATAACCTAATCCCCGCCCATGTGCCCATGGCCGCCTCTTCTACCGGCACCAGCCCCGTCTACGGCAGCTATCCACAGAACTCTGCCGCAGCTGTCCCTTACCCCAGCTACCCCCAGCAGTCCGCCGGGGCTGATCCCTACGACGGCTACCCCAAGCCCTCCTCCACTGGGGTTGATTCCTACGCTGGTTACCCCGAGCCCTCTACCGGGGCTGATTCCTACTCCGGTTACCCTCAGCAGTCTGCCGGGGCTGATCCTTACGCCGGCTACGCCAAGCCCTCCTCCACTGGGGTTGATTCCTACTCCGGTTACACCAAGCCCTCCACTGGTGCTGATCCATATGCCGGCTACCTCCAGCCCTCCGCCGGAGCTGACCCATATGCTGCCCAGCGTCCCTCGTACTCCAAGATCGCTGTGCATGTCCCCATGGCTACTCCTGCGTCGTACGGCGCTTTCTCCAAGGCCACCCCATCCAACAGCATGGGCAAGATGATCCCCACCGGCGTCTCCGCCGAGCAAAAGGCTTCTCCTTCTTCGTCCGCCTCGGCCTCTGTCTCTCACGGAATCATGTTCCAAGGTAGTGCCGCTCGCCTCTCAGGGGGAATTGTAACGGCCGCTGCCGCTGCCATGGGTGTCCTCGCCTTCATCCTATAGATAGTCTGTAATCAGATCTAGGTGTTTTGGTGTACCATTCGTTTCTTGTCACTCGTTATGGCTTCTGACCTTTGTGTTTTCTTCACAACCATTTGTTTCCGTACAACATTTCTGTACCCCACCCATTTGACTCAATTTTAATGACCAATGTTCCCATAAGGACATTATACATTTACAGCCTGAAGCCTTGACTTTCGCTTGCTTTTCACTACTATCCCACTTGAACTGTAACAACTACCACAACCCCCTAGATACCCGCCCTCTGACATCGTAACTTGCAGTGTTTCATAATCACCAGTGCAACACTCAATCTCATCACAGATTTAATTTGTGGTACGTGATCCCGAACATCTAGACTCCAGCAGGGTGGCCAGATCCCCTTCATGACAAGTGGGCAATGGTTTCGCCACTGTTTGTCCTCAAGCTCTGACAGCAAAGCCCACATGAATTTCAGGTAAATGGACTTTCAATATCCAACATTGCCTGGTAATGCATGTTACTTGACGGTATATTCTTAATTGTATTGTTATATGTGTTCTATGTGTTTAATATGAACAGCCAATCGATACCGTGTGATATCATTGCCCATCATCCCTGGGGTTGCCAACGCCCACCGTTGTGACATCAGTGCCAGTAGTACAGGACTTGAGTCCCAGAGCAGAATATAAGAAAGTACCAGTGTAGTCTGGTCTAGTTGAATCAAACCACGCCGTCCCAAACCAAATTCTTCACTCATCCCCCATTGTCTCAACTTTCACTGGACATCAAACCGTTTAGAAACCACCAACCACTTCCACCTCCCCCAAAATGGTTCAGCAAGACCCCCACCAAGGCGGCACTCTCTCGGAAATGGCTGCCCAAGGCACATCCATGCCCAACGATGCCGGCATCATGAATATCATCCCGTCGGTGCCACGCCCAGACCAGCGCGCCGAGAATCTCGGCTTCGAAAATGAAGGCATCGCCAAGCCTTCAACAGCGATGGTCGCTGACAACACTACCGACTTGCCACGCTCGACTCGGGATGTGGGTGAGTCCGGCGATGTCATCAGCGGCACGGGCGACTCTATGCCGGCCGGCGTCGAGGCCAAGCATGCCTACATGGGCCCTAATCACCACGCTGGCCATGGTGATACTCGCGATTTCAAGCGTTCCAAGTATGGCCGGAGTGTGATTGAGCGCTACCAGGAGGAGTAGAGGGTCTCCTCAACCATTGATGAGACCTTTCAGCTTTTCGGAAATGATGGCTGGTTTTCTTTGACCTCACGCTATCTGGTGCATGATGTTATGAATGGCGTTTGTCAGATGTAAAACAATTCAATACTATTCGGAAAAATCTTATTAGACTTCCTGCGTAGAGTAGGGCTATTCAATCGTTTCAAATCCGTAGCGCGGTTTGGCCAGGCCCGAGAAATCCTTGATAGATCTCGTCCAGAACATCTCGCTTCCTCTTGCGATCGGCCAGAGCTGCTTCCTCGGTTTCAGTGGGTTCGCCGTCCGGTTCGCGAGATACCCATGTACGGATCGTTCCATCGCCGTGCGCAGAGAACAGCTCTATCCCCTCTCCCGAGGCGCCATTCCCTCGCCAGACAAGATCATTAATACGTCCAGCGCTCAAGGCACTCGACCGACCACGGAAATTCTGCGACCCAGCCGTGAGACCCGGGACGCGGAGACGCTTAACGAGTGTCCCCTCGCGGAGCTCGAGCATAAAAATCTCACCACGATCATCCTGCTCATTGAAATTCGGCCATAGTAATGTTTCGTGTCCTGGATTCATGCAGCCTCTGGGCACGATTAAGGGCGCTCGTTCAGCTAGATGCGAGGAAGAGCTATTACGGACCCGAGGGCCGAAATGAACAAGTGTATTGGCCCCTGTCGCTGAGTCCCAGACTCTGATTCGGGAATCCTGTCCCGTCGTCACGATGTGACTGCCGTTAGAGGTCCACCGTACTCCGGTCACAGGCCCATTGTGGGCACGGGCATGCCGGGAGAAGGCTGGACGGCTCTCGTATGAGACCGGTGCAGATCCAGTTCCCGGGGCCACTAGTCCCACTGGGTCATCCATGTCCAGGGTAGCGACGGCAGAGTTGTGACCTCCGCGACGCACGTCGAATATAATGACTCGGTTGTCGACCGACGCAGAGGCTAGGAGATGCGGTCGGTGCGGTGCCCATGCTACTGATAAGACTGCGCCATTGTGTCCCGGTAGACCTTGTGTCGATAGTCCAGATCGTAGGTCTACTAGTCGCACCGACCGCTCAGATGTGCCCACTGCGACGAGCAGTGTTGACCCAGGCTGAGAGGAGAACGAGTGTGAATATGGTGTACAGTCTAGGTTGAATGTATGGATGGGTGTGATAGAGGGCGATTGTAGCGCCGACAGTTTTAGTGTACCATCGTGTGCTGTTGAGAATATCGTTGATGGGACGGGATCAAACGGGTAGATCGAGAGGGAGGTAATCGCATGTGTATGCGCGTCGGCGTGGGAGGATTTGCTGACGAACGCGCAAGATTGGTGAACATGTTCGAGCTCTGAGCCTCTTGATTCAAGGTCCCAGAGATGAATTGATGGATCGGCACCTCCCGATATCATACTACCCTCATGTTAGATTGACAACTGTCGGATGCTAAGTGGTTGCACACGCACTATCGGCCCTCAAACTGATCGACAGCCAAACAATTCACGCCGGACTTGTGGGCAAATACCTCCGCTGTAGCACCTAGCTCTTGATCTAAAGGCGCCACATCGTCTTCGGACCGGTCCGTCGGCGCAGCTGCTCTGCGGCTGGAGAACCGTATCCCCGGAGCGGGCTCAAGGTTGTGCACTAGCCGGGTTGTTTGAGCAACATGAAATTCATTTGGAGTTACAGACCCAAGGGCTCTGTTAAGGAGATAGGAATTCATTCATTCATCAGCGCTAGTGCTTTTGCATGGTGAAGTTGAGAGCACTCAATGATACTATGACATGGCCCCCCGGATTAAAGTTGCGCCGGCGCATTTATCGAATTTGGCAGCTTTGAGGCCCTCGACCTTTGTTCACTATCAGCTGCACTTCACTGTTTGATTTGCCAAACCTTGATTGGTCTTCCTGGCAAACCTAAAGTATGTCTGTTGCCAGGTCACCCGGCTTGGATGAAGACAGCTTTGTCGAGTCAGTCGAAGATAAGCAAGAAGAACTGGACGATAAGCCTTTGAGGCACACAAGACGCCACGCCAACGTCTATGATGCGGTAGCTGGTATGTTTTCCAAGCTTGCCGAGGTTATATAGCAAGAAGAACGAAATCTAATTGCAAGTAGGTCGTGTCAACCCCCGCGGTGTCCACGCACACCGTACAGTTGCTTCTCAATACCGCGACACAGCCTTGGCAAATGCTCGAAGTTTGCGTCCAGAGGAGCTTCTATATCGCAAGCAGAACATTCCGGCAGAATCAACTGAGGAGAAAATTTACTTTGCACATGAAAATCTTCCCTCTGATCAAGCTCTCCCGAACTCCGACCTCCTTGAAACGATACATGCCTATGCGGCCGACTATTACGAATATGCTACGGCAGACAACGGCAAAGATGACCATCAGACGATGGATGAGACAGCATTGCTTGCGGTGGGGATCCTGATCGAAGAGATGGCCAAGGAGGAACTGGGAGAAACCGGAGATCTGGCCCTGGTTGAAGGACAAGAGCTGTCGGAGGAAGAGGACGATAGGACGGCCCTCGAGAGCGACACTACAAGTAAATCAGCAGCACGAGCAGCACGACGGAAGCGAGCAAACAGCATTGCCCGTCAGACATCAAAACGGCGCAAATTGGCTCGTTCTGTTTCTGTTACAACCGATTTCGACACCGAGATTGATGAAAGACGATGACTGGATAAGTGTCAGGTTGCATCCATCCCGCGCCCGAGTTTTCTCGGAGGCTTTTGAATCCTACAGCTGTATCAAGCTACGCGCGATCTTGCAAAGCTTCAGTCAAACCGCTTGAAAGGGAAACAGGTCACCCAATGTACTGCCGTGGCACAGCCACGCTCCACATGGCATCGGCACATATCCCAGTCCCTGCCACCACTATATGGCATGCAGAGAGGCAAAAGTCAGACTTTAATGTGTAAGACAGCGATTTTGCTGCGCCTTCCTGTGTGTCTCCTGCTACACCGAAGGTCTTCAATGGAGCTATACACAGAGTAATACCTCCAGGGAGAGAACTTGCGGTGATTAAACCAGCCAGTGTCTAGCCGGCTGACAGGAGTGTCAAGAGCCCTCACCGAGTCAAAATAAAATCTTGGATATGCCGCGTATCCTACAGCAGCTTCGGTTTAATTATTGCAGGGACAGGGACGAGATCTTGTTGTGACGCTTCATTTCTGTTGCAGCAGAACCCTGTCTCACTTGACATGTCTAACCCAAGTAGGACGTTCCAGCAATTGGCTGGATTGGGTCTGACTTTAGCTAGCCTTGCGTGAATCTAGCCTTGTGTTGAGTCTCCCAATAAGGCCATGAGCAGCGTCAGTACTTCGTAGTCTTCTGAGTCATAATTTTACAAAGTTTTCAAAAAGAAAGAAAAAAGCAAAAAAGCAAAAAAGCGTAATTCTACAGAGAAACCATTGGAATTGGAAATGTAAGCGTCAAATGGAAGATGAGCTATTCTCTCAGGCACATGGGTTTCCAAGGGTTGCGTGACAGGTACGCAATTCCTCAAGCCCTGGAGGGGAACTACCGATCTTTGAACTCATCACTGCGCCTCCACCAATGCTTAGCTGCCACATATTTGTCCAATGAGTGAACGGTGGATTGATAAGCTTTTTTGAACCCGTTTGACAGTCCGTGCAAGATGGTACGTGGCTTTGGCATATTCCACCGGGGGTCTAGGATCATTTAAATGAGACTACTCCATACTGACGCACCACTAGCCCAAATTGACCAAAAGCGAGAAAAAAGACTTAATTTTGACTCATCTCCGCGCCACTGGAACCTGTCACACGCTCAAAGACCTCGAGAAGACCCTACCCTCGATTGCATCCATCAATGGCATCCAGGTCAAGGAATACATTCAAGCTTTGACTGATGAGGGTCAACTACGAGTGGAGAAGATCGGCAATGGAAATTGGTACTGGAGTTTCAGTAGCGATGAAAAACACGCACAAGAGCAGCAGTTGGGCCGGATGACCATGGAGGTGGAGAAAGTCCGGAAGTCTTACGCCGAAATAGAAGTGGGTTTGGTCGCTGAGACCATATGCCGAGCGGAAGAGGCGGATGAGGAACACGAAAGAGAATTCCTCATGACCAAAAAGGCTGAACTCCAAGTGGGAATCGATCGGGTACGGACTACAGAGGCCCAACTCTCCGGACCCCTCAATTCGCTCAATAGCAAGGATGTCAAGCAGGTCCGAGAGAAGTTAGCGGGGTTCCGACAGCAAGCACTGCAGTGGACTGATAATATCTACATCCTAGAGGAGTATTTGCGCAAATTAGCAAGTGGAGATCGACACCTCGTTGAGGGTGTCTTGCGTGACTGTTATGGAGACGAATACGTGGACGGAGAGGGTCTTTGTGAACTACAGCAAACTACGGAGTAGAGAAAAAGCTTAGGTTTGCTTAGCACATGGCAACCTTGGGGAAATTATGTGAAACATGAGTCAAATTTATTCTTCCTTATGCCGTACCGACTAAAAAAAAAAGTGATAATCCATAAAATTGCCCAGAAAAAAAAGGGGGGGAAAAACTAGTTGAGCCACTTGGACACCAAGAGAAGCTTGACCGTGCGACACGCGAATCGAAAGCCATCTGGTTCGTTCTCCGCCTCTCTCGGAGGCTTATCGCGAACTCCCGACTCTCACTCTCTCCCCTTCTCTTTTATTGTATCTCCTCTTCCCCCCCATTTTTGAACTACTACTCCGTATAAGCCTTTTGATCCTCTCTATATTGGCTCGTGCGTTCTCTCGAGTCCCACATTCCGGATCTCGCGCCATCTCCAGTCACGCCTTTCACCCTCTCTGTCCCCCGGTCTCCGACTCCCCGACCCCCCGATCCGGTTCTAGACTCTCGACTGCAGCACAGTATCCCGTGATATTGGCTTATTAGCCCCTTTCAAGCCTTTCATTTCTCCCGGCAATATCCACTTCCCTTATCTTACGACCTGACCTTGCATCCCGATACGCTACAAGTTCCTGGCGGGGGTACCGTCGAAATCCTGCCTCGCGTTTCGATGTCCCAAGAAACAATGTGGTGCAGTGGCCCTCGATCATAATCCCCATTCCTTTATTCGGACCCGGGAAACCTCTCTCGCGCGTGGAGGATACATTCTGTGGGCCTTTTGAAATCAGACCGTGTCCAGTGCATCGGTCCTGGACGCCAAACCCTTCGACAAAAGGATTGATACTTGTTGTGTCGCTTGATTGGATTCCTTGACGTAGGCTGACTGCCTACTGATCTGTCCGACCATTCCCCGCCATCCCGTGCTGCCCTAGATAATACCGACGTGTCTGTCTGATCGGTGCCGAAGCGGTTGCAGTTTATCATCCCCATTCCTCTCACACCTGCCACGTTGTTTTGTATAGATGCAGTAAACAGCGGCTGTGTGTCATGTCCGCCAACCCTCCAACCCAACCTACGTTGCCGGCCAGTCGGAATCGCAACTCTCTCCTGTCCAAGTTTCGCTCCCCGCTCGGTCAAAGAAATCGAGGCATCACCGACTTCTATATCGATCCGGATGACCCATGGCGCTCCTACTTCCCAGGTGATATCATCAAAGGCACCGTCGTTGTGACGGTTGTACGACCCGTCCGCATCACGCATATTGTCGTATGTCTCCACGGCTATGTTAAAGTGTTCAAGAATGCGATTCCCGCAGGAGAAGCAACCCCCGACTTGGGATTCTTAGGACCCGGGCGGGGCCGACGAGGCGCAGAATACTTGGGCAATGGATTAGCGACCTTGTTTGAAGATGAGGTTGTCCTCTGTGGCGATGGACGCTTGAAGGAGGGCATCTACAAGTTTCGCTTTGAGATGGGGCTTCCTCCTTATGCGCTTCCTAGCAGCATAAATGTGCGTTTAGTGATGCGACCTCCTTTTTTATCCAAATATGCTAATCAAATGGACAACTGCAGTTTGAACGCGGAATCATCGGCTACTCACTTACCTCTACCCTTACCCGACCGACCACCATGAACCCTACACTCACATGCCGAAGACGGGTTAATCTTCTAGAAAATATCGACATCGCACCCTTTCCTGCACCCAGGGCTCGTATAGTTACATTGGAACCGATCTCAAGGCGCTCAAAACCGAGGGGAAAAGCCAAGTCAACAAATTCCGAAGCAACCCCAGGGCCGGACACAGCCTCGGTCGATACTCCTATAAGTGGCGCGGCACCATCCGTAGATACAAGACCACCGCTCAGCCCTTCACCGAGCAATGTCAGTTCATCCAGCCGGCCTAGCGAAAGCAGCCAAAGCTTTCGAATCGCTAGCGATCCCAGTTCATCCGCAAGTACGGGCGGACAAAATAGCGAGGGTCGCAGTGCGACCCCGTCTATCTCCGATAAAACCATCACCGCAAAGGCTGAGCTTCTGCGTGCCGGGGTGCTCCCTGGCGACACCCTACCCATCACAGTTACGATCAACCATTGTAAACAAGTGCGCAGTGCGCATGGAATCATGGTCACATTATACCGTCAAGGTCGCATTGACCTTCATCCTGCAATTCCCATCGGCACCACGGCAGCCGGGAAAAAGCCTGTATACGAAGACTGCTATCCGCGATCGCGGACGGGACTTGGAGGACTTACTTTGGGAACAAGTCGGACAAGCAGCACTTTTCGCAAAGATTTGTCGCAGACATTCGCCCCGCTGATCGTCGATCCAAGTACCATGACTGCGATTGTAAAGACTTCGATCCGAATACCCGAAGACGCATTCCCAACTATCACGCGAGTACCGGGAGCCATGATCAATTTTCGGTACTATGTGGAGGTCGTAACGGACCTACGAGGCAAAATCACCTCACCAGATCGCTTCATCCCGCGTTTCAACATGGTCTCCGGTGGTACTACGTTTTCGCCCAGTGGGCAGGTCCTCAATCCGGCCGATTCGAGCGGCGTTACTGCCAACTGGGCTGGCAACATCTTAGACACGGACTCAATCCGCCGTGAAAAAGGCGTGATCTCTGTGGCCTTTGAAGTCGTGGTTGGGACGCGTGATTCACAAAGAGGGAAAGCGACGAAACGTAAATCATCTACAGCTGAGGAATCGATAACGTCACAGACGGCGCCTCCTGCATCTGCAATTCTACTTAACCCTGTTGATGGGGAAGAGTGGCCAGAGGCGAGTCCAATGCCTCACTCAAATGGGGAATATGGGACACAGGAGGGGTATTTCCCCGAGGAGACGGACTGGGCGGAGTACCCTGAAGAATACACTGAACATTTCCAGCCAATGGACACTATGGTTCCGCCTCCAGAGGTTGAGGAGCCCGTTGACGAGAAAACACGGGTACGACGTCACGAAGAAGCTCTCTTACCCAGTCAACCGCCCGATGAAGATGAGGCAGGGCCGTCCACAGTACCAATGGAGGTCCCGACCGCGCCGGTTTTGCCAGATGATCATCATCTTCAAGACTACCAGCATGTGCCTTCACCAGATACAAGCGGGGGTCCGCATGCTGTCCGCTCTGCGGAATCCTTACAGACCGTGGTTGCCAACGACGCTGGGCCCAGTGAGCCACGTGTACCAGCGGACGATAAACAAGAGCTTGAGCGTCACCGACTCCAGGAGCAGGCGAGTGCACCCCAAGGCGAGCCCAGTAGCCAGGAACCCAGCGCTGGGCCCAGTGCGCCCGTCTTTGATGAGGACGACCAGCTGGTCGGCGGGACGGCGCATGCAGACGAGTCATTGCCTCGATACCAGCGATGATGTTGTTATGTACATTTGCATTTACGGGATATTCTGGAAGATACCACTATTCGCATCATTTATGAAACGGCGCTAAAGGCGTTGAAATCTGTATCATACACTTATTTATCAAAATCGATTCCCAAATCTCATATGAAAGATTCCAATGTTCAAATTTTGCAATCTCAATCTCATCAAATGCTCGGACTTCCATTTGTAAAAACCTCCTTATCTCTCGGCCCCGGGCTTGGCACCCGCTTAGCGATTAGCGATACCTGTAGGACTTCAGCCTTGCCCCTGGTCTTCTTCTTTTCCCTCTCAAACCAATTTCTTCTGCTTTTCCAATTTTCACAATGGCCTTCAAAAGCGGGTCGTTCGCGACTTTCCTCATCGTCTGCCGTAAGTCTATCGTATCGCCAATCTCTCAGCACCCCAACGGCAAAGAGGCCACGAGACTGTAATGAGCTAACCCAATCTGCCCACCCAGCAACCTGTTTCTTCCTGGGCATTATCTTCTCCCTCTTCCCTTACGACTACCCGATCCTGTGGTCTACAGTGACGACCCCGGCCGCGCACTATGACTATCTCGAAGCGCACCTCCGCTTCCTGCACGCCTCGCCCCCGCTCATCCCACGCATCCTGCACATCGTAATCTTCCTCGGCCTCGCCGGCCTCCTCACCAAGCTCTACAAGCCCTCTGAATCAAACATGCTCTTCGACGGCGCGTCGCTAGTCCTCTACATGTGCGGTGTGACAGTCTACATCGCCAACATTGTCAAGGGCCTGCGCCTCGCCTCTGCCGGCCAGTACGGCTCCGAGCTGGCTGCCTCCGCCGACGAGAACGAGCAGATCCTTGGTCGCGAGGACTCGCTCAAGGTTCTCTCCGCTAGCAATACTATTCTCGCGCTTGTCCTCGTTGGAATCTTGGTTCTGCAGGCCGGACAGTGGTACGCGGAGCGCAAGGATGCGCAGGAAGATGAATCCTTTGCTACTAGCAAGAAGAGTGAGAAGGAGTCCGCTGACGCCACTGCCACTGCTACGACTTCCGGTGCGTCCACTGCGACTGCTGGTAAGTCGGGTCGGCAGGGAAGTCAGCGTAATAAGAAGAGCAACTGATTCGAGTTGTTGAATGTTTCTCTTACTTTCGTTCGTGTTTGTCTTACGGATATGGTTACTACGTGTGGGGTGGTTGCGTCTGATTACTTGTTTCTCTTGGTAGCTATTATTTTCTCTATACTAGTCGCCTACGCAGATGGAGATTTGCTGTTGCAAAGAAAATCATTGGAGACGCCTTTTTTTTTTCTCTTAATTTTCGAGGGGTTCATAGAATCCAACATTCGCCTATGTACATATGTGATCCATAGATATGTTATGGCATGTCCATACAGAAACATGACAGCAGATGAAAACTCAGGAATATGACATAATACGCGCCCGAGGCGTAGGTATGGACAGAACAGAAGAGAGAGACAAATGATCATAGATGCATGTAGTGTGGACATATGGTCTGGCAACGCAGAAGGGGAATCATTGCGCAAGTCGTGAAAGATGGTGTGGTATCATATCATGCATAAGAAATTCAAGTTCAACGGAATGAGAATGGGCTCCGAGGGAGATCCGGTGAGCGTGGGCTCAGTGCCTTGGCGAACAATTCCTCGCCCGAATCATTGCTCGGAGCGAACGAGATT